AATTTTTTTTTTTTTTTTTGTAATTAAAACTTTGGTAATTTGTTCCATTTATAGTACATACTAATATTTACAAACTAGTATTTAGAGGGTGATTTTTTTATTATAATAATCAATATTTGCAGGTACACAGCATTGTTATTATCAATGGTAGTAAGGTACATTATTGTGAGTTCATAAATACACTAACTGATAATATAAAAAGTATATCTATTGATAATCATAACTGATAATAAACAATCTGTGACTGTGACAGTGATGTCATAAAAAACCAATTAGCTACCTGTATTTATAATCCTTGTGTATTATACATGTATATTTACTCAAAAATTTGAATCTTTGAATGTTTATATCTAATAAATTAAGAAAGTTATAATAAAAATTCAAATGCCATTTACTATTAAATTAAAAACTCAAACATTTTATTAAATTCAAAATATGTGTTCCCATTTAAAAAAACAATGTTGACACCCTTATAAGGCATAAAGGATGAACTTAAAAAGTACTACATAGTTAATAATTCAAGAATAATGTATAACTAAAGGTAACCAAAAAAAAAAAAATGTTTAAATTATATTTATTCTGTAATTGAGTAGGTTATNAAAAAAATGTTTAAATTATATTTATTCTGTAATTGAGTAGGTTATGATAAAAAAATCACCTTGTATATATATATATATATATATATATACATAATGTTTTTTTTACATTTTGTCAAAGAATTGTGTGTGTTTTTAAGAATTTTATTAATTTTGTTGTGTGTTCTGGACCTGGCCTTAAAAATGTTTTAAGATGTGTTAATAATTTTAATTTTTATACTTTTAACATGTTTTCTATATTCTGTAAGTATGCGCTTAACAGCAATTCACATTCCTTATAACTCTCAAACCTGTGGTTTTTTCCCTCCAGGGAAACAATTAATTAAGGTGACAACGAGTTAATATCATGTCCTATGCAAAGTCTCTTTCTTTACTAAAAATTTGTCATATTACGTATTTATGTATCTTAAAAATATTAAACCAAACCTTAGATATTTTTAACCAATACATTAAACCACTTAATTTTTAAACATTAAAATTACTCTCTTATTTTAAATTGATATTTTTCAGGATAAAAAAAATTATCCATTACATGTGGCATCTAAAGCAGGTCAGTTATTGCAAGTTGAATTATTGCTAATATATGGTGCTGATCCTCATGCTCTTGACAATAATAAAAATTCTCCAGCAACATCTGCTAAGTAAATTATCTAGAAAACTATAAACACTAATAGTGCTTATAGTTTTATAAATACACTGGGAATATTTTTTTTATTCCTTATATAACCTAAAAAAATATATTAATGAATCTAAATCATGCAATTTATATGGTATTTAATACTTGAGGATTTTGAGTCATGTATATTTATTCTAAATACCAACATTTTAATGTAAAATTAATTTTTCAAGTATAAGTGATTCTGTCATTTATTGCAAAATTAAAAATACTTTTGAAAATAAAAAAATAATTTTAAAGTACAAAATTTAAAAAATTGCCTGAACTTAGATTATCTTAAGCTGAGTAATGTATATTATTTAATAAATCAAATATGAATTAATTTTGATAATTTGATATGAGTCGAAAAAGTATTCTATCCCAGTATATATGAAATCAATAATTAGAAAATTTTGTTCTTTTTTTATTGAAAAATTAAAATTTTATAGATTGGCAGGTCATAAAGATATAAATGAAAGACTGAATAATAGCTTATATGAAGTATTAGATGCTCTTTATTTGTATGTACTTGGAAAAAAACCTGATCATAAAAATGGAGAACATATGATTATAATTAACGCTGATGATGATGGTCAGAAAATTGAGAATTATCAAGAAGGAATAAAAAAAATGCAACAAGTAAAAACTAATAATAGTATTAAGTTTAATAAAATGACTTATATATGTAAAGAAATATTTGTTGTACTTTCATACTAAATATCCCATTAATTACTATTTATTTTATATACATTTGTAAACATCTTATAATTACAGAGCAAGAAATGCATTTTACACCCCATTAAGTTTTTTCAAACAATTTTTTTTTTATGTATTTCTTTCATTGCTTTTTTCAAAAGTGTTTGAAATATTTTTCGAAAATATTTGGTTACAAAGTACAGCTTATCAAAGTTGATATGTCAACAAACTAAAATTACTTAAACAATTGGGTTTTTTTGTTATTGTTGTTTTTTTTCCATGATAATAATGTAAAAGCATAATAACATAATTACGACATACAGTAGAACCTCATTAATCCGGACTAATAAGGGCTCTAGGTTGTCCGATTTAATGAAAGTCCGGATTAAACAAAATAACCAAAAAACATGTCCGTATTATAGATTTAAGAATATTATATTATACTTAATACTATATATGATATAATATATATATATATATATATTGCAACATGATATTAGATCCAGCAAAAACATTACATATTTAATGTGGATAGAATTATGTTTATATATAATAATGACCAAAATATAAATTACTAATACATAGTTTATGATAACTTTAATGACGGTAGATAAGAATATATGTACTTATGGGAAATTCGAGGAACTTGCCTTTATGTGTATTTTAGTCTACGACATAAACTGTGTATTTTTCGTAATATTAGACAGCTGTCCGGATTAAGCGAAGTCCGGACTAATGAGGTCCGGATTAATGAGGTTCTACTGTAATACCCTTCACCTTAAAAACTCAAAACCAAAAACAATCTTAAAAATACAATTTTTCTAAAACTATTATTTTTGACTAAAATTTGGTAGTACAAAAAAAATTGGGTTTTTTATAAAATTTAGAGACCATAATAGATATAACCATTATCTTACGCCAGGAATCCTAATTAATTATAATTAATTAAGATTTAAATTAATTAAATTGCAATGCTGCAATTTGAAATATTGAAATACAATGGTGCAATACTAAAATGCTGAAATGCAAGGGTGTGTGCAATGTTAAAATACATTATTGCAATGCTGAAATAATACATTGTAAAATTATATTATTCCATTGATGAGATATTTCAATATTTATTTAAGTTGACAAGACCCTATAATACTGTACACTTTCATGCAGATAAATTGACAAAAATAATAGCTAAACATAACAAAAGTCAAGCGCGACTGTAAAAAACTTAGAAAGTTTAAAACTTTTAAACTATGATTTTGACATTTATTTTATATATTCTTAATCAGGATGGAAAACTATAAATAGATAAAAATATTTTTTTTTTTTTGAAAAATCTAGATGGGTTGGTAAAATGTATTTATGCCAATAGTGCTTAATTAGTATTAAAAACTGAGGAAAGATTATAATATTGTTAGGTCATATCTCATTACTAAAAATAGTCATGTCTTATTGTTGTCAAGGTCTTTAATATATAAATAATATCATCTTTTTCTTTTTGAAGCTTCCAAACTATTTATTTGAAGATCTTATATTAGATGTCTATGATGAAATTGATAGGCGAGAGACAGAAAAGTGTAAGTTGATTTTATCAAATAATTACTATGGTAATTGTACTATGAAATTTTTTTTTCATTTTATAGATTGGCAAGATAAAAATTCACCTGAACATATGTCTGTACCTTTCTTACCTGTAAATCCAGATTTATCATCAATGAAAAATCAAGGACGTCAAAAATTAGCATGTTATGGTCACAAAGAGTTCAAATTTCTTGTGACTCATATATTAATTGAAATAAATAAAAGAACACAGCCTGGTAAACTGTCTATTTTATAATCATAATTTTATGTTTACATAAATAAAATGTTGACCCTTTTAATTCTAGTTAATAAATTAATAAATAAAGTAAAGTATGATGATGATGAACCTTTATATGATCATGTTGCCTCTGATGATGATTATGCTACTCCTGAACAAATTGCTGCAATGGTAAATTATAAATCACAAAATTTTTAGTTTCAGTTTTATTCTATTTTTTTATTTAGATGGCATGCCAAAAATTAAAAACAAATAATATAGAAAATAAGGCAATTGCTGAAAAAATTTCTATTCAAGAAAATAAAATGGAATTAAAAAAAAATATTATATATACAGATCAATTATCAAAAACACAGCTTCATAATGGTAATATTCTAGAAGTCAAATTGTCGGAATCTGAAGCTCAAATTTCTATGTTAGCCTCTGAAATAATCTCGTTAAAAAAAAAGGTAAATATTTAATTTTAGCTATTTTTATGTATACTATTGTAAAAAAAATCTTTATATAATTTGAAATATGAATAATTTTATATTATCATAAAATATCAATTTACAATAAAATAAAAAGAAATCTTGCCATATATTATTATATTATATATTATATTATAATATATTAATATATTATTAAAAAAAAAATGTTTCGGCATTTTAATTTTATATGTTTACATTTCTAATACTCATAATATTATTTGTACATAGATAGAAGAAGTAACAAAAGAAAACTCAAGTTTAAAATGTGAAATGTTGAGACAGAGACAACCAATATTGACAAATATTAATGAGTCTAGTGATGTTAAACAACAAACTAGACCTGTTTCTATGTATGAAACCCGAAAAATTCCAAAAAGTGATGTAAAAAGAAATACGCAAGTAAGAATTCTCCATTTTTTGAAAATTTAATTTAAAGCTATTGTAACCTTTAATAAGTATGTATAATTAAATCTTAAGGGTTGTTCAAGTGTGCCATTGTCTGAAGAAGTAATTCGTCACACTGACCACATTACTAAGTGTATTCAAGAACTTTGGACAAATATTAGATCATCAGAAGCTTGTAAAGTATTTGTACCTGGAGCTGATAAAATCAAAAATTCTGTTGTAGAACTAACTGCTCTATTTCCTCATGTAATATAGCTTTTTAATTAAAATGCTAGTTTTATTTCTACAAATTATTAAGTTTAGTTCAAATTTTGAATAAAGTGTTTTATTATTGTTATTTAGGAGCTGGAAGATGATATCATTAAGTCTGCATTATGGTCATTAAATACAAATACTACTCAATTGCAAATAGAATGTTCATGTTTAGAAGCAGGAGTAGAAAGAGTACGAAATTGTTCATTTAATATGGCTAAAGCTACAAAACAACTTTTAACTAGGTTTTAATAAACAATAAATTTTATTTTTATCCAGTTTGATTATGTATTTATACAAAGTTCCTCTAATTTATTTTATAGCAAACACAAACAGGGTTGTAAACTAATAAGTAATAAAATATTAGATTATGTATATTATAGGTTTATTGTATATTAATGTGTAATAATCCATTCTAATTGTTATTAGTGTATTTTTGTGAATCAAATACTTATGTTTTTTTTCTTGATAACATTATTTTTAATTGTTTATAGAATATTTTATATATTTTAAAATATAACCATGTTTAGAATTTTTCATTGCTAATATATTTATTTGAATACAACTTTTTATAGTCTAATTTTTTTAATAATAGTATTACCATTTATTAAATATAAATATAGATTATATAATAAGAAATTTCGGCAACACTTTTTGTATTTTATTGATAGTATTAGAAAATTAAAAAAAGTATCATTCTTGGTAACATATTAGCTAAATTGAATATTACTTTGAGGTAAATGTAAAATATTTGTAAGGTTACACAATTAAAAACTATTTCAATACCGAAATTTAAAAAAAGGAAAGTTAGAGCCTTGTTCAAATTATCACTGCCTCAAAAATTTAAGGACTGCACATTCACTAGCAGAATATATTAACATAGACGCATAAGGAATATTTATTTCAGCTGGAAAAATCTTTTTAAAAGTGGTTCCTATAAGGTTACAAATGTGTTTTGGACGTAGGATTTTTAAGCATATAAATAAATAAAATGTTATTAAATAATAATAAAATATGTTGTATAAAAATAATATGTTTCGGTGCACAAGGTCCCTGGTTCGATACCCAGGATGCCAAAGATACTTGTGATTTTTTTCATAGGTGGTGTCTAGTCTCTAGTACAAGCCGGCCATTATACCAGTCCCGTCCATCATAGGCCTAGCCAAGATCTATCTTTGATTCCCTAACATGTAAAGAGGGGCCACCATATTATGTAGCATGTTAAGTTTGAGAAATAGAACAATGTAAAACTAATCATTATTGTGTATATGAATTTTCTGATAGGCTACTTTCAAGTTGGCGAGTTAAGCCTTATTTTAAGAAATTTCATTATTTTAAGGAAGAATTTTTAAAAAGGATATTGTTAACATATAATCAACATTTTCCAATTAAAAAAAACAAGTAAGTTGATATATCGAAATATTCAAATTTTGTTCTGTACAGTAATACATAAGTCTCTTGTTGATTTAAGTAATTAGGCTTAGAAAATATTTAATACTTTTTTCTTTAAGCTTTGAAAAATAATTTTATTTCTGTAGTATATATTCCGGTTGATGTAAGTAAATGATCAAGGAAGGAAAAAGAAACGTGCGTTTTATTAAAATATATTATGATTGTTTCAGAAAATGTTAACAACAAATTTAAAAAATTTCTCATAATTTTGTAGTAAAATTATTCATTATTACTCTAATACAGTGTTAAGAAAGAATGTTGTACATGAATGCGTATACACACGCTCACGTTCATATTTGGTGAATGTTACTCGTTCATTTTTTAATTAAAACGTAAAAATTAATGAAATTCACATAAATATGAATGATTTTAGTGTCATTCATATAATTAACAATAATATTATGGTTTTTATGAACTTATGATGAATTGGTATATTGAATTTGTAAAATAAAAGGTAATAAAATATACTCATTATATGATAAGGTACTGTAGGTGCTTAAGAATATTATCTTGCATTGTACAATGTTAATTTAATCACTGGCACTTCAAAAAATATAGTAATAACACGCAAAGTATTAATGCATTGTTGCAACTTGTTAAACATTTCTTAGTATTTCATATTATTATTATATTATATCTTATTATTAGTATCTCAATAATTGAAATTACTTTTAATAATTTATAATTGGTTTAAATAAAAAAGTTCACACTCTACGATTGATTCTAATTATTGAAATTAATATGACAATAATTTGGCAAATATGAAGTATATATAATAGATACACTGTTTATGTATCTAGTATCTAAAATTTCATTTTGAGGTATTTAGAGGCATAATTAAGAGGGAACTAGGCGTATAGATCACTTCAGAACAAAAACATTTACATAATGAAGATAATTTTTTTTTCTTGGTTTTATGGCAGTGACAAATTTTTTTATTCATATACCCTCAATAACGTCACTGAAAGTATGACTTTCATGTTTTTTTGTCGAGATATAAATTTTTTTGAATTGAATCGTTTATATTAATGGATAAATATATCAACTAGAAGAAAAATAAATAAATAAAAAAAATATTAATGAATGTGAACATGCACATTTGACAAAATAATGAATTAGAGTATGGACGATTTCCTTTTATACACATTGAATGCGACCGTGAACATATTCAATTTTTTAGTGAACGTTCCGAACATTGTTTTAATAATAATTTAAAAGATTTAGTCAATGAACTTTTGTAATTTATAGGATACTATTGTATTTTTGCTCGCTTCGTATCACAATGTAACCAGCTGTAGATTTCAGTGCTTGTAATCAGTACTTCGTTTTTATCACTCTTAAAAGTTTGCATCATAAAAACAAATTGAATTTTCTCTATAAACTTTGTGTATGTGGATAAATTGCATTCGTTTACTTTAGAATGTCGCAAAATTCATTTCTAAAGTATTTTTACAACTTGTATATATTCTGCAGTAAATGACATCAACATCCATTCTGTGTTAATACTAAACAAATTGAAATTAATATATAACAATGGCATATCAAACACTCAGGCAGGAGTACTTACAAATGCCTCCAGTCACTAGAGCTTACACAACTGCTTGTGTACTAACTACTTTGGCAGTTGTAAGTTAGAATGATGCAAATTAAATAGTATAATCAAATATAATATAAAAAATTTAAATTATTTTGTAGCAATTAGATGTAGTTTCTCCTTTTCAACTATATTTCAATCCTCTTCTGATACTGAAACAGTTTCAGGTAATTTAATAAATTAATTATTAAAAAAAGTCTTGTTTTGATAGCATTTTTTTTAATTTTAGGTATGGAGGTTGATTACAACATTCTTATTTTTTGGAAACATTGGATTTAATTTTTTGTTTAACATGATTTTTACTTACCGTTATTGTCGAATGTTAGAAGAAGGATCATTTCGTTCAAGGACTGCTGATTTTGTTATGATGTTTTTATTTGGTGCTAGTCTAATGATTGTATCCTTTTAAAACATTTAAATATTATTAATTAAAAATAACTTTATTTTTAGTTAAGTTATAAATTTAATAATAATTATCAAACCTTAATTATTATATTTGTATCATTAAATTAAACTCTTAATCAAAATATTAGATATGGGCTTTTTTTATAAATTTACTGTTTTTGGGACAAGCGTTCACAATTATGTTAGTTTACATTTGGTCTCGAAGAAATCCTTATGTAAGGATGAATTTTTTTGGTGTTTTGAATTTCCAGGTAACTTATTAAAAATAATATATTGTTTTATAATAATTAATAAATTAATCGTATCAATCTTTGGTTTACAATTTAAATAAACTTGTTTAATTATCAATTATAAACAGTAACATTTTTATGTAAGTTGTAATTTTTGATTAATGATGAATTATTTCATTTAACAATGAATTCTTTTTAATAATTGATAATATATAACTGTCATTTTTGTTTATAAGAAAAATGATAATCAAATAACTAAATATGAAATTTATCATTTGAAAGAGAATATATTGGCAATTATGTCTTTTGTTATTTCAAACATAGCAAATATCAACATTAATTCTTAGTTATCTCATTGGACAAAAAGTAGTTAATTCTAACCAACACTATAGTTCTGAGAATGGGGCTCATTCTCACTTAAAAATTTTTTTTTGTATATATTTACTTAAAATTTTATTCTTTGTTTTTTTAAATAAAATGTATATAAGTAATTAATTCCACTGTATTTATCTATAAATACATCCCCCCACATTAAATACTTTGGGAACTATATAGATTTGTTCAATTAATGAAATTAAATAACATGTATTTTTTGTCCAAGTATAATTTTTTTTTTTTTTTGACAGGCTCCATATTTACCCTGGGTATTGCTGGGATTTTCTATTTTATTGGGAAACACACCATGGGTTGACCTAATGGGTATTGTTGTTGGTCATTGTTATTATTATTTAGAAGATGTGCTTCCTCGTCATCGTTCAAATTTGAAAATTATCAAAACACCTCAATTCTTGTAATATTAATTCATGTTTGTTTTTGATGTAAAAATAATTAATTTTTTATATTTAGGAAGCTTCTTCTTGATCCAGCTCCAGAAGATGATCACATACCTCCACCTGAATTTCGACCGGGTGGATTTAATTGGGGTAATGGAGGTGCTGAAGATCCACCTATAGATCGTAATGATTAATAATAAGTATGTTAATTATGTGTTGTATTTACAGTTTATCTTATTTTATGTACATAATATTTAAAAAAAATCAATATTAATAAAAGACTAAGTATGCAATATCAATTCTTGAATATTAAGTATATATTTATTGATTCTATTTGTTTTTATTAGAAAAAAATTGTCATAAAACAGCTATACTATTATTTTAGTATTTTTCACACATTTTACAAGTAGGAAGAACAGTAATTTGTTACAAACAAATTGTACAACAATGATAGAAACCATAAAAACAGCAGTCCAGGGTGCTTATAGAAGTGTCTACAAATAATTTGTTATTATATTTTGTTAGGTATTTAAAGTTAAACATTATAGTCAAAAGATTTTTTAAATTTAATAATTGACGATTTAATTGTTTTAAATTTTTAATAGTTTTAGTACTAATTATAATAAATTATATTATTGTAATAATATTTTAGCAAATTTGTCACCATATTAAAAAGTATTGTACAAGTACTATATGATAAAGATATATATATAATTTTTATGAGGTTAAGTTAAATTTAAAGAAATATTAATTTTGAATTTCCTTTAGATTTATTTGGTTACTAAAGTAAATTATTTCCTAAAACACCCTGTACATAGAACTTCATTAGTAATTATCTTGCTTTTGATTAAATAAAAAATAGAAAAGAATCCTAGGATTATTTACATTTAAGTAATTTTAATTTTTACAAAATACACAAATTTTAAATAATTTAACATAACATACAAAATGTTTATGGAAAGTTAGAAAGAAAGTTACAAATAATATTTTTACACAGATATCTCGTAGTTTTTATCATAAGCACTTTTCCTATCTGGACTTCCACTGTCTGTATTAGCTCTATTAATTGACATTTCCATATTATCATGATCAATAGCTCTAGCAAAAGATATTGGTCTTCTTGTTTGTATTGGTGGTGGCTTTTTTTTCCCCACGGGGGATGGTTGTGGTGGGTATACTGGAACGCCTCCACGAACAGGATAATAACTCTTAGTGGTAGGGCTAGTTGGATTAGATCTATAGTCATTATGAGCTGTACAGTAGTTAAATGTTGGAGCTTGCCTAGGAACATAATATGAACCAGTAGTTCCAGGAGTGTCTTTCCAAGTATATACACCGCGTTGAGGAGATCCAGCTAATTCTTGAATATTGTCTACTGTATTATTTATTCTAGGATATGATGGAGGTCGATCATGTTCTCGCAAAATATCACCTTCTGATAAAAATCGTCTTTGGGGACTACGTTCTTGATATTCATAATGTTTAGAAGAAGATCCAACTCCAATAAAATCTGGGCGTTTGGTCTGAGTCGGGGTTCCTGGATTAGATCTACAATAAAAAAAATTGAACTTTCTAAAATTTTTTTTTTTTTTTTTACATTATTTTTAAATTAACAATATGCTATGTAATTGGGTTAAATATTAGATAATTTACAGAAAAAAAATATGGAATAAAGAATAAGAAGATAAATGATACATTTCTCAAGAGTCAAATACCATTTGTATTAAATCCAAAAAGTTATGTTGTGATACAAATGACAATCATAATTTATACAAATATGTATAAAAGGTTAGTTTGAAAATGCAAGTAATTTTAAATGAAAAAAAAAGCGAAATTCTGTTATTTCTATATTCATAATTCTGATTAATACCGTCGCAATGGACTTGACATAGTTAAAGGTGTTGGTACCCCAATTGCTTTCATTCTTTGCTGCATAGTTGGGCTTTGCATAACTATACTTGATTGACGACTTTGATCAATAATTGTTTCTCTAGATAAACTACTTCCTATTTCACTCATTCTAAAAAAATAAAAATAGAGTATAATTATTTTACAACAATATTTATTAAATAACCACAGATATTGATGATTAAAATATAAAGATGTAGTTATAAATGTCTTACCGGGGTCTCTGAGGATGTGGAGCTGTACGTGTCATATATGTCATTCTAGTATTATCTGGTGTATCATATGACTGTAAGTAAAAATTATTCTTTGATCCTTGGCGTTGCAATGGAGGTGTGGGTTCACAATCTTGAGATTGAGATGCTGTCAATTCAATGTCCATCTCTAAACAGTCTCTACCAGGAGACATCTAGAAATTTTAGATTTACATAATTAAATAACTTTTTTGAACTAATAGGGAGTTAAGCAAAAAAAAACTTTACTTTATTATAACTATTAGATGAATGGTGCAAGCCATTACTGTTATCTAAATAAGTTTTGGCAACAGACGGCCCACAACTTTCTTCCTTAGAAATTAAAGGAGGTGGAATATTGAAACTATTTTGAATTTGTTTTTTATGTGTTTGATTTTTAGCCTTCTTTACTTTCAATAAACTAATGTGAAGTAATTATTTATTAAATTAATTATTCAATAATTATATATAGGGTGTTCCATCAAGTTTCAAATTCTTTAATAACTTTTGACCCTGCAAATATTTTGCGTTATTTTTTTCTAAATAATTTTTATAGTTTTGGACTACCTTAAAAGAAAATTTTATATTATTTTTTTTTAATTTCAAACTAGTCATTTTATAGCCCTTGCAAAATATTTTGATGAGTCAATAACAACTTTAGTATTAGTAATATTGAGTTCCAAATATTTTAATACATGGAGTATATAACACGGACAAAGTATGAATTATAAATATACACCAGTACGAGCTATATTCATTCACTCTACATACTTAAAATGTTTGTAACTCAATAAGCAGTCAAATTTTTTGGTAATAAAAAGAGCTCAAAAGTAGCTATTTTGACATTTTAAGGCAATTAATTTTTTTTCTTATTAAAGAGACAGATAAAAAAAATATATACTTTTAATGTAGTCTGAAAAAAGTAACTCAAAATATTTTCTGGATCAAAACTTATTAAATATGTCAAAATTTTGTGATATACCCTTTATATAATATATATATTTACCTTGGAAATTGAGGCCCAAATAAAATAAATACACAATTTAAGTGACAACCATGTGAAAATGGATTATAACCTCCTTTAAATTTTCCAGTGACTTGTTCATTAGTTGTTCGACCACGTGCTACTAATACAGCATGAAATCCAGTCAAACCAAATATTGGAATAAACAAAACTATTACTAAACCACATAATGTCAATCTAAATATTTGTTAAGGTCTTATACGTATAAAATATTAATTTAAGTTAAATTTTAATATAATTATTTTGATAGCAAATAAATATAATATAACTGTTAGAATATAAAAATTTTAAGGTTAGCATTATTTTTAAATAAGTCAAACATTCAAGAAAAATTAATAGCACAATACTTTTTAAAACTAAGTAAATTAATTTTAGATATACAATTATATATTTAATTCATCATTTATTTATTCAAATGCTATATATACTTCAAAATCTAAAGGTTATTTATTTTTTATCCTATATTATATTTCACATGAAATATTTATTAGTTTTCAAATATATTGTAAAATAATTCAAAATGTTAAATTTTTATTTGACTCATCAATATTTACACAAAAAGGATACGAAACTAAAGTATCAACATCTCCAATTTTTTCCTTATGTACAAGAACATATAAACAGCAAACACTGAAAATAGATGCCATGTGTAAACTTAGTGATATAAGGAAGAAAAAGAAATAACGATAGTTACGACGACCAATGCAATTATTAACCCATGGACAATGATGATCGAAAGTCTAAAAAAATTTTTTTTAGTATATAAATTAAAAAAAAAAAAAAAATCAAACTTACTTCTATACAACAATTACAAACACTACAATGTGAACATCTTGGTGGCCTATAAAATCTACAAGTTGCGCACCATTTCATTCGTACTTGTATAGTGTTAACTTCGGTAGATTTATACAATGGTGACTGAAAATCATCTCCCGTATCTTCATCTTCAGGAGCTAAAATGATATACAAACATTAGTAAATTAAATTTTTTTAGTTTATAGGTTTTTAAAATTGGTAAAAGTTATAGGTTATCTAAATATCATAGATAAACAAAAATATATCCTTAGATTGGATTGAACTTCAAATGATAGAGAAAATATATATGTGGTGCAAAGGTAAAAGCACTTAATTTCAAAATTAATTATTTAAGAATAGTTTATACCACAAAATAGAGTATTTCTTTTTAAATTTTATAATGTATTTAACCTCATTTATGTAATTTTTATATTAGAGCCTTTTTATTTGAGTATTAAAGATATTCATAATGTTAAGATCACAATTAGTTTATTGTTAAGCTAATTTTGTTATCTAATTTTAGCATTTTATTCTAAGTACCTTTAGGTATAACTCCTGGATCCATAAAAGTAGCTAATGTAAAATTTGCCAAGACAAAAAAAGTAATCACACCATGAACTATTGGCACCCATGGATAACTTTGAGCAAAAAATCGACATCTAAAGAACATTATTAGAGTTGATTGTTCATGTAAAATTTTCAATAGTTAAAAAAATGTATATATTTACGGGTAGTAAAAAAAGGCTCCGGTTGAGCCTAGTAAGAGTATCCATGCAAATGTTGCTGGCAAGTATTTTGTGTGCAAACCGCATTTTGGCATTGTGTAATTTTCTTCAAATTACTGGAAAAACCCAACACAGATGTATGTTATATTAGACCACATCCTCTTAGAAACTTAAACATAGTAAAGTTATGTTTTTTTTTTTAAATATACAACGTTTTTGGGTAGTTTGTAAATCAACTATAAATCCTTTCATATTGTTCAATAATAATTTGATCTCACAGTGACTGATTTAATTTTATTGACTTAAGAATAAAATAAAACTAAAAATATTTTACATAAAGAAAAAATTACAATAATAGTGAAGCCTTAATTCGTAACATTTTACTATTACTTAAAGAAAATGAAAATATTAAATGATTATAAATAATGTGTACGATACCTTGTTACTATATTCTAAGTAGTAACTGGTGTGATAATGTGGTTTAGTTTAACAGTGTAGCCGCCCCTCTAATAGGATAATTTTATAGATGCCGGTAAGCTCCGAGTGAAATGTACAGTACCTATCTAAATAAAAAGGTGTTATTTTTCTATAATTTAAGTTTGTCCATTCTAATTTGAAGCCAATATGTAGGTGGTCGTTGACTATTGTTGAATCAGTTTGACATAGGTCATATCTTGCTCAGTGACTAAAGTAAATTATAGTCCAGTGGCAGTGATTTTGAGTTGATGATTTCTGATCTAGCAGGTTAATATTTGAAAAATGTATTCATTTTTCAAGAGAAATCTAAAACTTATAATTTATAAAAAGAAAATTTTCAATTAAATATAAAATTTTATTCTATAGAAATTCGTGCATGGCCGTAGATACTATGTATTAACAAGAATATAAAGCAAATTTATAAGGAATCAGGATTTCTCATATAATATTAAATATAAACATTCAAAAGAACAACAATATTAACTTGAAATTGCATTTTTTTGTTTATTATCTAAATACAACCTAGAACTAAGTTCGAAGTCTTAAGTTAAGATAAACTTTGGACTTGAAAGACCCCTGAACTATAAATTGTCTAGTAGAATTATTTATCGATTAAGTTTGTTAACATGGTGATAGCGAGTTTCTTGATAAGAGTTTTATTTTTATTAAAACATCAATCTTAAACTAAAATAAATGTCTAATTAGTGAATCGTAATACATGTTTGACGCACTACTAATCATTTACTTTTTTCATTTGTCATTCATAAAATCACGTCAATAAGTGTAACTGTTATAAAATGTGGTTAAGTTACTATATTCAATGTAAGATATTTTAGAAATAAAAAATATATGGCTGTGAAGTATTCGTTTATAATTCTTAAAGCCCAATCTGAAGAAAATGAATCGTTGGATCCTTACATTGATTTATTACAAAAAAAAGGCTATGAGGTTCATTTTGTTCCTACATTACAATTTGAATACCATAATTTAGATGTTCTTAAAAAGAAATTAAACCAACCAATGAACTATTCTGGTTAGTTTTTTATTGTCTTTATCATTATTGTTTTTGTCGAAATTCCATTACAAATATTATAATTTATCTTTCAGTAGAATAAGTAAGTAAATTGTATTTGTCTTATAATTTTTCTTAAAATAATATTGCTTTCAATTATGGGCATAATTAGAACTCTCTTTAGAAAGAAGCAGTTCAATTTTTTTGTTAAGTATTTTTAATAATTTTTTTACTAAATCATTTTCAAAAATAAAAATAAAACAAAAAAATAAAATGTCCTTATAGACATATTTTGTAAATATTGACTTTAAAATATGGATAGCTCTGATCCAGAGGAGAGATTGAGCTTATCACCCTTCTAAAATATATTCCTGCTTTCAGTGGTTTAATAATTTTACGAAATTATGTTTGCTCATTTGCAGTTTTTGTTTTAATATTATGATTAATCAGAAAATAATGTATTAATTGTTTCCAGGTTTAGTTCTTACAAGTCCAAGATGTTTACGTGGAGTAATGAAATCCTTAAAAAATGATAAACTGGATGAAAACTGGCATCAAAAGCCTATATTTGTTGTTGGTGAAACAACTTCTCGGCTAGTAGTTAATGAATTAAATCAAGAACCAGTTGGTGCTTATAGTGGAAATGCAATGTCATTGATACCAATTCTTTCAAAATGTACACTTATATTTGATATTTTTAAATTTAAACTCTCTTAATAAAATATTATACTATACTTATAGGAGAGTTTTTATATATGACTTGAACATAATTATTATCTAGTTTTTATATATTTATTATATTTAATTTGTTATGGAATGGCTGTCTCATGCATGATATTTGTGCTCTTTCATAACATGGTTAAATGATAAATATTTAAAAATGTTACAAAATTATTGAATTAATTACAAAAAAGATAACAGTGTTTACAATGATATTATTTGAAGGACACGGAGAAAAACTGAAGTAGTTAAATTATCTCAATTTGTCTTATAGATTAATTTGATAGTCTATTAGCAGTAGTACCAAGTAATGTAATTTTTTATTGAAGAATTATTTTATTTACTAATCAAATTGTCTATTTTTGTTTTATTATTAAAGTAATAGGATTTAATAAATTTGTTTTGGCTCTTCTGAAAAGTTTATATTAATACAATATTGTCATTTGTTAATATAATTTATTTCTTTAATAATATTAATTTTCAGATGAATTGACTAAACCACTATTGGCTCCATGTGGAAATTTAAATCTTAATATATTGTCAGATAATTTAAAATCAATAAAATTAGAGAATGTAGAAGTGTACAGAACAATTTCTCATAGCAATTTAGAAAACAACTTAAGAACAACACTTGATCAGATACATAATGAAATAGGATTGATTTTTTTTAGTCCCTCTGGTTTTCAAGCATCAATCAAATTAATACCTGAAAACTATCTTAAAAAAATAGTAGTAAGTATTTTATCTTGTAGTGATTTTTAACAGGTTTCATGGAATTAGCTAAATATTTCTCCCTTAATTGATGTGGTAGTTCCAGGGTGGCTTACATTTATATCAGTTAGTGAAAAAAACATTCTAAATTTGTCTAGTTTATATTTGGAGGTTAGAGCAAAAGTGTTTTAGCTAATAATTTTTGTCATTTTTCAGGAGACATTTTTGAAATATTTTTAGAATTAAAAGGATTATTATGTATATGTATGTTAGTCCTAATAGGCTAATATAAGTATAGAATTTTTAAATTCAATAATACTGCTTTATGGCATAATTTTATTGTTACCATCAATAATATCAAAGAAAATATGTTTGAAATATTTATTTTCAGTTTAAACTCATTAAATGCAATAATTGACCTTTTTCTCTTAAAAAAAAGTGAATTTTTAAAATTATGATTACCAATATTTTCAGCTATTTTCCATTGGGCCAACAACTGCTTCTGCTATTAAACAAGCTGGATATATTTTATCTGGCATTTGTGATAAACCAAAACCTGAATCAATGTTGGATATGATTGATAATTATATGAAATGCCAAGTTTTGTAAGACTTTGTTAATCAAAATATTTTAGAATATATGAAAATAATAATCATGCTCACATAAAAATAAACATTTTAAAGCTAGTAATGTAATTGATTTTTATTTTTATACATGTTTGTAACTTATGTATAATAAGTTAAAAATTGATAAATAAATTTGGATCATGACTATTCTGTTGATATATTTAATATTATTTCTATAATACAATAGAATGTATATCTTTTAACATTACAAAAATTAAATATATTTATAATTTCTATTGTTTTTATATTTATTTATACGGACAAATTTCCAATTTGACATACATTAATAAATAACAAAAGTGAGTAAATAGATTAGTTTATATAATATAGATTAATTAGTAAATGATTGACTGTATATAACAATAAGAAAATTAAGAAAAGAGAGAAATAAATAAGGTCATCAATTTCATTATTTAAGAATTTAAAGAGAAAAGCATTTTAAAGACTCTAAATTAAATATTCCTAGAACATTCTCATAATCAGCGAGGGAAGTTCTAGTTATACTACATTTGTTGAATACAAAGCTAATGACTATTGTGAATTATTTCAAGTAGGTTATATCCAATACTATTAATATCCTAAATTATTGATACATATTTTGATGTATAGTATTTAGTTTTATATGAATTATGATTATATTTTTTTATGAAAAAACATTTTTTTTGTCAACAATAAGTACACTTAAACTTACAACTTCAAAATTTGAATTCCTTCTAAATTTCTAATTTTGGATATCTACAATTTAGATATCATTTAATGATTTTTTAAATTTTAAATCTAAAAATTATACTCTTAGATAGAACATTACAATGTACACTTTAAGCAGATAAAATGCTTATAAAAACTAACTTGTACTACTTAATTAAAAGAAATGAAGTAATGGGATTAATACCACAAATTATCGTAAAAACTTATGAGCCTGAAAAGTGCATTACATTAAAGCTCAGGGAATATATATAAACTAAAAGTAATAAATGTTAAATTTTTTAGGGTCTAATTTATGTACTGGTTGGAACAAAAGATGTTTTTTTCCTTATTTTCTTTTTTTTAATTAACTTGCAAGGCACTTTAACTATGTTGCATCATTAAGCAGTTTTGAGTTTTATTTAAATTATTTATTGCTAAATATGTAATATACTTAAACAAATAATCATCAAGTATTAATGACGTTAACTTAAATCTTTTTTTTCATAAAAAAATTGCAGCAGGAAAATATTTTAAAAAATGTGTTTAGGAGATATTTTTTATTGAAGTATAAATATTATAAACATATTTAATATACATTATCAAATTATTCAGAATTAAATAATTTAACTGCAATAGTTAGAAGGACTGATGTAAGTAAATTAGAGATAGGTCAATATGTGGTTATATTATACAACGCCACGATCGCTGTCTTATATTGTGTTATTTGTTATCACAATTTATATCTCCAGATAATAGTATTATGAAAGTTTGTTTGAGTTTACATTCTATAAATTATATACATTTGGATAAATAAAAAAATCAGTAATAACAAATTTTTTCTTGTAATTTTGACTAGATCTTTCGTTATTTCATATAAATTTAAGAATTAGTAAAGTTTTATATTAAGGTTTTTAGTTAAATATACTTACATTTGTAACATACGTCTAAAATTTATGTTTAAAATTAATAAAACTAAAAAAATATTCCCATTTGTTTTAAATTCATTTTAAATTTCATAATTTCTTATGACTTTTTATTATTTTCAGAGTATTTAATTTAAATGGAGGAAACGGATGAAGTTTTTGATACTGTAATACGCTATGGTTTGTATTTTGTAGCTATTTTTCAATTGGTGTGTATAACAACTGTTTTTTTACTAACAGATCAATCAAATGAAAATAAGGTATGCATTGTTTATTTAAAGTATATTTAAATTATTAATGATATTTGAGTGATATACTTGATGTTAATAAAATGTGTTGTATAATTTATACAACACATTAATATAATTTATATTATAAAATTCATATATTAATTATACTTAACTCGATTTTATAAATATGATTCAGTCTCTTGAATACATATGCAAACTTAATTTATATGTTGAATCATTATAAAAAGTTATAAAATATTTTATGAAAAAATTATGAGATGTTCAATAGGATCAAATTTTGTAGGCCAAGTAAAATGAATCTTCTAATATATAAAGTATTAAGTTTCTCTAAGAAACCATTACTAATTTTGTAAATACTTTCTAAAATAATTTTTTAATTTTAATGTACTTAAAAATTCAAAAGAATATCTTCATAGTTTAAGTATATTTAGATAGAATTATTGTTATAATTATTTGTGAAGCCTATATGATAATGAACACACACATTGTGTCTCAGTAGGTAGCTATCAAAATTCAATTTTATATGCCAAATTGTACAAGTTTTCTCATTCTCTTTAATCGGGGTTAGAACAATCCATAAACCCACCAGGTTTTGTATCAACTCATTATTCTTGCAGTTTTATAAAGTTTATGTGATAATTATATTTATAGCATAAATGATAGTTTTAAAATAAAAGACACAAAACAAATAATAATAATAATTATACATTATTGCTAATAGCTTCTAAGTCCAAATTAAAACTAAAATATTGTGCTTTTTACTTTTAAATATTACTTACAATAAAAATAAAAACATAATTTTTTATTTTAAATGAAAAAACATTTTTTCAAAACAATATTTTTCATGTCTAAAGAAAATTTGCGAAAAATAGCATAGTTTTTTATGTATTTAAAAAAAAATCATTTCAGAATAGCCCACTGGCTATTTTTTGTCAACTATATTTCTAACACAAGAATTATATTTCTTAATTGAGATGACATTAAACATAAAAATAAAAATAAAATAAATTATGACATAAATAATTATGACTAGTGCTAGAAATTATATGCATTTATAATTCTTATTTGAATTACGTTGAAAGATCCCAAGTTTGTGTAGTTTTGTCATAGGATTATATAGTAATATAGAAATATTTTTTGTTTTAAGGGATCGTAATCCCTAATTTTTATAAAACTATAAGCTCTGTAATAACACATTACTATGCTAACATGTCAAGTAAAAACAATTTTGTACTAGCTGATAGTGTGTCGAGAATAGTTTAACAGAATTTTGAAATTCATGTTTTCTAGCCCAAATTATAACCTTATTAATTTCATGTCAAATTTTTTTTATCTTAAAATAAATGGATTAAAGCGGTCATAAAAATTTATGTTTTTTAGGACAATGGAGAAGGTAGCGAATATGACTCTGATGGAAGTACATTTGCATCACCTCGTCGGCCATATTCTCATCACAGATCAAGAAAACAAGACAAAAAAAAAAGAAGATAATTTGACAATTTAATTAAATATGTACAAAATTGAAAAAAGAACTCCTCTTTTTTATGTATTTAACTCATGTTCCTTTTATTTTGTGTTCTTTGGTATTTATTTTTTTATTTTCTTGTTTAAAAATGTGTAATTTTATATTTTACTTTTTGTTTATCAAAGCTTTCATAAAATCTTGCATTTTTTCATATCCTGTGACCATATTTTATTTAACTACTATGTTGTTATTAGTATTTTTTATTTTATTGTTGTTATATTATAAATTAAGTATTAGAAGACCGTACCAGTGCAAGGACAGGCACATTTTCTAGGCTCTGTCCTTAATGGGACACAGGCCATAGCAGTGATTTTTTTGGAAGGAAATACATAAAACACTATTTTATAAAAGAAAAAATATTGTATTATGACTATCAATATCATTTAAACTAAGAAAACTATCCCCATTTTATTCTTGCACAGGCCCTTGTAGAATTTAAATCTGATACTATAGTTTAATTATGCTTTACTTTTATATATTTGTAAAAAATACACAAACAGATAATTGAGAATAACCTAATTTCATTCTTACTACATTTTAATGCAACAATATTTAAATCTTAAAGTTTTCGTTATTTTCTAAATAATATTTGATATTAATAATACTTTTTAATAAATATAAACATTCTTATGTAGCAAAAAGTCTTTCCTAGTAATTTTTTAATGGTATATTGCATCCAGAAAATGATATTCATGATAGGAATAACGCATCGTATACAGTGGCTTATTAGCAGAAAGATCCTACCAAAAAAAAAAATTATATTAAATACATTAATTTAAAGCCCACTTAACAATGCCATGTTTTCCTCTGTCACAAATCACATTGCTATTCTGTGTATAAGTGTATCGGGATCTGAATGATAAGTGTACGGTGGTAAGAGCTACAACGTTTTGGGTCATAATTTCTAATCTCGTACTGTATCTCTTCTTTCTATATTATTTCCTGTACGCTTTCGATGATTGGCAGTGTTAAAGTATTAATAACTTTCTTTCTCTTGTAAAAGTTGTTATACTTAATGACTTTGGGACTGTCTTTGTGTCAAGGATTATTTTGTTTTTAAATTAGGTCTTTTGTATCAGAGTTCATAAACTTTGATTCTATAACTATAGCTTTTGGCGATAGAAAGATAACACTACCTATGCAGAATTAATATTTTCGTCAATACATTTACAATAAATGAATATTTTTTTAACATAAACTATGTAAGTAGGTACAGCTTGTATACTTATGTTATATACTATACCTTTGCTGCATACCAACTGTATTGAAATGTTTGCAACTCAATAAGTACTTACCCTTAAGTTGTTAACGACACAACAAAATTTTTTGTATAAAAAGCTTAAAAAAAGGCAAATTTGAACAAATTATTTTTTTTACGTAGTCTAAGATAACAAAAATTGTAAAAAAAAAACAAAATTTTAATTGTATCAAAAGTTAAAAGTGATGTCAGTAAGATCTGATCCGCTCTGTACGTATAACTTAAGTAATCCATTCTTTCAATTTTGAAATAATTTAAAAATATAGCTCTTAATTTTTAAATTATTTTTAAAAAGTAAAAAATGTATGTTTATTTTAAATTAAAAATAACAAGTGGCTCTAAAAATTAATTTGTTCAATGGATAAAGTGGAAAAATGAATCTAGGGGCGATAGGAGTGATCGCCTTCCCTGGCCAGCGTTATACTTATTTTTAAAGACGATATTAAATAATTTGATTTTAAAGACTTTTATTTTTAGGTCATCATTGCTCATTAGGAAACAAATTTATCTGGGATGCTTATCAAAGTATAAAAAGTAAAGATGCCCTCCTTAAAATGAGTTTTAAGAACATCTCTGAATACCATACCCTGACTTGAAAATAGAGTACATAAAAGCCTCCCTATCCATGCTTGGGTCGTATTTAACCCCCTCCAAGACAAACCCCTGATAACACCACTGGTAGAAGAGTATTTAGTGTGATATGGATACGGTTATTGTCATAAATGTTCATAATTTTAATAATACTAAAAATTGTTCTATTTAAAATAATTTTTATATTATTTTAAAACATTAAAGAAATGTTCAACTTAAATTTTGGGGATGCTAAAATTTTTGTTCTTAATTATTGCTTAGAAATAATGGTATAATTATTATTTTCCATGATTTGTAGGTATTTAAAACTCCCAGATACTTTATATGTATGTGTGTCTATGGATTGTTATAGCAACCCATAGGCAGCTTATCTTCAACTCTATTATTCAATGATTTTTATCTGACATTTTCGCTCCCCCTTAAAATTCATCTATAACCATCACTGCCGCAACACCGTTGTTGTAGATTTGTTACATTAATCACATTATATGTTAATCCCATTATCAAATGAAAATTTTTCAAAATAAACCGCTCTTTTCTAATATAACAAAGAGTATAAATATTATATTCATGGATTTTTTAACCATGGAAGAATCGATTTAATGCTGCGCCATTCGTGCATTCCATGCTCCGCGCCGGCCGTTTAGCGCATCCCCACTTTACAACCCATTACCCCCGAATCGATGATGTTTTGTTATTCTTCGAGAATACGGACAAGATGGCCGATTAGGTTAAATCGAGTGTTTTTTTAACGTTCTTATGTCGATAAACCGTTGTCATATTAATTTTAAATTAAATGTTAAGCGAAATTACCGAGTGCATATCGCCGGCGATCAAGTGTTCTATTCGACAAGGGCCACGACCGCCGCGTACCATTTATCTGTGCATCTCAAACCGACACATTCTGTAATGTTTACGTTCCAGGTACCTACAAAACTTGCTTTATTTACATGAAATTTGCTTAAATGTTAGTGGATTTATCAATCTGTAGTTTATAAGAAAACTCTTTTCTATCAAAGAAGTGTTCTTCAGAATTTGTTGTAATTCAGTGGTGCTATTGCACCAATGTAAATATTGCTTCAATTTCATCTTCTATGTACTAATGGCGGTACATATTTATTTCACATAAATTTTTTTTTAGTTATCTTATCATTGGCGGGTTTTTTAATATTCTTACCTTATTTTTTTAAATTGATTACTCTCATGGGGATAGAAGTTTTACATCAGTTACAGACAGTATTTACTACATAATCATTTAAGTATATCTGTTATGTTCATTTTCACCTAACAATAGATATAAAATTTGGAAATATTTAATAATCATCTATTGAAAATTTTACTTTCCTCAGATTAATAATTATGCTATAATCTATATTTTTATAGTAAACTATATTTCTTGGATTTAATGATGATATTTTAACTAATATTTCTGAGTTTTTAATATTTGTTAGAACAAAATCCTAATATATTTATATTAGGATATATATATATATATAATATATTTAATTCTTTGATTTATTGTATAAATCTTTTTATATTAGTGGTTTAGTGTTAATTTTCAAAATATTTATGTCATACATATTAAAATTATGTCTGTTTAATTATTACAGATCACTTCAATGTATGATTATGAATTTTAGCAACTTTTAATTGCTTTATTTTTACTTAAACATAAAAATTAATCCATGTGAAATATTAAAATTAACAGAAACATGAAAAAAAAAAAACAAGATAAGTCAGTTTTTTGTAAATTGAGAAAATTAAATTTCAAAATGTATATAATATGTATTTACAGTACACAATAGTTTTTGGGAGCTATTACTTTCGAATAACCTATTCTTTCCACTAGTTTGGTAACTTTAAAGATGCATTGTGACATATCAATTATATTATTACTAAAATCTTAATATTAAAAAGTATTGAGTTATCTTGTTTTTTCATGGAACTTCGATTTAAAAATTTCATTGATTCCCCCCATGTCTTAAATAAGAATTTTTTACTAGTAGGATATATATGTACATTTTTAGTTTTTTATTTCGGTTTCTTTTTCTTTTTTATTTTTAATAGTGTTAGATTCCTTTTGTATACTAAATAATTAAAAAAATATGCCTATATGTTTGAAATATCAATCTTATATTGCTTACAGTATTTGAGAAAACTCATTATATCATTATTATTATTTTTTAAAAATTCAGAGTTTTCAATTGGGATAAATGAAATTTATAGCTGTAATATAATTTTTTTGTATATTATATACCAATTGGCCCATATTATACAAGTTATATTGCTGTTGTTTTATTAATTATTTATTTAAAACTCAAATTTACTTGAATTATGTAGTTAAAACCAAAATAAATGAGTGTATTATATTATAATATTACAGTTTAATATGCATCAAGTTGATAATTTTTAATTTTTTGTTTATTGAATTGTTATTAAGTTCATTCATAATTATTGGTAAAACAATGCAATGTTCATTGCATTTCATAAATTATTAATGAGGTTTACCAATATATTCAATAGGTCAAATAAAGAAATAGTCTTATCCTGAATTTAATTTATTTTACATAGGCTTTATTTACTTAATTATCTTATATAAAGATATTTTATGCTATTAAAATTAAAATTTTATTCAAATTGATTATATTTCAGTTGATGAATTTTTGTTTAATAATTTCATGAAGTTATTGATGAAAGTTTGGTTGTGTCATATTTTTATCTACTTTTCCTAGACAAGTATTTAGAAATTTCACTCTCGTAGTTTGTTTTGTATAAGAAATATTAACTTTCCCGCCAAATGAAAATTACAATTTAGAAAAATGCTATCTTATTGAGAAGATACCTAAATATTTATTATTTTAATTTAATTATGTATGAGTTAAACTCGGAGAGCTATTAAAATAATTTGATCTTAGAATAATTATTTGAAATAACGAGTTGTACGTATTCAATATTAATAACTTATTGTGTTAATTTTCTTGTAATTAGGAACTTTCATTATTTATCTTATACTATCCAAATTTTGAATATCGCTTGTATCAATGTGATATGAAGCAGAGTACGCGCGATTGTTTCTGTTCTTGCTATCATTAAGATGCTTATAAAATACATTTACTAAGTAGGGGAATGATGTACAAGTTACCAACGCTAGATTTGTATTTTTTTAATGTAGTACAATTTATCATCTGTATAATAAAAATTATAGTTAATTCGGCAATCATCTGTACAGCCTGTATGAGATATCAACGAGCAATTAATAATAATATATTTTAATATATTCGGTCGCTAAAAACCCCTTCAATGTGATAATACTCTGTGTTTTTTTCGTTTCATTATCTTGTTACGAGTATGTGTATGTACACAACGCCGCACCGTTTTGTTGTGCCTACCGGTGCGCACGCGTGCTACAGCGCCGTCGCCGAATTTCCCTCCTTTATCGGTACTTATAGCGCGGCGTGGTTTACCGGCGGCGACATTGCCCCATCGCGGGCCTCCATTCCCCGCGTACGGCCTTGTCTTCGCGGTTTTTATTTGTGCGGTGTACGCGCACGCGCGATGCGTCAACAGCACCAATCGCCTTTAGCATTCTCACCCATCTAGCAGTACTCACTTAGTCGATAAAATATTACATTACATTCATATATTAATTTATAATATGATTATTATGTATACACTTAATAATAGTAAACGATTTACTCGTATCTTTCGACTAACAATTGAAAATATCTGTTGCAATTGTCTACTTAAGAAATAATATTCTCAGTAGTTACCTATTTTCTCGTAGATAGCTATAAATACAATGTTTAGTCAACTTTCCTAGCTACTGAATAATTATTTTTTTGTCCTAGTTGTAACTGATAATAATATTACATGAATAATTTATCTGTTCATAACTATTGATAACCCCCCATATGCTGATTGATATTATATTATATACGTTGTAATATTTTATACATTGATGTAACAATATTTTCTTATGGTCAAAAAAATGAATGGCACTTTATGCGAAAAATTTCCTGCAAAATTATTGTTAGTTAAGTTGAAAAACTATTTGTTATAATATATACATATTCAATTAAATAATAGTTTGTGTAAACATTTTAATGATAATTCAAACTTGAATGCATCATTAAAGTCCTTTTAAAATATTTTTTGATAACAAATATGTATTAATACTTATTAACTTACAATTTATATTATCTTATTGTAGTTAACTTATGTACTTTTTTAACTTTTAATATTAACTTTGTCTACAAGCAAAAAATTAACCTTTTTTTTTTTTTTTTTTGTTAAAATGCCAACGACTATTTTTGAGTAACTGACAACAAAATTTTTACCAAAGAAAAAGAAAATTAGCTTATGCCTTATAAAAACAATTAAAGTTGATAATAAAAATTACAATTGACTATTATAAATTTATGTTATCAGAATAAATATCATTGGTTACCTTATTTTTTAATTCTTAATTATCTATTTTAATTGAAAAGTTGTTATGGTTTATTTTTATTATTTTCAAATTAATTATTGACACTGATGCACTGAGAGTGTGATATTTTTTACTGTTACTAACAGTTGCATTTCTAGTACTCTCCATTGTATTAAATTAGTATGTTTTATTTTGATTCTAGAATAAAGTAAAAGTAGGTTGGTAATGGAATCAGATGGTATTGTTAGGACACCAGGAAGCGCTGCTTACTTCCTCGTAGGTTCAAGTCGCGTACCATGTGGTCCTGCAGTTTCTGGCCAACTAACTATACCTGTTGGCCGTCCAGTGTCAAGTCAGGATATTTCTGGCCCAAGCCTCATTGTCCAAATGACACCATCTCGCAGTCAATCTCAAGATCACCATGCACGAGCCACTGTGGTTCGCACTGCAAATCAACCGGTTACAATGCATCGGTTTCCACTTCAGCTCAATCATGCCAGTGCCAATCATATATTGTCACCAAACCAACACTTCAAACAAATACCTGTTTACCAGGTATTTAATATAAATATAAAATAATTATTTAAAAAATAACATTTGTATTCATTTTATAGAGAAACACCAATTCCATTCAAATGGAATCTATTCGAAAGAATGTTTTTGTTTCAACGCCTGTAGCTCAAGCTCAGGTACCCTATAACCGAGTTGGTGTAACTCCTCATATGCTTATGACGTATATGCCTCCTCGTAATCGAATGGGTAATAGTCAACGAACTCGCATTGTTCCTGTTAGTCGTTCTACGTAAGTAAATATTGTTAGGCTTTTTACAGGCCATTTTAATGTTTTGTACATTTTAAGTTTTGAGTTACATAAATAACAATTATTTTAGAACTGTTTTGAGGCGAGATAATTGCCCCAGTGATGATGAATTGCTAGAAGTTACGGAGAACAGACCTGTGTATGATGCGAAAAAACCAGCTGAAGTACAAATATTCTTGTTTTTTACTATAATTTTAGTATATAACTAACTACTTAACTTAAAATGTATTACAGCTAATAAAAGTGGAGCATAACTATTGTTTTGTTCCGAGATTATCTCCACCCAAAAGTAACCAAATAAATGGATTGGCTCCAACACAAAGCATTAATTCAAGTCCATCATGCATAGTTTCACCTACAACGTCTACACAAAATGTATATAATATTACCAATAATAATAAAAGTAAGATTTCAAACTTGATAATTAAAATAAAAAGAAAAAAAAGTTTTTTTTTTTAATTTTTGTTTTTATTAGTTGTGCAAAAGCCAATGATTATCCCCAACAATGTGCCAATAACATCTACTGATTCCTTACAATCAGTAGTTAAGCATGAACCTCAAAATCAAGTTGAGAGTGAACTCAGTGCTAGTGATCATGATCTTGATGGCCAAGGAGAAGAAACAGATACTGCACCAGAAGCTGTAGCTGAAGGAAAAGACATAATAAAATCTGAAGAACCTGCTGTTACTAGATGCATTTGGTAAGCTGAACTAATTAATTTGTTTAAATTTTTATATATTTTTGTTTTAATTTTTTGTAGTGAAATGGAACATGATGATGGTTTTATGATAAGCTGTGACAAATGCTTGTAAGTATAATTTTCAAATTTAATGCTTGTTATAATTTTAAATGACATAATAACATTTTATCTATTAATTTATCTGAAATTTTATTTATTATTAGTTATAACATGCATAATTATTCAGAAATCCTTTGATGATTTGCTATGATTTATTTTAATGATTAGAGTGTGGAATTATATGCTTTTATAATTTTTGTTATGTCAGTCTGAACACACTATTAGCTAGTTCAAATTTTTTTTAATTGACTTAAAAACTGAATAAAAGGTTTTTACTATTATTATAGTTTTGGGTTTAAGAATAAAATGAAAAATATTTTTACACTACTTATTAATCCTATGATAAAGTTTCACAAATTTGGAACCTTTCAAAGTTGCTTAAACAAAATTTATAAACGCATATTATTCTATACTTTATTAATAACAAATGGCTTAAAAAATTTTTATTATTATTTTAGAGTTTGGCAACATGTTGATTGCGTTTTAGAAAGTAGGAATAATCTTCCTGAAGAATATTTATGTGAAAAATGCTCACCCAGGCCTTTCAATAAAGAAGCTGCTGCAGCTCTACAGCAAATGAAGTTGGCAAAAAGAATATCTATGTCTGCTACATCACATTTACGTCACTCTAGCGATTCGGAACTTTCATCTGAACCAGGTAACATTATTGTTTATATGTTTAAATTATAAAAGTAATAATTTTAATAGTTGCATAATATCTGATTATTAGCATATGAATAACCTCAGATTCCCTTCCAACCTTCTACATGACATTATAGAATCTTCTATATTCTTAAAAATTATAAAGCTCCGCTTAGAGTAAACAATCAGCTCCTTTAGTTAGTCCTTTAATTAATAGTTTAATTAACTAGTTTAAAAGTTAATTTTTTTTTTTAACTTTACAACTTAACTAGTTAATTATTTTTCTAATAAACTTTTTATCTTAACTAATTACATTTTCCATTTAAAATAACTTTTTTCAGTTAATTAATTAAAATAACAGTTAAGCTAAATTCAAAATTTCATATATGTGATTAATTAAAAAAAATTATAGAATTTTTCCCCCAAATATTATATTCATTTTCTTCTTTTTCCTCGTCTTAATCCCAACTACTTGGGGTCTGTCACCCTTATCCTAAATTTCCACTTGATACGATTTCCAATGTCATCTACGCTTACATCAGCTATCCTCATATCGCATTCAATTACATCCCTCCATTGTTTTTTCAATCTACAATTGACACTACACCTCAACTCCCTTATATTGTTCATTCCTTATCCTATCTTCTCTAGTCACTCCACTCATCCATATAAACATTCTCATCTTTGCTACAGATTTACAGACAGCAGCATTCTCTGCTCTAATTTTTTATCAATTTATTATATTTATATAACAATAAGTATAATTTTTTGAATTTTTTCATAAATATATGCATTTTTTTTTTTTTTAATAATTAGTTATAAAGATTAAACAGCGTGTAACCAACACCAAAATGTACAAAAAAAATATTGTTATCATTAATATTTTATTCCTATTCACTTTAACACCAATTCTTAGTTTTCCCTGTCGTCAACGACAATAAAAAATGATTTTAAGAGATTTTAGCTGAAAAAATTAACTTTAAATGAAGTAAACTTTTTTTAAACTAGTTAATTTAAAAAATAATTTCAAGTTATCTTTTAACTTAGTTAAATTTATAATTTAGTAATTTTTATCTATTTATTGACATTGTTCATACTTAACTTAACTTGAGTTAATTATTTCAATTAACTTGCCCATCCTTGATTTTTAAGTATGTTGTAAATATTATTGTTTATTTATTTACTTTGTAAAGTTTGGCTTTTCCCATAGTAAACATAAATAAAATATAACATGGTAAAATTTTGATAACTTTTATGTATAGTTAAAATTTAAATAAAAATAGTAAAATTTATTTTAGAAATGTATATTAATTATTACTTAAAACAATTTTTCAGATCAGAATAATGTACAAACTAAGCGAAAAAAATATAAAAGTCGCCAAAAAAATACACAAAAACGTAAATCTAATGGATTACCTCAATTGAAACAAAGAAGAAAAAATGGCCCCACACCAAGTACTAGGAAAAAGGGTTCCATTACACCAGAAAAAAAAGCAATAGCTGAAGAACGCAAAAAAATGTTGTTAAAACGAAAAGAAATGTTATTAGAAAAAAAGCGAATGGCAGCTATAGATAAGAAGAAAAAGGTTAATCAAGATAAAAAGATATTACATAAAAAGAAGGTATTAAATAAAACTAATTAATTAGTGTTATCAGAGGAATTACGTGAGGGTGTTGGGTATAACTCTTAACAATAAATGAGCCTACTAAATAACTTATGGTATAATCTTAACTTGTTGGACTAGAATATCAATATTGTGTCTAAAGTTAGATACTTATTTTGATAAACCATTATCAAACGTATCTTAATATAAAATTGATATAATTAAGACTTAACACTTAATGCATTTATAGAACTTGTTTGAGCCACTTTCATAACACTCAAATCTCTACAAATGTAGTAATAGTATACTCAATAGTTAAAATAAAAAATGTTTTATTCTGAGACAATAATCCTCTTGTAACCTTCATTTTTGAAATCCTATAATTAAAAATTGTAATATTATGTTAAGTTTCAAGAAAATGAATATGACCATTGATGATATAATATTAAAAATGTCAAAAACAAATTTTGAAACACCAAATTCTATCATAATTCAGAATATTTTTTTCTTCAAATTTTATGTTGCTATAATATAAGCTAATAGTAATAATTATAAAGAGTTATTTAACAAAACCAGTGATTCTTCAGTTTTCCATGTATGGTTTCAATTACTTTTGTGAATTATTAAAAACAAAAATTTGATTGAATTATTTTACAGGTTATTGATTATTCTTCTGATGATGAGCCTAAAATTTTTAAAACTGATAGACCTACGAAACAATATAAATCAAATATTGAACAACCTGTAGAGCAATTAAGAAATTGGATTGATAAATATGAAGAAGCTGTTACTAATCATTATTCTCAAGAACTGAGAGCTCGACTTTCATCAATTAAACCCAATGGGAGCATAGCTGTTGGTGAACTTCGTACTCCAGTTAAAATACCTATAAGCAGGACAAAAATTTCACTCTTGCCTAGTGGAATTAAGGTTAGTTTTAAAATTTTTCATTTCTAAATCAAATTTCAGTATTTTACTGAATAATGTCAACATAATGATTAAAATCTTTATTAAAATATCTTTGCTGTACTATTATTGTAGAGAAAATATAGTAGTTATTCTTAAAAGTTGGTGTATTTATCTTAATATTATTTTTTAATCATTTAAAGTTAGTAAAATGAGTCATTTTTACAGATTAAAAATAAGAAAAGCTAAGCAACTTACTACCTAAAATAAATAACTAATATTTTATTCATTTCAATATACTTATATTTTAATATGCACTTGTGTTGTTTTATATATATCAGTAACATAAGCAGAATTTTAAGAGGGCATTACTAAAAAACAATTTTAATAATGTTTAGGTGTTTTTTTTTAACCTAAAATGTAAGTTTAGTACAGTCAATAAGTGGATATTTAGCATTTAGCCCCCTAGATATGCCACTGGTATCTATTCTCATTGATTTTTTGATAGAGATTTGTTTGATAAAAAATCTTTTTTATTTAGAATTACATTGTCTGGTATGATTGCATGAAATTTACTATCATTAAATTTTTATGTTTGTAACTTTATTTGTATCATGCTTTTTAGATGTTGGTGAGTAGTTCAGTATTGACAAATAATCAGCCTATAATTGAAGTACGGGGAAAATTCACATGGACAGGCTCATTAGCGTATAAAGATCCAATTCCCAACCGAACAGATCCATATGTATTTTTCTACTTGGTACGATTTTCATCTGACTGTGATATTGAAGTTTGTGTTGATTGTCGTACTTATGGAAATGATGCACGTTTTGTGCGTCGTTCGTGTAAACCCAATGCAGAGGTATGTTTAATTTGTGACAATTTTCTTGTTATTTTATACTTTTTAATTTAGTTTAATATAATATATTTATAGAATAAAATTTTCCTTTTTTTCAGTTAAAACATTATGTTGAAAAGGGTTCTATTCATTTGTACATTGTGGCTAATCAATACATTGAAAAAAATAGTGAAATTACCATTAATCATCAAGTACCAGTTCCTGTGAAACGTTGCCATTGTGGGGATCCATCAACTTGTACAGCTTCTATGAATCCTCTACCACCTGCAACTCCACCTTTGTCAGTTGTACCTGAAAGCTCTTCTTCATCACCTCTTATTGATCCTACTGTAAGTCACTCATCAGATGATGATGAACAAAAGCCCCAAAGAACTAAAAGAACAAGACAACAACAAAGTCTTAAAAAATCCAATAAAAAAGTAATAAAAAGATCTATACCTAAATCTAACCCAACTCCTCCTGCATTAAAGAATCGAGAACCCAATGGTCCTGGCCGACCTAAAAGCCCTCTTAAAAAAATAGAAACTAGTCCAGAACCAGATAATAAGTCAAACAATGATAATAAAATGGTGAGAAGACTAAGCGAGATGGTAATATATAAATAATATCAATTTTTTTCTTATTCTTCGTATTAAAAAATTATTTTTAAATTTCAGTCACGTGAAGAAAGAAAAATGGTGGCTATTATGAAAGCATTTGAACGAATGGAAAAAAAAGAAGCTAGGAAACAAGAGGCGAGATCGCATAAAGACGATTCTTCTAACAATTCTCCTCAAAACATTAATAGAAATAGAGTTCGTAAAAGTGTAGTGAAGTAAGTAAAAATATAAATTTATTTGCTAAGTTTGTCTCTTAAAGTGTGATTTCTTTCAGTTTACTATAGAAATTTCAAATTTTATTTTTAAGTAGGGTAAATGTAAAAAAACAAATGGGGTTACTTTATTTTATTAGAATAATTAGCAGATTTTATATTATTTGTAAAATTCTGACCCTTGTATGTGTTGCTCTCATATTAAATGAAAGTTCAAAATAAACATTTATGCATTTATCTGAAAAAAAATTATTTGTAGACATCACCTTATGTTTAAATTATTTTTTTTAACTGACAAAATCTTGTTTTATTCTCTTCTTTCATCCTTTAAACCCACTTGTTTGTGTGATTGTAAAGTTAATCATTATAAGAATTACTGTTAAATTAAATAAATTAAACTTTGTATTATGTCATAAAATTTTTTCGAATTTTTCAATAAAATTATTTGCAGCTATAAAATGTTTAAATTAGTATTACCGTTTTAATACCTCTTAAAAATTTATGATTTTATTGATCTATAATAAATTGCAGAATCATTTAGAATAATATGATAAATTATTATGTGTTTAAGGAGAAAACAAAGACCATCCAAAAATAACCGTTCTAAATCAACTAGAGCAAGTAGGCCTCAGCGTCGAGCAGCAGCTATTGCAAGTCGTCCTTACAATAGTTCATCTGATGAAGATGATAATAACAACGATGATGATAATGAAGATGATGAACGAAAAGGCCGATTAATATCAAGAAAACGAATGCAAAATCGTTGTAAATTTTCTGTACGTTTCCAACATAGGCCGACAACACAACCAACTATTTCACGTTCAATTTTACGGAGATCACCTCATAATAGTCTTTTAAACACGCCCGTGAAAATGGATAGTGAAGAGGCAAGTGGAAGTGAAGGAACTCCTCCTGCACCATTATCCAACACATGCATGCTAGTTGCAGCAGCAGTCGGACCTCTGGCTCCAGGGTTTAAATTTCCAAATACCAAAAAAGTGATTAAAAATCCAATTGCTTATAGAATTTTAGTTAATTTAATTATATATTAATTAATTTCATATATTTTAATAGGATTTTGTAAACTCTTGGGTAAAATCTGAAGGAAATTCTCCTACTGGTAATGAAGATTATAAAGTAGGAGAATCTGGTTGTGCTAAGAAACGATGGTTGCAACAAGCTATCAGTGAACAAGATACTCATGATAAGCATAGTGTGTATTTATAAATTTGTTATTTATTAATTTTTTTTTTTTTTTTAACTATGAAATTGTTAATTTCTAATATTTGTGTTCCATAGATTCTATTGGGCTGTGTAATGGAGACCAACAAGTGGGACCATTGAAAAAAAGACGAATGGCTCGAGAATCAATGTCCGAATGTCAATCTCCTACAGTCCCTGGATCAGGGCACATTAGTTTTGCAGAAGAAGATGTTATTGAAGATGAAGAAGTTGAACAAGCTTCTCGTAATATTGCTTCAATTGATTCTAAACTAGCTATGTTTGAAGTATGATTAATTTTATTATGATCTATGTGTAAATTAAAATCTGAAATTTTAATTTTTTTTAGAATAAAAGTTTACCACTCTTGAGCTTACAAAAAACAAATACTGTTGCCTTGGTTGAGTCATTTTTGGGTGAATTCAAACCTGACGAAGAAAGTTGTAGTTCAGAACCTCAGACTCCCGAAAAACAACTTGGAATTAGATCTCCTGAAAAAGAAAAGTTTATTGAATCTAAATTTAAGCCAAAAGATGTCTCAATTTCGCGATTTCTAAAAAACCCTATACAAATAGAAAATAAAATAATTTCATTGCATGATATTAAATTAGATCAATTGCATGGTACTACTACTTTAACAAATAATTCTATTATTACTACTTCTACTGACTCTATTATATCAAATATTGCACCCGTTGAATCATGTCACGAAGTTGCTAATATTCCAATTCCACCTGAGAAGTGGGAAAATGCCCAGGAGAAACATTCCCCAACACCTCCTCTTCCACCTGTAGAGAATAAACCTCCACCACCACCACCACCACCACCTCCTGTAAAGCGAAAGGTAACTTACACTTTAACAAAAAGTAACTAATATCTAAAATTACAAAAAAAAATGACCATGAGTACTATTTACTTTTTAGCTATCTCTATCGGAATATAGACGACGAAAAGAATCCCAAGCATCTACCACTAAAGAAAAAGAAGCTGAGTCAAGATCTAGTGATACAACTAGGCCTTCACCTTCTGTATCTCCTAATACTTCACTTGCTGCATATGAAGAAATTACTCAGCAAGTAATTGCTAAATCTTTGGAACTAGAATCAAAATTGGCACAAAAGTCAACAGGGCCATCAATCTTTGAAACTAGTAAAGAAGAACCTAAGCAATGGGAAAATTTGAATGATAGATTGCGTAGACAATTTGGTGTCAATATTACGGAAGATTTACCAAAGAGACATCCTAGATTGTCACCGCCTCATGATTTTATCCCACCTTCAATAGAACCTTCACGATGTAAGATTCTTATAAATTCTTTGTTAAAACATTAACTAAGTTTTTTATGACCATTAATGTTTATATTGTACTTACCTGCTATTGTATAAACAAACAATTTTAAATTCATGAATTTTTTTAACGTAGTTTATATATTAAATAAATCATTACCTTAAAATAATTTGTATTTCTTTATAAAATATTTGTGCTTTAAGTCATTAGTTTTGTATAAATTATAAGTATTTATGTTTTTAAATAATCAATATTTCTAATTTGTTTTTATTTTATATTAATTTTGAAAAAAATATTGGAGTAACTTACCGTTAGAAAACCATTACATTAAACGAATTCAGTGTCAAAATATATTATAATTTTTATTTTCTTCCAGATCAATATTATCAACGTTTAGATAATGAGCAGCTTTATCCATGCTCTAAGGAGGATGTAATGTTACCTAAGGCCAATGTCCACGACAACGGTCCTCCCAAACTTTTTAGTCCTCCATCACAAGCATACTATTCAACAATGTTCTTTAGACAACCACCACCTCCACCTCCACCACCTCCCCCACCAACGGTATGATCATTCATAGCATTTAATTATAGATACATTAATACATTTTCTTAATTCTTAATGAATAAGCTTATAAATAGATTATTTTTAAATCAATCAAAATTGACTTATTCGTTTATTTTTTCATAAATATAAAACACCATTATAGTGTTTTTAGTGTAAATATTAAATAGGTTTATTTTTTCCTTCCATTATCTTTTTGTTGAAATTTCGTTGCTTTCAATTGAAAGAATTGAAATAAAACAGTACAATTAAGTTAATTTTATAATTATTATTTATAATTTTATAATAAAAAATTAAAATTATAAAAATTTGTTACATAAAATATTTATGAGATCAGATGCTTTACAAATATGTAATATATTTTAATTATTTAAGACTCTGTTTTTACTTTTTGAATACTATGGATTCAAATTATTGATAAGTCTATGAAGAAATTATAATATACATTTTTCTTTTTTTATGTTTGTATATTAGTTAATTTTTGACTCGGTATGTTATTACAAATAAATTTATTATGTATAATATAAATATTTTTTGAATGAAAGTATATAAATATAAAAATTATAAAATTGATGATAGATATTATATATTATTACTGTAAATTGAATTGTTTAGATTGTAAAGTTTAATATTTTTGTGCAAATTTTAATATTAATAAAAAAGCGTTTTGAAAAATTTTGTTTTTTTTTCTTATTGTGAATTATTTAAAGTAATAATTGATATATTGTATCAGCATCTTCAATCCTACTAATTTAGTGTCATTCATATTACAAGTAATAGAAAGTATTTTTATTGCAAAACTAATATTGTGTATAGCTAATGACAAACAGCTAAACTTTATTGCAATAAATATTAATATTAATTAATTGTATTTAATTTTAAACGTTTTTCATAATAAAATACAAAAATCCAGGATGTACCATGAGCAGTTAATGACGCGAGAGACAAAAATCAATTTTACAAACTAGATTAAGCTATTCATAGTGCCCAGGTGGCAATCATTCCTGTAACCAGTCCACCCTAACAAAAACTATTTATTAATTATGTTTATTGAAAAATACTGATTTTTAAATTTACTATTAAGTAAATAATAAAATATATATATCATAACTTCATTTTAAATAAAATAAGCAATCTGTCTAATTGTAGGGTGCTAGAGTTTACAACACACTTATCAATACTACTGTACATAATTTACATAGTTGATTGTAAATGTTTAAATATTTTACAAAAAAATGTCAACTACAATAATAATTTATTAGTTTCAACAAAAGAAATTTTCATTTTTTATGGTTTATGATAATAACTTGTAATTGAAAATTAAAACCTGTTTTTAGAATTACTAATAATTACCTATTTTATATCTTATGGTAAATACATTTAAAGAAAATGTAAATCTGGAATTATTAATTTTCTCAACTATCTTTAAGATAATATATTATAATATAAGATATTTTAAGATAACCATTTAAGCATTAATAAAAATTAAATTTAAACAACTTAAACTAGTTATCTGCTTCATATTTCATGTATCAAATCATAATTACATTAAAATTCCAAAATTTATAACCATACCTCCAGTACATTGCTTTATTATTTTCGCAAAAATACTTTATAATAAATTTAAAATAAACAGATTAAACCCCTGATGTCGTTTATAGACTATTTATCTAATTTTTCTACGATCTATGACCTAATTGATTTTTTAAAAATTTTTTATGAACAAGTAATTTGAAGGGGTAGTGTGGCACAGTGGACTCTTCAGATGTTACCACGCTTTGAAGTTAAGCTTTGTCTATTGTTGTATGTTGTTGGATTATTTACCACACAATTTCAATAGCAGCAAACATTATGTTCCTTAATACAGAAGACAAGCGGGAAACCACTGTACTTAGTAATTTCCTAGGATACATCACTCCAATTTTTAAAATTAGTTGGTGTTATAATAATATAAAAATATTGACTAATAAGAAATTATATTTAAAATCAAATGAAACATTTAACAATATATCTGGGCAATAATATTTGTTTCACATAGATTTTGGTAATAAAAAAAAATAGTTTAATTATTAGTAAATCAAAAAAGAAATATAACATAAATTCAAGTATAAAAATTGTTTTAAAAAAATAACTATATAATTAAATAATAACAGTGTTATCATTATTCAGAGTTTATGTCAATTGTCTTATTTTGAAAGGTTCAAATTAAAAAAAAGCAAATAATTAATATTAAAAATTGTATTGATAGATTTAAATTAAAGTTAACAATATACATGTATAAATGTTAATGCTAATAAAATGCTCCATAATTTTTTTGATAATTCATATTACATTCAACAAAGTATCAATTTTAAAGAAATATTATGAAAAGATAAGAGTACATCATTTTTTTTACAATTTATGGATGAGTTCCTGTTAACTTTTTAAATAGTCAGTAAAAAAATTATGTACAATAAAAATATTATAAAACGAAGTGGGGACACAGTATACTTGTAGTTAGTTTCACTCTAAACTAAATATATATAATTATTGTATAATATAAAATTTTAGAAACTAATAAGTAGTAATAATAATTTGTTATATCTTAACATTATTTACAGAGTGTATGTGTTGGCAAACACTATTGAATTAAATTAGATACTATCAACTGATGACACAAATTTTGATGGGTTTACATGTCATAAGTTTTAAAGGATAAACCTTTACTTAGTATTCTTAATAAATGTATTATATAAATAAATTTTGACTTAAACTGCCTATCGACTTAAATTAACAAAAATTTATTTCAACAAGTAAATTTGAAATTTTGTTATTAAACAGATTTGCAATAATCAGTACTTATAAATAATTATACAAAGCAGTCCATACCAAACTGGCAAAAAAAATATTAAATCGTTTATAACCATACGATATTAATATTAGTCTTTTTCTCTGTGTTGAGAAATAGTTACGTGGAAGTTGTATTTATTAAAATTATTGCAAATACATTACATAATAACACCAATTATAAAATTGGGCCATGTAATAATATTAACATTTGTTTGGTATAGCCAAAATCAATAATATTATATTTAAAACATTTCCTCTAAATAACATTTTCTTTTTTCTGTAATTTTTAAAAGTAATTGGGAAGACGTAAGAAAATGAGTAAGATATCTGACTATAAATTATACCTTTAAAAAAATTGTTAATAATCTGTACAATATTAAAGTTACATTCAATGAAATTGTCATGGTGGTTAAAATGTGTTCAGCTACCATTTATAAAAATCAATTTGAGTTACAATTCAGATGAATTTTTGAAGCATAATTCATACTCTAAAATAAATATTGATAACATTTTTAATATCAATATGATCTTTAGCATTATATAAAATAATTTTAGGAAATGATAATGTATACTATGTTCATAGGCTCATATATAAATTATACTTGAATTATGTGTTCATGCATAAAATTCTCTGTGTGTTGATTTTAAATACGGATTGGTAGCAGGTGAACGCTTAGTTTCTTCCAAAGGATACGAGCCTTCATCTTTTTTACGCATCCTATAAACAATAAACATAACCACCAAAATTGCACACAGCAATCCCACAACAGCACCTCCAATAACCGCTGAAATGAATTTGAAGAATTATTTTATTATAAATAACTGAAATTAAAAAAAATTATCATAATAATATCAAAAGAATTTAAATTACCTGCAAGGATACCAGGTTGTGCAAAAAATGATGTTGTTCGTTCTGGATGGTTATTAGGACTAATATATACTCCATTACTAGAATGCTCATCAATAGCATTAGATGGTGGTGGTGCCAGAGTACTAGAAGTTGTTGTTTGAGGTACTTCTGGTACATCTACTGGTTCTCCATCCAAATCCTCCATTCTATTTGAGTTCTAATAAAATAAAAAAAATTATTTATTTTATGTGTTTATTTTTAAGTCATTCAGAAATATAATGCTATTAAGATAGTCATTTTTTTTCTTATTCTTCATAAAGAGGATTTCCTTCAAACAGAAATTCATCTTACAATGATTTAGTCTTAATATTAATAATAGTAATATTCAACTGCATTAAGTTATACACATCAAAGATCTTAATTGAATGCATATATATAACTAAACATTATATGGACAGATATTATTTTAATATACATCCTTAGAAGTACATTTAAACTAACACCAATTTGTATTAATTCTTAGATTATCATATATACTAGAATAGACTTAAAAAAATATAAATGTGCCTACTATATCAAAATAATATTTTTTGTGACAAACAAATTGAATGGGTGTGGTTATTTCAAGAAACACATAAAATGTCGATTAAACATCCATAAATACTCTTAAAAGATATTTTTGTTAAAAGATAAATAGATTATGGAATAGACTCAACTTAAAGTGTTAACACTCTGTATAAATAATTCTACTTAAAAATGTATAGTATAAATATGTATAATTAAATAACATTTGTATATACGTGCAATCATAATTAAGTAGATATTTAATTTTCTAAACGAATACATGAGGTACTAAAAAATAGTCTTATAAATAAATAAAATCTCAGATTAGCATTGCAAAATTTATATAAAAATATGCAATTCATCAGGTAGGTTTGAGCAAAAAGTGCAGACTATTCAATTAAAGTTCTTGGTGATTTTGTTGTTACAGACATAACCGAGGTAAAAAAAAGATGTGTAATCAAATTTCTCATAACTTATATCAAACATAAAAATTCCTACATTATGACATACAACACATTGCAACAATAATAACATACCTAACATTGGTTAATATTCACTTTCTATGAATACAAAAAATAAATTCCATAATACTAAATTAGGAATTTAGTGTATAAAATAATTAGAACAATTTACAATTTAAAAAGGTTTTTATTTGTCTCATTGTTTGTAACAATTGACCTGTGTTTCCATACTTTTTTAACACTCTGTATATATACAGAGATGATATATATCACTCGATTACTTATAAAAGAATAATAAATTTGAGAAATTTTTTTTTTGCATTTCTCAAGTATATATAAATCTTAATTTTACTATTGTAAGGTATTTTTTTTATTCATCCCTCATGCATTATAAGCTTATCAACTTTTTTTTAATAGAAACAGATTTTTAACTAGCTAATAAAATATGTAATCAAACAAATGACTGGTCGATAATAACTTTTAGACCAGTATTTGAGAAGTTATTAACATTTTTATACCTAGACAGGAGAAATAGATCAAGAAATGCCTAGGGATTAAAATAACAGCACCCATTTTTGATCTGTAGTCATTACTTAATAATTTCTAAAATACTAGTCCAAAAGTTGTGTTATGGACCAATCATTTTTTAAATTACTTTATTTCTTATTTTAAAAGCTAATTAAATGTCTGTTTAATATTAGCTCATAATAGCTCATAGATCTAGAGAAGGCTTTCAATAAAATAGATTGGAGTATCTTATTCAAGATATTAAGAGAAAAAGGAATTGATTGGAAAGATAGATGGCTCATCTCCAACTTATATAAGGATCAAACAACAAAAATAAATGTAAATGGATCTGTAAAAGAAACAAGAATTAGGAGAGGAGTGAGACAAGGATACCCTTCTAAAAAATAAAGACAGATGATGAAGGTGATTGAATCAAGAAAAATAAAGTTAACATCTTCAAAAGAAAAATAATTGGGAAGAAATCAAGAGGACACCCAAGAATCAATAATTTGAATATATCTTGGAACTCATGAACAGTGTGTTTTTATTTTACTGTAGAATTTGGCATCAAATAGAGAGGAGTGATTTTAATCACAAAGCATTGCCTTTAATAGACAATAATGATGATGACCTAATAGCAGATACAGGATGAATTAAAAAATACTGAATAGTGGATAAACGAGAATTATAATATGTAATTGAAGAAATATAATAATAAAAATTAAGAAGAGCAATAGAGTAAAGAGGGTTCATGATTCAAAGTTTATTTTGTATATATATACATATATACATATACAGATAGGGTATCCCATCAGGTCATATCTTTAATAACTTTTGATATAGAGAATATTTTGTGTTATCTTTTTTTTTTACTTCTATTAAAATTTCAAAACAAAATATTTTTAGCTTTTTTCTTACAAAAAGTTTTATTGGGTCAACATTAACTTAAGATTGAATACTACTTAATTTGTTACAAGTGTTTTAATATTTGGTACGGTATATTAGAATGTAACACAGATGGATATAGCTTGTATGTTTATAATGCATACTTTACCCACACTACATACCTATCCTATATATTAAAATGCTTGTAACTCAATAAGTAATTATTCTAGATATTCAGAATATTTTATAAAAAAATTTCAAAAAAGTGAAAAAAATTATTTTTAATTTATTAAAATAAATAACAAAAAATGTGTTATCATAGTTCAAAAATGTAAAAAAAAACAATGCAGAATATTTATTGGATCAAAAGTTATTAAAGATATGGGACCTAATGGGACACTCGTACACAGTCATGTGCTATGTTATTATCCTAAAAAATTATGATAAAGTATACTTGTCTCTCTAATATTTTATGACTCAATTTTAATCATAAATGATAAAAGTATAACACATACTGTTTTTGATATATGAGTCAGTTACACCATTATTTTATCTAAAATTATTTCAGGTTCTTAGTAAATATAAAATTCATTATTTCCCATGCATATTAAAGTATTACCAATAAAATAAATATCAACTATATTTTGAAACTAAGAGAATAAAAAAGATAATTTTATGTGTTTTGTCAAACATACCTTTTCATCTAACACTTTTGTTTTAACTACAGATTCTTCCTCAATATCTGGTTTTTCAGTTGTTGTAGTGGTAGTTGTAGATGTAGTAGTGGTTGTAGATGTACTTGTTGTAATAGGATTATTCTTACGTGGCGATATTTTTAATCCAACATTATCTGTTTTTTCTTCCTCTTCTTCATCTTCATCTTCTTCCTCCTCTTCATCCTCTTCATCCAAATCAGGTGGATGTTTTGATTTAACTTTATTTATTTGAGCATCTTCATCGTCTGGACCATAACCTGAGCCACTAGACTCCATGTCTTCAACACCTGTACCTTTAGATGAACGACCCATACCACTACCTTCAGCGTCTTGATCTAACATCATATCATCAGCATCCAATTTATCAGTATCACCATCATTATTATCTGTTTCATCATCTATAAATACTTCATCTTTAGAAGCTTTGGTAGATACTGAACTTAATAAAGATCCATTTTTGTTATTATCCGAATACACCTAAAAATAATGATCAATACATTACTATAATATTACGTTGTTTTCAAATAATTAATCATACAATTACTTAAATACAAACACTTAAATTATGTTCAAATATGACATATTTTATATTTCTTTTTTAATATAATTAAAAATAATAATAAACAATGACTAAGATATTAGAATAAATATCTGATGTTTAGTATGATCAAATTAAACTAGGCCAATAAGCAATAATATATATATATATATATATATATAGCAGAAACTAATGGTACAAAAAATGATTATTTTATATAATTGTGATGGTCTGAATATTAATAGTAATTCATTACAATAATGTATTACGAATAGTATATCAAAAGTGTTTTTGTTGTAAGCTTAAATTGAAAATAAAATGTTTTTAAATTTTAAATAAAAGGGTAGTTTAATACCTTATTGTCTTTTAGTAAAACTTTAAAATAAACAATAAATAACAAAACTACTCTACTTCCGATACTTCAAATACGTATTTTTTTATTAAATAATATCAATTATAAATACTATTTATTATAAAAATATTCATTCCACACTTGGTCATAGTATAAATTAATTTCATTTCAATAGTACTACAGAAGGTAAAATTTTTTTTTTTTATCATATTACAGTTATTTTTAATTAAACCATAGAAATAATATTTAAGAATTATAACGATTATATTATTAAATTGGTATTGTTAGTTAATTATTCTAAATCTATTTTACATAGTTACTTTGTTAGAGGTGGTCTACACCTGGATTTATAAAAAAAAATGATTATTATAACAAAGGGTTAAGCTATTAGATCTTTCTAAAATTGTACTATTATAATAATCAGCATTATTTCTTTTTTAACAATGAAAGATGAAAAATTTACTAGAAGTATTATTAAAGTGGATTATTCCTTTGAATACTATACACATTTAAAGACTAGTATTGAAACAAGAAGACATTAATTGCAACATATAATAAGGATGTTGAAACAAAATTCAGTCCAGTTGAACTTAGCATAGGGTCTAAAAACATGCAAAAACAAGTGAAGTAAATCAAGTTTAACTCATCAAACATTTTTTACTAGTTATGCCAATGCACAACAATATAGAATTCTATTGTAAGAACTAGATAATCGGGACACTACTATGAAATTTCGTTTAACTATTGCAGGTAAACACTTACTGTTTGTGTGAAGAATATAGAAAGTAATCCCAGACAAAGGATTGTAGGCTGCATGGTGACAGCAGTGGTGATACAGTTTTTATAGAGATGCACAACTCCCTAGGCTAATGGCTTATTCTATTAACTTCCTGTTGAGGGCGGCGATGGCTATCACCTACGTCGGAACAGTAAACGGCGATGCGATCGTTATGTGGCCGTCGACTACGGTGCGCTTAAGAATTTTCATGGACACGATTTGATGTCCGGCGTTGCTAACGTACACACAACATACGTACACGGCCAAGTTTAAATAAGTTTAAACACCAATTATGATAATATTGTATTTTATTGCAAACGGAAGACGGTACACGGCGCGTGTGCGGACTACAAACAACAAAACGCTGTCCGAACAGCAAAACTATAAACGAAATTCTGCAACGACGTTGATGATGATAATAGCAATAAAAATATTAATATTATTATTATTGGCGACTACCGATTGCTGCTGGTGTTCAGAGGAATGTCAATCTCAATCAATGAACGGAGAGGTGGATTTTTTCCCTCTCGCTCGTACACACTGACGACAGCGGTTCTCTCTCTATCCGTCCGGGTCTCCTCGTTCTATCTCGCTCACTCGCCAGCACACATGTACGCGAGCGGACTACTATCCTATCGAAACAGTGTGGTACACTGCCGAGTGCTTCTATTCGTTTTACACGAGCTGAGTCGGACGATCCAGACGTCGACGTCGGCGGCGCTATGCGCTGACTGTGCTCTGTGCGAGCCCCGCCCACGGCTCAGTAGTGGCGACGGTCGTAAACAGGCACAAGGCTTTCACGTATACCATTGTGTGACCCATATGCGCGTGTCGCCCGTGCGGCGAACCCCTGCAGGTGCTGCTGCCGTCCTGCTAATGGAACATGTGGCCACCAAAAAGGCACAACTACCTGGACGCCGAAGAAAACCAATAAGGCAATAACCATAACATTTTAAAAGCATTAGCACACATGTATTGAATACGAGTTAAAATTTGTCGTCAAAGAACCGGCGTCTGCCAGTTTCTTCAATTGAGTAGGAAAAAATACATTCAATGGGTTGTCCCGTCAAATAGTAATTTATTATGTCATACAGGTTAATACACTGTGTAACGATTCTCTAATTGTTGCACTTGCACGATGCTTGTCACTTTGATAAACGAATATCATTAAGTGACAACATAGGTGTGAAACAATTACACGCTGAAGTGTTTATGCCACTTAATTAGTGTTACTAATAATGCTACAAATGTGTCTGAGTGAATGACTTTATTTTTAACTTGTATCACGAGATGATACAACAACTATTTAGAGGCACCTACATTATCATTACTGTTTCAATTTTTTATCAATTTTCAATTTTAGTTTCTCGAGTTAAATATCTAAGTTTTAGGTAATTACTTTCCACACCGTTGTAAGGAGTGCCATTTTTTGAAAACTAATAAATATCTAATTTAAATCAGCCATTTGTTTAAACAGCTGGGTTTGGACGAATTGCGTTGAGGAACGTTCGATTATATTCGGACCCATCAGCGTCGATTTTAACGAAAATCTAAAATACACCATTGCTTGACATTTTACTAAAAAATATTTATTTGAATTCACAAAAACAAGAATTTATGACTTACAGCCACAACCATTTGCTACTTAAAATAATTTTCTATGTGTGTGATAGTTTTCAATTTAGTGTAGATGTTTCTGTATAACAAAAAAAACAGAGAGTGCAATGCCCTCTCCAAATGGTTACTCTGATTATTTCCTTTGTAAGTGCATGTTAACTTTCAATTTCCGGACGTGACTGTCACAATAATTAGTTAGTGCTTTAGGTGTAGCTTCCTGAAAACTCAATTTCCAACATTGTTACTACGTTCAGTTCATTTGAAATTTGATCAGCAATGTGAAATTATCATTCAAAGTACTATGTATTTTTAAATCTGTTTTCTCTTGATAAATTAATCGATATTAATAATATCATATTATTTCAAAGTAATTAACGTGTCCTATAATCTGCCTTCTTATTACTATTCAACGGTACCAGTAGAGGGTAGAAGATTTTTTTCTAATAGGATAAATACTTTAAAGGCTACATTGCTAAAAAACTCGCTCAATCGCTGACTTATTGAATCGGCTGCTACACGAAAAACTCCAAATATTACTCGTTTACAATAATAATTTTAGTTTAGTTTTTAACCATGCATCGTTAAACATTTTAATTGTACGATTGAGTATTTCAATTTAATAGTGTGTATAAACGTCGAATTCGATCGTTCTTATTTGCTGATAACTTATTATTTATTATCAACTTTATTGATATTAATTAAAAACGATTCCAATGTCTGACCAATTGTTCCAATCTAATATTAATGCACACTTTTCTCTTCAGATCACTGAACCATAAACTATTTATGCGCGGCCAATTTGCTGACGATTAAAGTAATTTGCTGGGTGAAATATTATCTAGTCAAGTTGATATAATTGATAAAACAAAAATTAAAATAAATACCACCATAAAGCGCTTTCTTTTGTTGAATTAAAATTAATAGTTATATTAGATTTTCTATGAACTTTTTGTCTACATTAAGTAATTTAAGGACATATTAAAATGAAGAGTGACTCTCACTTGCAAATTTAACGGAAAAGTCAGCAAATCGTAAAAAAAAGACGATTTATTATAGATATTTTTAGTATACTTCAACAAAAAATATTACAAGTCGACAATTTAGCATTTTTCGCTAATTAATTATTCAACTGTTATATTTATTAAGTCTGATGATATTTACAAAAATAAGAAGTAAGAACAGAAAACATTTTTTTAGTTTGCATTTCAAATTTTATAATTTACAAACATTACTAAAAATAAAGAATTTATAATTTTATTTTTAATGTTAAAAAAACATGTAAGTTTATTTGTAGTTATTTATCGTTTCTTAAATTATTGTCTTTATTAAGCTTGTTATCACATTGATAATTACTTACATTTAGTTTAATAAATACTATTTGAATTATGCAAACAGTTTAAATCATGTTTATTTAAAAACGTCATATTGAAATATGAATATTTCAATAACTCTTATACATGAAGAATTATGAAAATTTAGTTATCTTATCTATTAATTTATTATTTAACTATTGAATAGTCTATGCTTAATAAATTGATGACTAACAATTATTTGGACATTCTAATATTTCTTTAAATAATAAACAACCGTTTATTTAAAACACAGCCTATTTATTTATAAATATAATTATATTCGTTTGAACGTAGTTCGTAATGTCAACAACCGCTATTTTTTTTTACTTAAAAATATTTCAATAAGACATATATACTTAAAATGATGTACTACAAACAACACGAGATTTAAAAAGGTTTGTTCTATTTAAATGTATCATAAATAGAATAATGCAAAAAAAAAAATTGCGCAATTGTTAGTTAGTATCATAAATACTTTAGTTTCCGGGATTAATTAATACCACTCACATGTACAAAAGCAAATATTTAGTTAAAGTAAAATAAAAATTAATAATTTAGTTAAAATATATAATTTTATATTACGGTAAAGAAATAATATTTGTAAAGCAAAAGTTAGATGCACATCAAGCGGAGTCTTTAACTCCCTAAAAATATATGAAATATCTCTTAGAATCCTTTTTTTAGTTAATATTGCATAATCAGACGCATAGTGGATGATTTTTTTCCGGAAAATTACTGGAAAATTTTTTTTTTTTTATAATACAGGGTTATTAGTAACACTTGTTAGGATATAGGTACTTCTAAAAGGACTAGGATATTTCCTGATTCTGGTCGGCCATTATGTGCTTGAGTATAACTAGAATTTTTAAATCTTCGTAATTTGAACCTTATAACTTTTTGAAGCAGAATTTTTTTATTAGAGTAATTAAACCAAACGGGGGGAAAATTTTATATATATTCTTCGCACTTTTTTTGTAATTCTATAGCGTGTTTTTTTTTTCATAGATTCTATTCGCCTTATTTATATAAATGATTAAAATGTAAATATAGTATTAAACCTTGAGAGATAGGTAGAAAATAAATACCGCATTTTATAAATGTGAATTGCATAATAAATATGTGTACTTATTCATGAATTCATAATTACAGTTATAGTTAGATTATAAAAGTAAACATACGTGCAATGTGCCTTGAGTATACTAAATTTTAATTGCTAGTTGTGATCTGAACATCATAAAAAAGAAGACATAACGTTTAAATTATAATTATACTTCATAAGATACTAAATTATTTCATAAATACATATTTTTCATCTTTCCATATGTTATATTGTGAAAGCTCAATTTTTATAAAAGTGATAATAAAGTTTAATAGTAAAAAAATATATTAAAATGACACAATAAATGTACACTCAAGAGGCTAAATAATGAACGCTAGATATAACATATTTTCTATGCGTTACTATTATTCTTAAAAGGCACCAGAGCCGGCGCTATAAATCACAGTTATGAATTAAAAAATATAAAGGGGTTTTTTTTTGTAAAAAATATACTGTTATATTTTTTCCAAGTATCTTAATTTACACTTATTATTCTTAAAATACTATATTTATGAGTTTCGACTTAAAACCAACACTCGAAAAATGTCAGAACCCATAAGATTACTTCTAATTGTTAACTAGTAGTCTACAATTAATAATTTATTATAATCATAATATATGAATACGGACTATAAAATACAATTATATTTATGCACAAGCTTTTGTGCAGTATAATTTTAAGTTGCCTTAATGTAATTTTATTTGATGAATTACTCGCTTATAGCATACACCTAATCGAAGTCGAGTAATTTAAACAATGCGATAATAAACGAAATATTTTGAAGCTTTGATAATATGTAACGATGTTACATATTAAACATGTAATTAATTATTAATCTACTTATTATGATAACCGTTATTGATAAAACAACAGGCAGTTACAATAATTAATAAATACCTTGATATTCACAAAGGATTTTCACATTTTCTATTGTAGCATTGTTATAAAAATAAGGTACACAGTATATTATGTACTGTACATATAATTGTTCCTTTAATATGTTACGGTCACTTTCTTAGTGATTTATATACAAAGTATAATACAAATTAAAATGAAAGTTTTTTTTTACCGGAATGTATAATAAGGGATTATAGGTATAATTAGTTTTTCTATTACGCGAGAATAAAGGTGAACAATTTTAATTTTGAAAAATAACACATAATTATGATTGATAAGAAATTATATTTAAACACACTTTACAGTTAACAAACGAATTATTTTACAATAATTATCAAAAGCTAAACAAATAAAAATTTCTTACAAAGAAAAACAAATATCAAATTAGGGCCACTATCCTTTATTTAACATACTTAAAAATACAATGCTCTAAAATTGAGAATCAAAATTTATAATTTGATAAAAGTAATTCATCACAAAATTTAATTTTATATAGCACAAAGTATTATGTGCTTTCATTTCCATGCTTGTTTCAAAGCTTTTTGTGATGCAAGATTTTTTGTGACATAGGCACTAATCAAAAGCACAGTTGTAACAATAATGATAACCAAGTAATCAAAATCTTCTTTGAGCACATCAAAAGTTTTTGAAGGTGCGACTCTTGTATAAAAGAGATCTATAAAATAGTTTATTCAATAATTTAATTGTATAAATATATAAAAAGAATATTACCTAATCCATGCACAAAAACTAAACAAGTTGATTCCAAACTGCTAGGTGCAGTATAAATGCCATTTACACGCATTAAAGTTTTATTATAATTGATCATTGATTCAGTTGGGGTGGGGAGTTCAGGAATGTATGGAATAGCTCCTTCTTCTTTAGGTTCACCAAGAGGTCTACGGGGATCTAAGAATGCCCAAGGCATTTCTAATAAATGACCAGAAGTTGTAGCCACTAAAAATAGTAATAAATAAATGAAAGTAAATCTTATTTTATGTCGCTTAAATAAAAAATTATATTTACTCAATATATGTTTGCTTGTGATTCCCTTTTCCGTGATAGTTGGCTTCATGGCTTGTAAAAATCCAGGGAATATGTAAGCTTGTTTTTCAACAATTGGTGGAATCAGACTACCACCAACTGATGAGAATTCTAAAAGAAATTTAATGTTTATATTAACTACACATAATAAGATTAATGGCAATTAATTAAGTGTCCAGAGGGTAGTTCTGGACCTGCACTGTTTTCAGGGTTGACTAAAGCCATGAACCACCCAGACAATTGCATAAGGCAACAGATATTTAGAGATAGTAATTTTAATACTGGACATGCCTCTGAAGACCTTAATACCTGTAGAATTTGACATCTGATTGCCGTCATATAATTCATAAGATGCAATTTCGGTACGTCTATTTTTATCATTATAGTATGAACATAAAAGCCAATTCTCTGAGTGTACCAAATGTATTGGATAAGTTGCTCTTTTATGGACTACTGAGTAAACAATAATACCACTAACAGTGTCCAGTAAATGTAGGGTCAAAACACCTTAAAAAAATGTAAAATCGACATCTTTATTTTTTCAACAAATTTAAATAAAAACTACTTACTCTTATGAGTGGTATCAGGAGCTAAAGTTAAAATAGCAACCATATTTGGATTTATATACTTATACAATACACTTCGATCACTCATGACTCTTCCTTGGGAATGTACATGTTCAATTGCCTCTTTTGAACCAATGGCAATTACTTGAGTAGGTTTACTAAACTGTATTTTCCATACTTCATTAGACGTTAGACTCTACAATATTAATTAATTTACAATTAATTAAAAATAGAAAAAGGTCAAGTCATTTTAACAAATACTATTAGTAATCAATAAATTGTATTGAACATGATTAATACAAATGAAAGGTTTCTACAACACATAATAATAGAAATTTTAAAGTTCTTTTATGTTTTAAATTTTAAAAACTACTAACTTTTCCAGATATAGGTACGTTAACATTAAATCCTTGTAATACACCATTTATAGGATTTGCTGTGTATATATACACAGGAGAGGGTTTTGAAGATAATGGATTATTGTCAGGATATAAATGGGCAATATTAGTACTATCAAACAATATAAGGCAACGAATTGATTCTGTATTTAAAACTGAAAGAGGAACTGCTTGCACTACTCTATATGGAAGTTCTTTAACTTTATCTAAAAAAATGTATAAATAAAATTAATATACAAATTAAGAAATAATTTAGTTGTAAAATTATTATACTTCTACAGGTTGGGTTTTACTATTATAATTATTATTCGATTACATACTTTGGGATTCTCCATTAATTGGATTGAATGTGAAAATAACTGTATTTCCAGACTTCTACAAATAATAAAAAAAAAATCAATATTAGTCATTCATTTCTATTTTAAATAAATTACTAAATTATAATGGTGTGAATAAAAAAATAATAGATATAATTAATTAAATTTTATAGTTAAAAAATTGAAATCGTTCAACTTATAATTAAAATTATATTATGTAACTTTGGTTTGATCCAAAAATTTTAGGCATTAAAAAGTAGGGCAGCATAATTTGACTATAAAAAAATTTCAAAACAATTTTGTCTTTTCATTATAAGTACTGATAATAATTATCATTAAATAACAAGCAATTTATGCTAACTTTATTTTTCAACAATAGAGTACACATTGGTGGATATGATAAATGTTTTGAATTTCTTTGTAAATACATTGGTACAATTGGTGCATCACCTAGTGTATTAACATAAAATTCTCCAATATCATTTAACAATACAGACCATAGAATTTCACCATTTAAATTATCAATGCCAAAAACCTAAAAATAGTTATAAAAGATTTATTTTTATTTTTGAACGTGGAGAATTCATTTAGATTAGTTACCTTTCCAGCACTAGTTACTGCAACTATTATTTTGTGTAGGCCAAATTGATCTCTAACAAGATTATTTTTATTTCCTACTGTTTTTGATGGTGAATCTACTAGACCCAAAACTGTTGTAAGAATATTATATATTTGTTGTGACTGGCTATGTAAACGTCGAACAAACATACTAAATGGACTAGCTACAATAATTGAATTGTAAATAATAAAATATTACAAAAATTTAGTTCTAAGTTATTTTCACAAAAAAATTTTAAAAACAAAATTTCTAAATATTTAAAATACTAAATAATTAGAAAATTATAGCAGTTCAAATAATAAAAAATGAAATACTACTAAATCACACAGACAATTCTACAGAAATTTTTCATCACTCATGATCACTCACTTGATACATCATGATCCAAAAATGCTTGTAAAATATATTTATTATCAAATTTTATTATTTTATATATATTTCAATAAATTAAATTAGAATAGAAAATGCTTACAATCTTTGTTTCCAAATTCTTTTTCAATAGCAGCTTCAATGTCAGATACTGGTAAATCAACCATCTCTACACTTACAATATTAGTTAGTGATTCTTCTCTATGCCATTTTATTGAGCCTAAATAAAAAATTTTTTCAATATTTTAGTGTATTATAAAATGTTTAAAAATATTAATAGTTTACCTAAGTAAATATTAAAAATACAAATTTAACAATATACAGGATCATCAGAATTTATGAATCAAAAGATTTTTTTAATAAAGTAACAATATTGTTGAGAATTTTTTTTTTTTTTTAAATACATGTTTTTCTCAATTTATCAATCATAAAGTTCTTTTATATTCAACCCTTATATCTTATGAGGGTGATAACTTTATATTTTTGAATAACAAAATTACATAATTAACCAGCCTATTTAATAGAAAATGATCTAATTAAGAAAATAAATGATCAATAACAACTTTTGTGCTAGTATTTCAGAAGTTATTAATATTTATGTAACTAGGCTGGAGGATTGTCTAATAATAAAAGTAACAGCACCCTCACTTCACCTCTTATCTATAATTTATATTGTTAAATGGCTGGTTAATTATGCATTTTTGTTATTCAAAAATATAAAGTTAACAACCTCATAAGATATAAGGGATGAATATAAAAGAACTTTATGATTGATAAGTTGAGAAAAACATATATCTAAAAGTAACAAAAAAAGTTATTAATTTTTATTTTATTTCATTGAAAAATCTACTGTTTCATCATATTCTGATGTCTTTGTATATGTAATTTTTAATTTAAAACAAAAAAAATACTCAATAATGAAAAAAAGGAAAGAAATACTATACAAATATTTATGAACAATTATTTCTTTATTTAATTACCTGGAAGTTTTAATAGCATTAATGTTTGATCATCTGTAGTGATTAAAAGAACACAATTAACAGTATTAGCTTTACTTCGGCCACAGAAAGCTGATGAAATACTTGGGTTAACAATTTTTAGTAAATTAATTGATTCCTTTGAAGATAAACTTTCAATTAAAGTTGAATCTTCTAAAATTGCTCCTTCTGTTACAATTGTATTCTATAAAAATTTAACTAAATAAGTAATTTAATATAATATTATAGCTAGTTTTTATTTAGTACTAAATAAATTTTTTTTTTTTAATTATTTAGTATAAACATATTTAAAATACATTATTTGTATTTATAAATAATATATTGCAAATAGTATTTAATGCATGATATTTTTAATATTATTATTTATACATAATTATTATATTTATCTTAACGTCTTATTTGAAAAGCAATGCTTTTAAGGCGTTAAAGCATTACTAAAAGAACAATGATATCAAAACTCAGTACTTATGTACTGAGGCACGACATGTTTCTGAATCAACTAAGTAGGCCACCCTTAATTCAATATATATATATATTGTTGCAATTGAAGAATTTGCTACAAAAGATTTTTAAAGGTTTCTTATTTGTAAGATAGGTTTTTTTTTAAATTACTTAACAAATAAAGTATGTAAATGATTTTTTTAATAAATTAATGATTTATTTTTTTAAACATTACCCCTTTTTAGCAAACTTTTCAACTATACTTTTTTCAAAAAAAAATAATAATAACATAAAGCTTACTTGAGCAGGAGATGAAACTTGAAGTAAAATATGTCTATCAGCCATATAGGTGTAAATAAAAGGTGAAGCACCTCTGGATAAAGTTTGAGTATAAGCTTTGTTATCTTTGATAAATACAATTTTTTTAATATTATTATTTTTAATAATAAATGCTGGTATTGGACTACCAGGTATTGCTTTTATATTTTCACTGTGTTCATTAACAATTAACTGATCTTTAGTAGCTTTAGTCAAAGTTACAATACTTAATTCCCCTGATACACTCAGACAAGCTAAACTTCCAGTTGATAATGCACATCTAAAATAAATCCATTATAATTGCATTATAAATAGTTTTATTGAATAGATTTAATTAGATATTATACCTATCATATCCAGTAAACCAATGAACAGGATATGTATATGTACTTTTTCCTTTGGTTCCAGTTTCTAAATAGTAAGTATCTACACTAATTATATTATCAGATGTATAGACTTTATGAAGTAGTCCATTGAAAACAAACCAATACAACACATTTTCAGCTTCAATGCTCCATTCAAGGTTCAAATGCCCATCCTTAACATCCCAACCCCGTACTTTAATTATGTTTGTACCACTGACGGTGATAATTTTTGACTTTGTTGGATGTAAAAGTTGTATATTTCCATCTGGGCCTTTTTCTAAAATTTGTCGCCACACAATATCCCCTAAAAAAAATCTTACTGCAAAAACTGAGTTCAATAGAATATAATTGCAATTATTACCAGTATCTATAGTCATAGAAGCAACAACATTACTTTTAGTGGCTACATAAACACGTTTTGTTGTTGCATCAGTATCAATTGTAGAAAATTTTATTTCTCCAACATAGCTTTGTCTCCTATACAAATATACATATTCACAAAAATTAAAAAACAAAGTGAGATTTTAGTATACCAGTCAAATTTTCCCACTTGATCTTCATAAAGGCCATTAGCAACGTATAAAAATAAAAATAAAATATGAACACTTAAGGGTTTTATCACCATCATGCTTTATAAAAAATGTCTTCAATTTTTAATTAAACGGTTTGAACATAATAGTTATTTTAAATAAATATGTGTATATATATATATATATAATATACTTTATTAGTATATTAAGATGGACTAAACTATAGTTAACAATAAATATGACCCGTTGGAGCTATATAAAATAAGTTTGTAGTAATAATTTGTAATTTTGCAATAATGAAAAGCCGATTTACGCTTGGTTTATCTACCGATAATGTTAAAAATGTTACCCAGATTGATAACAAATTGTACACCAAAGAGAATAATTGTATTAAAATTTATATTAGAGGTTATGTATTGAAACCCGTGTTTTAAAAAACTTAACATTTATAAACATTCATTATCAGTATTTGGTGCAACGTGCAAATTTAAAAATTTATTCAATTTATAAAAATTTAATAATGCCATTTAAAGTTTAATAAATATGACATCCTCTGAAATATTAGAGGTAGCTATAGTATCTGATGGCACTACAGGTGCCTCAGTATGGGATTTTACCAATGGAACAATGCTTAAAACATACAGACATACTGCTTCTATAGGTCAAAATGGATTGAGTTTATTAGGGACAGATTACCTTTTAGCTGCAGACAAAGGACCATTAATACATACCTGGCCTATTAATAGTCAAGAAAAAACACATCAAGTCCGTATGTTGTGTGCAGGAAAAATAAATGCTTTGGCAACTAGTCCTGATGGTCTTTATATTGCTGTTGCCATTGCTGAAAAACTTCAAGTTTGGATGGTGAGTTATGATTTTTTGCTGTTTATATATTTAGAATTACTACATATATTCTTTTTTAGGCATGTTCTGGTAAAATGTTATCAACTGTATGTCAACATTTTCAACCTATTACTATTATTAAATGGTCGCCAGATGGATCTTATTTAGTTACCGGTTTGTATTCTCGTTAAATGTATTTATTATAGGTTAATCTTGAATTTTTTGCATCATTTCAAAAGGTGGTGAGGATGGTTTAGTATGTGTTTGGGAATTAGGAAGATTAATTAGTATTTCTCAATCTTGCATGCCACAAGTCTTTCATTTGGGTGATCAAACAGATCAATCTGCACCTAAATTCACTTATTCTGATCATTCTGTACGAATTACTGGAATTTATATTGGTAATTCTTCTAGATGTATAAGATTGTTTACAACATCAGTTGATAAAACATGTAAAGTAAGAAATCAACCTTTTTTAAATGTAAACATATAATAATTAATAATTTTTTTCAGATTTACGATCTATCCATAGGTATAATGTTACTTTCAATAGCATTTGATACTGTTCCATCGAGTCTGACAGTAGATTCTGTTGAAACATCTGTATATATTGGTACAAATACTGGCCCTATTCGTTCATTTGATCTAACTTCTCCTCCAAGAACTCGAGAATGTTATTTATCCGATAAAGAATGTGGAATAAAATTTATTGGGCATTCAAAAGCTGTGTGTGCATTGAGTGTATCTTTGTTTTGTGATTTGTTAGTGTCAGGTTCAACAGATTGTACTGTCAGAACATGGCATATAGCAAGTCGCCAATGTTTACGTACAATTCAATTTAAAGGGCCAATTATTAATATGTTCTTAGTTTTAACACCTCGACAATTAACTGCTAATGAGTTAGATCCTAATGTTATTTTAAGAAGTTTTAAAAAAAGTGACGAAGAAGAGAAAAATAGTAACAATATTGAAGTGTATTGTAAAAATGATTTGTATGATGAAGATGATGAAATGCCAAATATTAAAGTTGACTCTACTTTGCGAGAAGAGCTAAATAAATTAACAGCAATAAATGCTAAATTATATGAATTTGCTCTTAATTCAATTTTAAATAATGAAGAAAATAAAATTAGTGAGGTAAATAGTTTGAATTTTTTTACAAATACCATTAAACCTTAATAGTAATAATAATATGTGATTTTTAGGATATTGATTTAAATAGTTTTTCACCAGTTGGTCTAGGAGATTCAAATGAGCAAAATGATAATCACATAGATCCAAATGAAGATGATTTAGTGGAATCAGTAGAATCACCTCCTAAAAAGAAAAGAGCTAGAAGAAAAAACAAAAAAAACAAAGATAACATTACTGTGTATAAATATTCATAGAGTAAATTACTTGATTGTTTGTTAAAAAGTAAATAAATGATTTTGAATAAAATTTTTTTATTTTAAAAATTAAAAAATTACAGTTTCCAAATAAAAGGAAAAACTTAACATTAGTTAATTTAATAGAGTATAAATTGAAAAATTTAACATAATTATAGTAGTTTGATATTTACAATTATGGTGTTACAGTAAAATACACACATTCATAAAAAAATGAATAATAATAAATTATTTTTAAATAATGACATAATCATTTTTAATTAATTTTTGTAAAAAAAAAATAGAATGATTCTTGTTATTTGAATAAAATTAATTAAATTGTTGTAAATAGACAAATTAAAATTTATAAACAATTGCGATTATAAACTGTAATAAATAGTAACTAATGAAATATAAATAATAAAATGTTTGCTTTATAACACGCATGTAAAATTTATAAAAATTTTCTAAATTAGATTATTTAATAATCTGACTATATTAAACATTTGAAAATGATAGAATAATTTGAGTTGATACTCTTATTTATTATTTACCAGTGTCACAAAGTATCAACTACACCTGGTCGATACTTATCTAAGTTCCATCCTCTAAAATACTTTCTGAGGCACTCATTGAAATAACGTTCCATAAAGTCCATCATTAGTTTACATTTAACATCATTAGACTGCTGGCGTTAAAAAAAATATTTAAAACAAAAATTATAAAGAAATAATATATTTTTCATTAATCTAAAAACTTAGGTGATCAACCAACCAAGTTCTGCGTCTAATACAATTAATGAATTAAATTTATCAAATAAGAATTTTTTATAAATTTGTGTTTGAAGTACCTGAGAAATATGGCGAAATGTACTGAATACCAGACGAAAGTCTCTAACAACAGCTTGGACGTTTTCGTATTTTTTATTGATCATTTTACAACGAATAGGCTCGAACAGTTGTATTCTTACAACGTTTTGATAAGTCGTTTCCTTAAAATATTATACTTTTACGTTATATTATCATAACAACGATAATTATTGAATATGTAATTAATTCTATTTCATTTCTACACGTTTAAATACATAAAAATAAATTTTTGTTAATTTTAATTAGGCAAGCATCACAAAATTGATAAAAATTAATCATTATTTATAGAATCGATATGCAAAGTTAAAAGACTGTTTTATTTTTTTAAAAGAGAAAAAACTTCTGAAATACTTATTTAATAAACAATTCATTAATAGTCTTGCCTCATTAAAAAAAAAAAAAAAAATTGTTTTTACCAAAAATGAAATTCTGGATGTACTCGTTTAAAAAATTACTCACAAATAGTTCCGGTTCTCTATGGAATTCATCTTTAGGAATATCTTGCATTTCCCTTATCATTTTTTGAAATTTATACCGGACCTTTTTATCGACTTCTCTGGCCAAAAAGTTCCACATGCGATCGGTATCATCCGGCAACGGACCGCAAATACTATCTCGATCTGACATACGTTCAAACGTTGGACGTAAGCTGACCAAACCCTCTTCGCTTTCGTTTGACGTGTTGCTACTGTCCGTCGACCGAGTAGCTATCATGGCGTTATTGACCAATTGTTTGGCGTCTTTTTGCGCTTCAAGCCACTTTTTCTCGTCATCTTCTTTGACTTCGATGAGTTTAGCTTCGGGTTTGGGCTGTGGATTTGCCACTGCTGCGAATTGAGCGGACGGAAACGGTCCATTATGTACGGGTTGGTACGCTGGTTTTTGATAGGTATTGGGCCACGAATTTGGCGGCTGCTGTTGCATGTACTGACAGTATTGCGGTTGGTTGACACGAACTTGATTGGCGTACTGTTGGTAAGGTGCCGGCTGATACGGCGGCCGATATTGCATTTGACTGTACGGCGGCCTGTTCATTTGCAACAGAGGTGGTGGCGGAGGTGCTGGATTTGGCGTGGCTTGAAATTGACTGGGATAACCATAACCGTTTATATAATTCTGATTGTTGCTGAAACCATTGTAGTTCATGTATTGTTGGTTGGACGCGTTGAAATCAACGGTAGTAGGAGGTAAAGTCGGAGGGAAAGTGGTCGACTGTTGAGATGCAGACAGCACAAGTGGAATCATTGGATTATGAATATTGTTGTGTCCGGTACTGTTTTCAGTCTTGTCGACAGGAATAATTTTCTTCAGCTGGGTAATGGTAGACAACGCCTTGTTCAGCATACGGTCTCCACTCTTGCCTTTTACTTTTAATGTGCTATTTAAAGGGTCTTTAGCACGACAGTGTACGTTTATGTCGTCGATCAACTGTTCCATAATCTTGTAAGAGTATTTCCACCAGTGCTTGTCCACTTTTGCATTCATCGCGAACATGTCGATCATAGTGATACTGAAATTTATGAATACAGCCACCAGCGTGTGAACATTTCCCTTGTCTACACGTCCTGTATCCATGGACGCCAATAACTGCTTGACGATATTGTTGGAATCAACAGTTTGCACCCACATAGGTAGATCGCGATTTACGTCCAAGGCGTCATCCACCGCCTTACAACCCATCCATAGGAGTCGCTTGGTTTCTTCAAAACAATTAGATATTGAATTGTTTTCTAAATCAAACAGCAACGATGACGGTGATCGACTTAGAGACGGTTTGGAAGACACGGATGATGCGCTGAAATTGACAAAAAAATACATTTAATTACAATACAAAGGTCTTATTGAACGAAATCATCAGCAATGTTATGAAAGACTCTTGTAGATTTCGGTTGTGGGATAGTAACATCAATTACTGTGCTGTTCTCTTGCTCGGCAATCGGATCGAGCTGAAGTACCGCTGTACATTAGACGTCATATAAAAAACATATTTTATGATTATAAGTACTAACATAAAAAAAAAAAAATCATTAATGCACGGAAAAGTATTATTTTTATCACTCGTAATATATATATATATATATTTTAGTTCCAAAAAGTAAATTAATAGGAAATTTCGAAAACGTTTCTGGTTTTTATTATTAATTATCATTTCAATATTGTCGTTTACTATCAAAAGATAATTACTAAAATCATACCTGCTTATATTCTTATAACTCTTGTGACTGCCCGTAGGCGGGACGTTGTTGTTCTTGTATGACACTGGACGGTTAGCCCGACACTTAATGGATTTTTTGGGTTTTTTACTATTGGTTGCACATTGCATCAATTTTATATAACCATTTAATGAACAATAATCAGATCTGTTTTTGCCGGTTAACTCATCTTCTGGATTCGATAACATCAGTCGATTGTAAATGTTCATCATAAATTCAAGTCTAGCTCTCATGTCGGATGAAACAACATTCATGTTGAATTTTGTCATAACTAAACGTTCAGGAAAACGGTTTGATATTCCTTATAATTAAAAGATAAAAGATAATTGTAAGTTAAAATAATACTTATGATTAAAAGTTTAATTAATTGTTTCGTAATTTTACATAAGATATTATTTGTTAACAAATGAATACGAAAACGTTAATAAATAGTTTTAATTATAAATAAGACATAAAATGTATAATGCTTAGCGTTTCATTATACGCGTTATTAAGTTTTTTTCGAGATAATATATTGTATTAAAAGGCTAAACAGTAACATATGATCGTCATAGTATTGGTGCCTACAGATAAGGATTTTATTTTGACATTAACGTAGACATAACAATTATAAACATTGCCTTCCTGTGAAAATGATACACATGGAATTTCTATATAAAATTATTACTTACAAATGGTGGAGATATTATTTGATGAGCCGTCAATCTTGTAGATTAATTTAAATAATAATGTATGTTGATGGGTCCGTGACAGCGAGAGAAATGAAAAAGACAAATCCACGGATGTGTGACACCTGATCGTCTGGTGAGGATGATGCCCTTTAAATTCTACAAGTGGTTTATTGTGTTCAATGAAAAAACAATCGATGAATCTCAAAGACGTTTTAAAATATCATTCTCAACCAAAACAAAACGAAAAACACTGATCAAGTGTTGTCTTTACTCCTTAGACAAGAGATTTAAAAAATTGTGAATTTCGTATCACTTAATGGTAGTAATGGTCAACATTAACCAAACATTTTACTTTATTTGATTCAATTTTGTTTTTTTTATTTATTTTGAGTTATTATTCTAAGAAATACCATTAAAAAAGTAATAATCTAATTACACAAATTTGTTTGTAATCAGGGGCGATTTGAAAAATACCTTTTTCATAGGGGTCTGTGGGGAGTGTCACAACCCCCAAACGTTTATTCAAGTCATTCGTCGTTGGTATTTTCAGAATATTTGTGTACTCTTTTACTTATTGATATAATTTAGTTGACAAATTTATTACCAATAGCTCGTAAATCTTACTCCACAACCCCTAAAAATTATCTTTAGGATCGCCCCCCTTTGTAATTATTATTTGAGCTGCAACTTTAAAGTTAATTTCAATAAATATTTATACATCTTATTTATGCAAATGAAATAAATTATAAGGTTTTCAATTTTAAATTAAAATTAATATACAAATTAAATGTTTGTGTTGGTACATACGATTTTCATTATATATATATATATATATATATATATATTTTTTTTTTTATCATCTATATCGTTGGCCATCGGCCGCTTTTGTGTTCCTTAAGTAGTAATCGTTGCACTATGCGTAATAAAAATAAAAACCAATTGTGACAAAAGTTAATTAGCATTAAATTAATTAATTATTCAATTTACATAACCACCCTAATCATATGATAAAACAGTAAAAAAATATTGTTACAGTATACAATAATGTTAAGATCTGCCCATTTGTATATAAATCGATAATTTCGATTATATTATCAACTGCAAGGAAATATAAAAATTTGATTTGAAAAAAATATTACCAGTTTATAGTCAACAAATATTTGTATTCGTTAAAAAAAATGGTTAAATTACTTTATATTTTTTTAGTTGATCGTAAAAAGTTCCAAGAAATTTTTTCTAAAATATCATTTTTTTCTAGGTATCCATTTTTATATTAGAAAGTGAATGAAAAAAAGTGCCGTATTTTATTTTATTCAACTTTATTATTTTGCGTTAACAGCAATTAAGTAGTATTGAATATTAAAGAGTGGCATGGATCATTGATTTTTTATGCACACCAGGTGTTCCGAGTATTAAAGTAGAATATGAGGAAATTTATAACTATAATGACTTAAAATAATAATTATTATTAGTTATTTATAAATTAAACGGTAGATATTCTCTCCTCTACACTACCAAATATGCTGTACAAATTAGTGCCAGGAGTTAGTTATTAATTTCAGGTAGTAATTCCGAAACATTTTGTTGTTATGTAAAAACTACTTAAACAGTAAGTAGATCAATTTTTTTTTGTTGTGAATACAAAGAATTAATTTGTCCCAGTCCCCTCAGTTGCATAATTATGTCAAGTAAAAAATTTACTTGATCGCTATTTTATTACCGTTCAATTGCATTTAGTGGGGACGTTTGTAATTGTGTGTATTTGGATTGAAAACGTTCACAGGATAAACACAATAATAATGATGATAATAAAAGCGCAAAGTAAACGCTATACATAATATATATTTATATACGCGCGTATTTTACACGGTTGCGGTGGGGGTGGACGACTCATGGTGGCGGCAGCGTTGACGGCCAATTGGCCTAATTGGTTTTCCGGATGCGCCGCATTTAACGCCGCAAAACGCCATCGCGAGATCACGGCAACATTACTGTGGCCGGTCTTTGCGCTCTCGTCCCATACAGATTTGCAGCCGTCTCGGTGTCTCCGTGTTGTGCCAGTGCAAATGCTACACGCCACCGTCACGATGTTTACGTCCACCGTCGTCAGCTGGTGTTTCGTGGCGCTGATCACCATCATGTTCAACGTTCATAATGGTAAGTGCATGGGTGCAGGCCTCTGGTACTGCAAGTGACCGCCATACGGGGACAGTAGTAATGTGCGCGCACCAGTTTGAAACACCACCTAAACTTTTAAATGTTGGACCTCAATGGGCATTAGCAAAACTGTCGAAAAAGTGTTATTTTTAAATAGGCCACAATATGGCCACCAGCCAACACAACTTAGGTTCCTGTAGTTCGTGTACTGTAAAATTGGCGTCTTGCAAAATGAACATCGTAAACGTATAGTTTTTTTTTGTTTAAAGGTAAAATTGTAACATTTTAGGAAAACTGTAAAAAAAACATTGAGAATGTAACTTATAAAGCAGCGCTAATTGCGAAGTAAAAGATCTCAACTAATGTTATTATAATAAATATGATAGTCTCATAAATAATTAAATAACGAAAAGTTTGCTAGGGTCAAAACAGATATGTGCTTTCAAGACTCCATAGCTGGAAAATTGTAAGAAATTTCGTTGGAGAAAAACAATCAAATATTTAAAAAATAGATATATTTTCTGCTATAAATTGCCTTAAATAGCCTTTAGTCATTATAAGCTTTCGCAACTCTTTATTGTTTAGGACTGCAATGTTAAGAGTCTCTCGATAGTGTTTCTTATTTCCCTATACGCATTTTTTTATATACATTTATAATACTAGCTTTTAATTTTATATTGAAAGTAGTGTTATAGATTTGAGTAATTTGATTATTTGATCAATTTCCCCATCATCGTGATAAACTAACATTAAAATTGAAAATGCCTTAAAAAATATTATTTCTAATTTTTAATAAACGTCTGAAATATCGTATTAGCGTGTATCGTAAACCTTATACGACGATTGTCTGTTAATTTCTTACTTAAACTTTTTACAACATTATATCTACTGATATTAAAATCCTAAACGCGTAAAAACTATAACAATTTTTTTCAATAATGTTCAAGCTATGTAAGCATAGATGCAGTTGAAATGAAATTTCTGGCGATACTAAACAAATTTTTCTACACGGGTCAGGTTTCTGATATTATTTCAAAATATAACTTATGATTTCATACAGTTTTACATACAAAATGATAGGTCCGGTTTCAAAAACACATTTTTCTATCTATAATTTGATATTCGGCCAACGCCCAAAGTATTTTTTGGTAAATGATCAATTTTCTAACCTAAGCGTAGTTCCATTCAGTACACATTCCATAAATATTTATAAAATCTCAAATGTTTAAAATACTTATAAATTTTAAAGAAATAAATGAAAAATAATTATTAATCAATGTAAACAATTTCCAAACTATTCTGGTTTATTGGCATATATTTAATTAGAAAATATTGTTTGAGGTGAGAGAAAAGGGCATTTTATTTATAAAACAATTTAATTTATATTTAAAAATTAGATAACAAATTTTGAAGTTGCTTTTAATTGAATTTAAATATTTAATAAAGACGAAAACAATGTTGTATTTCATTTTTTTATTTAGTCTTAATACATTTTTTGAAAACAAATAATTATTTTGACAAAGGGAACGATAACGAAGCACTTTATGTACTTTGTGTCAAACATTTTATGTGATTCGAAAAAATATTTCCAGAAGTGAACTTGAATTGCACACTGCTTTGTGTTTCATCTCGAATAGTTTATTTTCCATTGTGAAAGATATATTGAAATTTAACTCTTGAAACGGTACTAAATAAACGATTGAAATTATTTTTACTTATAATCATTCAGTTAGTTATTAATTAATTTTATAGTTATATTTTACGACAGGGTGACATTTGATAAATTTCAATTATACTAACAAGTGTTTGGTGAATATTTATGGTTTATTTTTGTTCACAGTGGAAAGCATCAAGTGCTATGTGTGTAATACCCACAACGATACGAATTGCGCTAAAGAAATACTTCCTGACAGTTTTAAAGTTGATTGTTATTCATTACCTATAGAAGAAAATCAGTTAAAAAATTATACTATGTGCAGAAAATCTATACAATCGATTGAACATCGGGTGAACGGATGTAAGTTAAATAATCTTACAATAAAAAAATTAATTAATAAGTTTTACTATATAAATGTTATAATGGTAACACTAGTAAAATCCTATAGTAAAAATTTAAATTTTTACTTGAAACTTTACTTTTTTTTATTAAATGACATCTCGCTTGGAACTTTTATTTTAAATCTAGTTAAAAGAAATTATAGGATTTTGATTACACGCCAAAAATATTAATTTTACAATAAAATCACATTTATTTTAACCATATGAAAATATTTCTGTGTAAGTCATATATTATTAAATAACAAGTTGTGTATCAAGTTAACGATGAGCTTTGTGTAATTACTTAAATAAAATACCAAAATAATATTACTAAAAATTTATTTTATACTTAAATAATTATAATATTGATCAATCATTTTCATGATATAGTTTGGTTTAGTATAAAAAACGTGTATAACTCAATTATAAACGCTTTCGAAATGAATTGGTATACATTCAGAAATTTTTAAAAGTAAATCATGCATACAATCTTTTGCTTAACACTTTAAAATAAAGATTAAATCAAGTTAACGAAAAAATTAGTTAATACTTGTTGTTAAATAGATGCTGCATTCATATGCTCATTTTGAGCTGTTTAAAACTAATAGTTCTATTTTAGGAATTATTTTTGATTATAATTTAGACAATCTATAATAATAATTAGAATTAAAATTATTAGTTTTATAACAGTTATATCTGAACAAAAGTTTTAAACTATATAAATTGATATGAAATGAAAAAATTGACTTGAAAGTTAAAATAAATACTCGTAACTAATATTTCAAAATGTTTGACATTAAAAAAAATATTATTAAAAAATAACCAAAATCCTAAAAGGTAAAAACGTTTATGTTTACTATTTGTGTAATGATGTTAATTAAAATATGTAAAACGAATAAGTACATTGAATTTGAACTTGTAAACCGTGAAGCTTTCCAGTCACGTGCTAGTGGTGTCCAAAATGTACACTTGTTACCAACATAAATTTTTTTTTACAGTGAAGGCGGATAAAAATCGTATCATCAGAACATGTGCTTGGGATGACTCAATGTATAAGAATAAATGTTACCACAGATCAGGATTCGGAGGAAAGTCAGACGTGTGCAGTTGTTCGGTAGATTACTGTAACTTGGCGGAGAAAAAATCGGTTACTGTCTATGTTATGGTCACGATAGTTTCGTTGGCTATTTTTATCACGTAGAATATGTTTTTCACTCATTTCATAGTGTTGTATTAAACTACCGATTTTTATTTTATGTAGTGTATTGATTTAAAAATAAACTAATGCGTTTTATAGGACTACTTAAAATATTCTACACAAAATAATAAGTTGAATGACCTTTTTTTTGTTTTTTTTTTTGTGCTGTTAAAAAGATTTTGTTTTATGATGTATATTTTTTTTTTTGTACCATTAAACACTTTTAGATAACGTTTTTGTGTAACAATTTATAGTATAGCACCTACAAAAAAGATTCATTAACTGTATCATTTTCCATTCCAATTCTAAAATTTCATTACATACTTTTCAAGTTAATTAGTCTGCAAAATATCTTTAAATTGTGTTTGGAACATATTTATAGTTTTCATGTTTGATGTATTTATATGAAATTGTGCGATGAATGTTTTAGCGAGAAGGCAAATAAATGGAAAAGCCTGTATGGTTTTCATGTTAGAAGGTTTAACCACGCCCCAAAAACCAATTACTTAAAAGTTGATTAAAAAATTGTTCGTATTGTTTAAAAAAATGTTAAAATATACCACGACATTTAAATTACGTGAAAATTAGTATTTTTAATAGAAATTTAAAGCAATATACATATGTATATAATATTATTGTAACATTATTTGTTATAATATCATAATTAAAAAGAAATAAGAAATGTCATCAGGGATATCTTAGCGACAAAAATATATTGTTGCGGTAATTTTTAAATAGGCTTATAAAAGATAAAATTATATATTGTGGTATAACATGATGGGATACTGGATTTCCTCCAAATCGTGGTCGTAAACCGTCTCCTAGAGTATATATGTCATGTCAACTCTAATCGTGGGATTTCCGTAACTTTCATCATCTGGGAACTATAAAGCCGCGAGGCTTTATTGACAAATTAGTCTAGTGTTCCGGTATGGTCTAATAATCCAGTTTCTACAAGTTACAGTGTCACCATTAATTTAGATATGTATAAATGTTTATTAAAATTATATCTGTAAAAATTTATTTGATAATTGTTTGTGTTATACTTATTTGAAATATTAATTTTATATCTAATAAGTCAAGTAAGTGTTGTTATTTATTTCGACTATCTGTGTTTACGGCTTCAACCAGAAGCAATAATGACTAGGGTTCTCAGGACTAAGCCCAAGAACAAATAAGAATTACTTACGAATCAAATATTTGGTCCGTAATAATATCACTTACTTAATTGAAAAAAATTATACTTATTGCTATTACATAGTAAGTGTATACACGCAATTATTTTTTTTCAAATACCATTTAATAGTTTTTAATATCGATAATCTGAAGCACTTGCCCTTGGAGTTTATTTAATTAGATAAATGCTGATTTGTACTCAACATAAACATATGTTGACTAGGTCATTAAAATAAGTGCTAATGATATAAATAAAAATCTTTTAATATTAATCATTATATTTAGTTCATTAGCTCTATTGCTATAAGACATGCGTCGGGTTCAATATTTTTATTTTTGTTACGTCGCCATTACATATGTGCTATTAATGTTTACACGCAATTGCATAAATATCAAAGTAGGTAATTTTATGTCTATTTTTATAGCAAGATATGGTATTGAAAAGTTCCTTATGCTCAGTAAATTGGTTGGTTAAAATCTAACTAGGTAACAACATTAGCAGGACGATTCTCGTAAACCATTAAGCATCATGTACTTAAATAATTCTATTCGATTAGTACAATAAAACTCATGTATTTTGTCAAAATTTACAAATAATAATAACTATTATTAGCAATTATTACATATAAACATAGACTATGTCATAACTTGTTCGTTGATTCTATTTCTGTATTTAAGAGATTAATTATAACAATAAATTAGTCTGAAATTTATATTTTATAATATGATGGCAGACATAATAAAGGAATTAATTTATATAAATATCAACATATAAGTTAGGGCGGATCCTAAAAATGGATTTTTTTTTAAATTTTATCACTGATAAATCCTAAATTTTTTTAGTGCTTATAAAAACGAATTATATACCATTTGAGGTTAATATGACAAAGTTAATACAGCCTTCGTAGTTAGTTAGTTGAACTTTTCATTATAAATATTCATGTACAATTATAATCCACTTGCAAATTTGAACTAATTTTGACACTCATATCAAACTTGTCCTTAGATTTTTTTAGCTCTTAATTTTTGAGTTTATGGACTGAAATTAAATTAAATATATTGAAATGGGGCTTATGTTTAAGCTATCTCCCCATAAATTATCTATTCATCTGTATAAAACCTTAAATTTGTAGAAGGTCGCCTAAAATCGATTATGCACTCCAGTAATTATTTTTTAAACTAGTAAACTAAAACTAAAAAAATAATAATTATTATTTCATAGTTAATAAATGGAGCTTAATAAATCAATAAAAAATAAATAATTTTTAGGTCCATTCTTTATCTCTTTTAAGGGTGTAAAATTATTTTAAATGTCAACACACATATTTAAATCAATTACCAAAAATGATCAAAAAGAAAATGATTTTTTATTCAAAAAAATGACTGATCAATACTAACTTTTGGACTAGTATTTTGGAATTTATTAGCATTTTTATACTAAGGAGAGTAAAAGAATACAGTCGAGAAATGTTTATTGATAAAAATAGTTATATCCGATCACTAGTTTAGTAAAGCAATAAATCAAAAACAATTTGGCGATAAATTAATTAATTATTCTAATAATACCAATAATTTTAGTTCACTATATACCATTTGAGCGATATTTTTGAACAACCGTTGTTTGCAGATAGAATAAAATATTAAAAAAACGGCTACAAATTCATTGTAGCCGTTTTAGTTTATTACATAAGACAACCAAACTCCATTAAAAAACCAACTAGTATTATAGTTCAGGGTAGATAATTTTACTATTATTATTGACTTTAAATTTTATTATTGTTCTTTTAATGACGATTAATAAGTGTACTCTTTAAGATTAATTGGAAGTTATATATATAGTATTGAAAATAGTTCCCTCTGAGTTTTTTGTCATTCTAAATACTTAAACCAAAATAATTTTTTATATGAATTTTTCAAACAATGATGAATTTTTTAGGTGAACTAAAAAATGTTTCATTTATGTATGAATTATTCTATTAAATATTAATAAAATAAGTTTTAGATAACTATAAAAGATATAAATTCAAACTTTTATCATTTTTAAATACTGCACGATTGACTTGTATGCATAAAACTTTGATTAGGATGAAATATAATTATTATTTAATATTATTATTTTATTGAATAATTTTGTAAATACTTAAATTAGAAATTAATATTATACTAATAATCTTTTCAAGTTGTTCTATTGATCTAAAATATATTTCTCAATGACACCCTTAATATTTTCAATAAAGTGATTGTGATAAAGTTTTCGTTTATTTCCAAATTTATTTGTTTATTTATATGACGTTAAAGTCATTTTTGTAATACAAATTACTCTTTTCAAACAACTTAATTTTTTATGGGGAATTTTTAAGAATTAATAAAATAATGTCCTTCAATATCTCATAACGCCTCTTCAAAACCAATCTGTCAACTTCTATATTAAAATATAAAAGAAAACTTGTTTGTCACAAAAAATAAAAAACATTATATATGAAAGTATTTACTTGTAACAATAACTAAATGTTTCGGTACTTAAAATTATAATTTATTTTGCACAAAAATCATAAATAAGACTATTCTACGTTATTAACAAACAAGGTCTCAGATTTTATTCACTGGATCGAATACAATTGGATTTTGAGTCCTTAGAACGTTTCCTGTCAAAAATAGCAGGCTACTCTGTAGTATGGGCTATTAAACGTCATTATGATGATTTCAAGCGTGCCTATCTTTGGGTTGGATAGATCCGGCGGGAGGAGGGCTTAGGAAAATAACAAACGAAATCCGTAGTACTATGAGTCGTAGAGTATGATACAAAACAAAACATTCATAAATAAGTTCTAGTTGCGGCAAGCCAAGGCCAGCACAGCAACGTTGTAGAGGTAGTAGGTGGTATAGGTACGCAGAACTCTTGTACGCGAGAGGCTTGTAAACATTCGCTAGAACGGCTGCATGTGTTCATCAATCGACACTGTTGTTGCACATACGCGTATTGTTTTTGTATAGTTTTAAAATTATTCACTTCTTTCTAAATATTTGGCTAACAGAGTTTGAAAAAATAACAAACGATGAAATTAACGGTGTTTCTCCTGTGTTTGGCCGCAGTACTTGAATCAAGTGAGTTCAACTAAACTTATAACTTTTGAAGTAGGTTATACTATAATATTGTATTCAACATACATTAGAATATAAATAAAGATAGCAAATATTTGTTTTTTTCTATAACACGACATTAAAATTTGTTAAAGTCTCCACATTTCGATGACTAGATACTACATAGTTGCATGTAAACAAACTCTTAAATGTTATTTATTTTCACAGTTTTTCAATACTAATTTTATTTTTAAATTTAACTTGATAGCCTCGTAAATTTTGCTTTATCCTTTTAAATCTCCTAACAAGATCAAAGTTTTTATTTGAAAATTGTCTATGTTTAAATCAGGAATTTTGAGTAACAATTAGATATCTAAAGTATAATAATAATTTATAATAATGTATGTAGATTAGTTTAATAGAATTCATTTTATGTTAATAATTTCATAGAGACTAAAAAGTGTTTTTTCTTTGTTTAAGCTAACTCCGCTTTATTATTTAATTTTCCCTGCGCGCTGTATTCTGTTTCTAATTTTTTCTTTAGAATTTTCTTTTAGTTGTATATTAAAATGTTTTTATCATTTGTTATCATAAATGTTATTGAAAATTCCCTTTTCAAAATAACTTAATCACCAAAATATTATTTTAAATGCATTAAATATACTTACTTATTTTAAGCTATGTTATTTTAGTACAATACACGTTTTTGACTAAATTACTTTCATTGAAATACATAATGATAATATTATGCAGATGTATATGTTTTTTAATTTTACGTTTTCGAAGTATGTTCAGTTGAGTTTACTGTGCAGGTTTTTTTTTTTGCTTTCACTCTAATACTTAATATAATGCTGTAAGCGCGGACTGCGGTTTCTGTCACACACTTGTTGATCTAAACCAATACTAATAGCTAACGCCAACCATAGGCTAGAAAAATGGAATACATTTTTTCAAATTATTTAACATTTAATTAATAACATCGAGTGTTGCTTTTCTAAGACAATCGAAAATACATCAAGGTGTACTATATGATTATTTATGGAAAATCTTTTTTCTATAAGTTTTGTAAATGAATGATGAAGATTAATGACTGTTGTGACGTCTGCGATAAAATCAATATTAGATCAAAAATATTCAGGACTTGCATGCAATACCACCAACGGACCATGACTCCCTGCGGTATATTTTGGTGAGCGCTGGTGTTGTTTTATAACTCAACCCATGACGAATAAAGTTGACAAGGTCTCGTGGAAGGCTGTTGTAAATCCTGTGACCAATTGTTATTGTCACAATTGTTATTTTTTGTATAATTTTCGAATAACAATTATCGAGTTCCTGAAAAATTAAGTTAAACTGTTGAAGTTTAACCTCTAAAACCATATGTCTTAGTGGTAAAACAATAATTGTTTACATATTTTTTTAAATACGTCTTGCAAAATATTAGTTATAATTGTGTGAAATATTATAACCAGATTTTAAGTGTCTACTTCTATGACGATAATTCTTTAACTTGGTTTAAATCATTTTTTTACTACTAAATAAATTGAAATTAAATTAAATTAAAAATTTGAATTATTTTTCATTACAAAATAATTTGACATCATACTGATTGTTATGGTTTGATGCAAAATAGGTAATAAGGTTACACGCTAATGCATAACATATTTATGTAACCGGTTTTTTATTTCTGCAAAAATATTAATTAAAAACAATAAGAGTGATATGAACATGCAGCGTTAACCCATAAAAATGTATACATCTAACAATTTAAAATAGTGAAATGAAAATATTTAACATGTACATAACAAATTTATTTTTCGACTAAATAACGTTTCATGAATTTTGCTAAGATAATAAGTGTAACTAGAATAATGAGGGTGCTAATTGTTTTTTTCTACCTTAAAAAAACTATTTTTGTACAACATAATACTTAATTTTCTAAATTTAGCTAAATTGTTAACTGGGGGTTTTGTCCTGTCAAGCCTTATTAGAGGCTCTAATATGTTTAACACTAGAACAAAAATTAATAGTTATAACTATAAATTCTAAAATATGTGTAATAATCGCTCATGTTTGTAAATATTTTAAGCATCTCTTGATGATGATGAATATATTTTATTTAACGGATTTATATTTTTTGATACAGAAAGATTGTTTTATGATCATTTATTTTCTAGATTTATGAAAGAAAAAGTAATTTTCGTTGTTCATAATTTACTCAAAATCTTAAATAATATAACATTTTCTATAAAATAATTTTTTTTTTTTTAAATAATACCTTTAAAACTCTATTTAATTTTGAATAGTGTCATTTTTAAATTAAAAATGTTCCCATTTGTAAACTTTTTAAAATTATTATTTTTTTTGCAATAATTAATCACAATAAGTATTTTTTGTAAAAAATTATCGTCTAGACAATAACAAAACACAAAAATAATGTTCTTAAGAGTATATGTTATATTCGAATACATTACACTCAAATAAACAAGCACACACCCATACTATTAATACACTTCCAAAGAATGAAATTCGCGTCATTAAAAAAATAACATCCATTTAAAGTAGTGTGTTATAATTGTTGATTGTTAAGTCAAATGTTAGTACGGAAACTATAGTGTATAATATGATGTTTATTTGAATTATATAAGCGTCACTAACTAAATAGGGTGTTGGCAACCTTGGCTATGAAAACATAACACCTAAATAGAAAATAATTACAATTAACATGCTTAAAATAAATCTAAAATATTTTAATATAGAATTTTTATTATTATTTAATTAAAATTATTTTATTACAAAAAAAAAAGATATGTATAAAAATTCAGTTTCTCAACAAATTAACAAAATAAAATAAAAAAATTCCATTACATGACTTAGACACAAATTAAAATTTATAATTATGTATGATCCCTGATAGCTGTAAGTTATGTGTTTATAAATTTTGTTTATGGCACTTTGAAGAGACCTAAGATTGTGTAATTTTGTTGTGTATCGGACTAGTAACATTATTTTAATGATTCATAAATCATATAGTTCATAAGTAAAATAACCTAATGTCAACTTACTACTTACTATTTAAAAAATAAAGATTTAAGATTTAAAGATTTTGAGATTTTTTTATGAATTTGAAATTAGGTTACAACTAAATTGAAAGTAACTTTAAAAATAATAGCGATCAATACACCAGGCGCCGAAGATGTCCTTAAACTGTCTAGTACAAACAGCGAATCCGCAACATTAGTAGTTAACAAAATACCCACAAATGTTAAAGGTTATTATACTTGCCAAATTATTGTTGATAATATAAATTTTAAAAAGAATTTTTTTTGGCGAGGTTAAAAAAATATGTGAGGGGAAGTGAAGAAATTAATTTTGCTGACTGAATCATTTTTTTATAAATAATAATTTATAATAAATAGTACATCTTTTTTTTTATGTGACCATTTTCTAATTATAATTTCTTAATAGGTTATATGGAATAGGCTCGTTGTCACACTCTCTCTAGGGAAAGCTTTGAACATTTGTCATAAACTAAGTTTATATTTTTTTACTTATAGGTTTGAGTTTGAAATGTTATCACTGTGATGATAGAGGTCCAAGAAATTGCCGTGATCCTTTTCCAAAGGATAGCAATAATCTTATAGAAGAGTGCAACACTAGAGCAATTAATGAATTTAACGGTGCTCTCAACATAGCCAAAAACGCAATGCAAAATTTTTTTAATAACATCGGTATCACAAATAATGGAGGATTTAATAATTTTAATAGCTTCAACTCGCCAAGCATTCCAGAAGAGTCGGTCGGTTGCACTAAAGTCGTCTTGAAAGGTAGAAGCTAAAATATTTATTAGTTTCATTTGTTTATATTGATGTAATTATTGGATTTTTGAACAGGTCAAAACGAAAGAGAGATGATAGTTCGGGGATGTGATTATCTTAGAGGAAATTCTTGTAATTTGCTTAAATCCACCTTTGCAGGAACAGATACTCTCAAGTTTTGTGAAAGTTGCGAGGGCGACATTTGTAACGGCGCTCAATCTTTACAGTCGTCAACGATTGCACTAATTATTGCTATTGCTGTAACTTGCTTATTCTATGGATCCCGTTAAAAATGTTTAATTCAGATATCTAGTAATACAGTAATAAAATTACCTCGTACCCGAATTATTAAACATATACCTAACTTTTTTAGTAATAATTTTTTAATTGGTCATTTCCATTTTCATTGGGTTTGTTTTTTTATTTTAATTGAAACTATTGTGTTGTAAATATAAAAATAATTTTTGTTAATATTGATTTTTATAGCAAAAATTTTCTTATTTTTATATTGTTTAACATACGATTTTAAAAAATGACTACAGTCGAGCAAGCATCAAAAGAAAAGTGATGAGTATTTTCCAAAGACACTTTAATTGTTGAATTTTAATTTAAGAATTTCTTTAAAATTTTTTTGAATTTTTATGAAAAGTAATTATGTTACTATATTATAAGTTGTTATAGCCTTCTTCCTTATTTCAACATTTCAACATTTTTTTATGAATAGGTATTATATGTTACAAGTTATTGATAGATTAAATGTTAAATATTTGTATGATTTATTACATTATTTTTGCTGCACCAATAAAATTATTTATTACATTTTTTTTTTTATTTTATTTCATTATTATAAATTATATAGTTATAAATTTTATTAAAATACTTTGTTTCTTGAAAAAATATATGAAATTGTTTAATTATTTATTTATTTATTTTATTTATTTATTTACTAAATTAACGCCCCAAAGGGCAAGAGTACAGTTAATAAAACTTAAACTAGACATCAATAAATTTATAGCATACAATTAATTATAAAAACAAACAATATAATTAAAGATTCTTAACTATATAATCGATCTCTTTATTATATCTAAAGAATTAAAAAAGAAGTCCACTTTATGACAAACTTCATTACATTCTAATAACATACGATTGACCGGAGCAAAAAGATTATAGTTCTGTTGGACAGAAGAAACATAAAACATCGTTTGAGACCGTAAATGGACTGAAGGAACATTAAAAGGAATAATATCAAGAATTTCTGGACAGTCAATTTTATTATTTAATAAACTATGGATCCAACTAACGTCAAACATTTTCCGCCTCATACTCAGACTGGTTAGACCAATATCTGAAGCTACTACATTTAAATCAACNAAATTTCCAAAAGTATTTTGGGTTAACAATTAAATTATTTTGAATACGGTTAATATAATCTGAATAACATTTTTTTGATAGGTTTTTACATTTAGATCTAATAGCTGAGAACTCATTATATATTGATTGGTCTTTTTTAATTTTGAAAATCTTGTGAAGGGCATTTTTTTTACGTATTAATTGACAAAGTTCCTTTGAAAACCAACTTGGGAAAGGAAACTTCTTTGGATAAACTTTAGGAACGAATAACTCGATAGAATGTAAGAGTATCTCATAAAATTTATCAAGCGCACTATTAATGTCATCATAGTTATATAAAATCGACCAGTCAATTGAACTTAAATAATAAGACATTTGACAATAATTACCACGTTTAAAATTATAATACCAATTCAAGGGGCATGAATGCTGATAATTGTTACTACGTTGTAACAATTTTTAGCTAACAAAAATAATAATAATAATAAATAATAAAGAAAATGTTTATACTCTATACCTATTCTAGCTTAAATATATATTGATGAAGGAATTCACCAATTATAGAGTGATTAAGTAGTAATCAGCATTATCGCTAGATTTACTAGGTAAAGATGCATAGATCACTGTCTTCGAGATAGCTCTATTAATAACAATTGATAAATTTTAACAAGGTTTAAAATTGACTATTTTGATCTAATTGGTTATTATATTAATTGACTTGTTTTTTAACTAAATTAAGGAATTATTTTCTAGTTAAGGTAATAGAAAAATGGCTGCAAATTAAATTTAAATTATTAATATTCTTTGCATATTGAATGAACACATAAATTCATTATTGATTTTAGACTCATTAAATTTTTACTTATTAAGCGTAATAAAATTCGATTAAGAATTCAATTTCTCTTAAATAATTTGACACGAATTTGGTTAATTAAGTACATGATACTGTTTTTGTGTAACAATTATAGATACTTTCGGTCTCAATATGTAACATACGACTTATATAATGTGTAAAATGAATTCAATTTTCACAAATGTTTTACTAATTGACATTTTTACAGTTATTCAAAATACTAGTTATTATTTTTATTATACACTGTATTTCAAGTAACTGAGCAATTTTTTTATGAAATATATACTTGATCAATATTATTAAAAAGAATAATTCATAACAATTGCTATAAATTGTAAACTTGAAGTCTTTTATTTCTTTTGAACAGCTTATAGACGTTGAAAATAATTTTTTAGTTAAAAGAGCTCTAGTATGGACCAGTGTTTAAGACTTGCAAAATTAAATTTAGACATATCCATGTTAAATGAGATATTAAAAACACGTCTACGATGTGGCTAATTTTAATTTAGTTTTTTTTTCTAACTAAATATTGTATGAGGAGCGTTAATTTGTACATTACTTCCTGCCGCTATAGATTTTGTTTATTATGTTATTAAAAAATATTGTTTAAGAAATAATAGTTTTTTCAGCGTTCTTGAAATATCTGCGATGTAAGTTATGTTAAGTTAAACTATCGAATCGGTTTTATTAATTCAAAACACTAGAAACATTTAAAAGACGTTATTTTAATATTTTTAGATTGAGCTAACTTTTAAACAACCTCAAAACTTGATGGGGCTATAAAAATGTCATAACTTTATAAAAAAAAATTAAAAAAACTAAAACTTAACATTTAACACAAACAAATATATTTTTTAGGCTTTTAAAAAATTAGGTCAGGCAAACGCCCATTATATTTCTTTTCGATTATTGTTAATAAACACACAAAAAAAAGTACATTGTGTATTCAATATAAAAAGAAAGCATTGAGCTTGATAAAATTGTTATTATAATTTAAACTTTTTCACTTATATCCCTTAAATTTCTGTATAAAAGGAATTAAACATTTTTAACGAAAATTGTTGGTTTATAGCTTTAAAAACATGAATATACTCGTATATGTGTATGCACGTTTTTAATACATTGATGAATTAGTAACGTATTTCATTGAAGTATTTTTACATTTTTAAATTCAATGAATATTGCTCAAGTATTGTTAAGTGCGACACATAAAAATTAGCTATAAAATACGCTTTTATTTTATTTACGAAAATATTTGGACTGAATTTTACTCATTTATTATTACTTTACAACAATATTTACAACTATGTTGGGTTTCGGTAGATATAGCAAGACATCTGAAGTGCCGCTGGCCTGCAACAATAAATTAATGGTGATATTAATGTTATTTCTCATTATCCGCCAAAGAGTTAATTGCGAATGAGTCAAGACTACCACATGGTATATGGGAGTAAGGCGTCAATAAGTCGCTGTCTACATATAACTCGCGTTACAGAAGGTAAAAAACTATGTTCACTTTTTAGCTAGAGCTATTGTGGTCGTCTAACTGTCCGGGCTGTTGTTGCGTTACGTGCTTGGCGTACTCGAACAAAAACATTCATTCATTACTCTTGTTATCGAAGTAGACAAAAATTAAAAACAAAATGAAATCAGCTGTATTATTATTTTGTATTGCTGCAATTTTTGGGTCAAGTGAGTACTAACAATAATATATTTTTGACATATATTTAATAAAAGCTTGTTCAAAATACCAACTTGATTTAAAATGTAGTTTGTGTTAAAATATAAAATATAATAGCTGCGCGTTACGTATATATTATATTAGACCCTTGATGATAAGTTTTGCGATTAACTCAACTTCAGGGGGTGAATAAATTAATTTATGGTTGTGTAACTTAAGTATTATTTTTTTAAATGTAAAACTTTTAATTTAATCTTTGGGCAACTAAAAATAAAATGACAAAATTAGATACAACCCCCCACTCGTTTTAAAGTAACAATAATATCAGAAATACATTATAGTTTAATGTGAAACCTTTAAAATTAATTTACAGGACAAATTTTGATAATAGAATGCCAAATAGTATGTTTTTATTTTCTCACAGAACATGTTTTATCCTAGATATTATAAAGTAAATACATTTTTGTGTACATCAAAATAATTTCTAAAGTTAACTGATGACAGTTAATTATTGAGTGAATAATACATTTATCAAAAGAATTTTAAGAATTACTGAATATTAGAATTATTAGTTTTAAAGAAAAATTCAGTGTAAAAGTTGTTTTATTCATACTTGAGTATTTCTGATGTTTGTTGATTCTAGATCTATTTGTAACACTGACAGAATTTTAGAGATTAATTATCACAAATTAAAAAAAGTTAATTTAATCGAGCTTTCTAAAGTAATATATTTTTTTATGATAAATTTCGTATGAAAGTGATTTTTTTTATTAATTAAACTTGTTATTTTTAAATAAAATTTGTAATATATTTGTTTTTGATTTTATACGTGCACACAAAAATTAATTTAATAAATATAAAAATAAGCATCTTTTTATCTATTCAAATCTGGTTTCAGTTTTGTTTCATCACTTATAGTTTCAGAGTCGGTTACTAAATAGTAATAAAGTGATAATTACACACTTAAAAATTCGTAAATGATATAGAAATATTTTTTTTCTTGAAACTAGAAATTTGTTTTATCTATATTATGAGAGAGTAGTGTGAAATTTGAGACTGCTGCAACTATTTTTTTTAGGCTTTTAAAATTGATTATAGCATTTATTTATCAAAAATTTAAATTAAATTTTTCACTATAATTTGCTTATGATTTAACTTCTAGTTATGAATATGTAATCATTAAATAAATAATATTATGAGGATTTTAAAAATGTTATTTATTTTATCTTAATGTATTATTAACAACCGATATAATTGCTGTTAATAGAAAACACTGTCTAAATCTCGAAATTTCGTAAAAATTGTTGGTTTTTTATTATAATTACTTTTCCTTCACAGTAATATTTAAATCAAGCAAATTTTTGATTCACAAATTGACATATATTTTTACGCTGAATATGGTGATGAAATTAGATTTTATTTATCTTAATTATTTGTTTAAATATTTAATTACCAAGAAAGGGTTCAAAGAAGCCAAATTTCATAAAAGTTTATCTAAATATTGTAAACAACAGACATTTTTTTTTGTCCTGTTTAATTAAAGAGTATCTTATTTTAAGTGTTGTTAAGATACGTTGGAATAGTCAATTTATATAGCCTTGACAGTATTTTAATGTTTGATGAAGTTTCTTATGAATTTTTGTTTTTTTTGGTGTTGTTCATATTAATCATGATTTTGTTTATTATCATCAAACATCCTATTTCCGTTGTACTCGTAAATTGTTTGCTGTAATATGACATCATGAATGAGCTGTGCAGAACTCACCCGCATTTGAGTTACCATTTTTCTAAGTTATTGTCTATTTTATTTGTCAATGAATTTAGATAAAATATTTTCAAGTAAATACAAACAGAAATTTGCTGACATTTTTGTATTATTTGTTCTATGCCCCAGACCCTCCACATAATAGTGGAATATCTAAGATTGGCTTACCAGACCTGATGTTTTATATGTATTAAATGTAAAATAATGGGTGACAAAATTAATCATGTAAAAATTGATCAGAAATTAATTTGTTCTGACTTTCTATCTTAAACTTTAATTTTAGTCTTGTTTGGAGAACAAAAAATAAAAAAACAATGGTACCCTTTTAAAACCATATTTTTTAATTTGAAGGTGAGTGGAGCAGTAAATTTTATATTGTCATTGGAGGAGGACTCCTAATAAGACTAATAAGACACTAATATTAGTTAAAACCATAGTTTCAGTGCATTTATTCAGTTAAATGATCGTAAGTTATCATATTTGCAGCGAAACAGGCTTATTATTGGATGCTTATGAAGGGGAAATTAAACTCGGGATTCTAAAATAATTTTTCCGCGCCCGTTAAGTTATATTAGATTTATTAATTAAAATTTATCCACAGGCGTACTCGGGGTTAAAATTTAAGAAAGGCCCGGTTATAGTTATGATTTAATCCCTTATTACCGGAGTCTGATTTCGCTAGGAGTGTTTTAATAACGTTTTTTTTGTCATTATTTGTGAATAGAACATTTTATAGGTCCAGTGTCTAAAGCTGGCTTTGAAAACAGGGTAGGGTCGGTCTAGTCGCCGAGTATGCTATTGAGTGTATCTATGCTATAGTATACAGCATTTTGTATTTTTGATAATATATTTTGTCATTACAACTCTAATTATTTTAATTAAAAAGAATTAATTCCTCTAGGCGTGTCAACACGAGGTCGCTATTACGTAAAATTGTTTAAAAACTATAGGAAGCATAACAATAATCTGTAGGAATTTCTCTTTTAATGAGGTTAAAAGATTTTATATTTACTAATTAAAAAAAAAAAATTATATCTTAAAAATATGGCTTAAATAAAAAATTTTCCAATTTTGTTTCGAAAAATTGACGATAAAATAAAAAACCTAATATATCGAACAGTTTATATGTTTATACTCCACCCAACCCAACCGTAAAAACTATATGGATATTCTAATTATAACTAAAAATTAGTATATAAATGTTGTTCAGACGCGTCCGGGAAAAGCAATGGTATAAGGGGCACATAAATTTTAGCGCCCTTGCTCTCGCCAAAATAAAACATTTGATATGATAAAAAAAAAAATTTCAAATTATGCTATTCAGAACAGCACTTATTGCGTTATTAACAGCTGCATATGGGCAATTGTCCTATTGCTCCGTGGCTTGTTAAGGGCCTAAGCACCTCAGGGAAGTTTGTGTTTGATGCCTCACTAAAATTATTTGTTCAGCAAAAAAAAAACATTATTTTCCAACTACTTAGAAAAAATGTCTTGTTTAAAAAACTTATAATATACATAAAAACAAAAACATAAATTATAAATAACATTACGTACATTTTTATCGGGTTCATTGGCTATGATGTCCCCAAAATACCCATGGGCGCTCCGGGCAACTGCCCCAGCTATAGCCCCTTGTGTAGACACGCCACTAATCTTGTGCCGTGATCAGTCTGCCCTAATGTTTTTAATAATTATATTAGATTTTTTTCATAAATATTTTTAAAATATAATCATAAATATTTAAGGTGTGGCTTTGAAATGTTACACTTGCGGTGGAGCAAATACAGCATGTGAAGTTCCATATCCAAAAAACGATAACGAGTTGTTAGAATGCGACACTAAATCGATTGAAGAGTTCAGTAGGCTTGTTAACATGCTCAAAAATCCATCTCAACTCTTTAGTAATATATTTGGTGGTTTGAATTCAAAAAATGACCAATCTAACAACTTTAACAATGATAAAGTATCAAACAATGCAATAGAATCAATCGGTTGCACAAAATTGGTTATGAAAAGTATGAATTGATTTAGAATTTTAAGTAAAGAAATTAAGAAAGCCTAACACTAATTTTTTATCTTAGATGCGGCAGGTAAAGAAAGTACTGTACGCGGATGTGATCATGTAAAAACCTGCGATACTTTGAAAACATTACTTGGATCTGATTTGTATTGCGAAACTTGTAATAAAGACGGATGCAATGGAGCAGGTTCTTTACAGTCATTCACTGTAACCATGATAGTCACTATTGCTGCAACTTGCTTATACTATGGACTTCGTTAAGTTTTATTTTTATTGTTTAAAAACTATTAAAAGTTAGGTCTCATCGTGAATATTATAATTGAAATGTTTTGGATGCTAAGGAAGTAGCAATTAACTCAATACATAAACATGCAAAATTTATACTTTATTTTATTTTTGACTACTTTTATATATATATTTTTTTTACTATTCATTTTGCTTTTAGAATTTTTGATCAAAGGCGAAATACAAGTTAATTTTAATTTAAATGAAGGAACATTTTTCATGTTATATTTCTTACTATAAATAACTTTTATAATATAAAAGTTTATTATATAAGGAATATTTTCAAGTTTAATATTATAGAGCTTGGAAATATAGTTTATCATCATATTAAACATAAATTTAAAATTATTGTTGCACTAATTAAGTAATTTCTTAATAAACTAACATTTTAAAATTATGTTTGAATTTTAATTTTTGAAATATATTTATTGGAAATTTTTCTTTCCTATACATATATTTTAATCATTATAATCATAAAATTATGTCAGTTATTTTAATCATTTAAAATTCATAATTTGCAATTGCACATTATCTAGAATTCAATTGAGATTAGTTTGGAGAGAAATTTTTTATACAAGTTCTATGGAATTATGAGTAGTAAAAAAAAAAAATTAATAAAAAAATAACAACAAATATAAAATGTTAGTATTATTAATATTATTGTCAGTTTCATAACATTATCTATATATAACAATACAAATATTGAGTATAAATCCCTGTACAAGTATATATTTTGTTAAATACTTCGTCTTAAACTTAAACATGAATATAAAAAGAATAAAAATACATAAACAAAATATAGACAAAAAAACCATACATTATAGGTGGCTTCTTACATTTTTTAAGTTTTTTTTAGTAAAAATGACTGGTTCCAATGAGATAATAACTAATTTATTTTATTATAGCTATGATTTTTATAATAAACAATATAACGAGGATAAAACTCATAATCCATAAACTTAACGTAGACCATTTTATTTCTAGATATAGCTGTATCAAAGAAATTTGGTAGTACTTTAAGATTGTAGTTCACACTAACCTCTTTAATTCTTTGTATTAAAACATTGCATATAATAAATATACGTTCAACAGACATGTCTAAAACATTTTAAAGTGATTATCAATCATTTATCAAAAGAAATACAAAAATACTTAATACTCTATTGGATAAAACAATTTTCTCTAAAAGAATAAAACATTAAAATTTTTTCTTTACAGATGTTATTTTAATAGTATTTTATGTTTTATGATTTAAAAAAGAAATGTGGTCCTACCCCCTTATTCTACTACAAAATTGTTCCAACTTTTGTTTCACATGATAACTTATATGTTTAACTAGCTTACAAACAAGATACTAATCTAATTAAGAAAATGATTGGTACAAACTTTTGTACCAGTATTATAAAAAATATTAACATTTTTACTTTAGAGGGAGAAGTAGTGCAGTTCATAAACGCCTAGAGATAAAAAAAAAACAACAAACTCTTCTTTCATCTTAAAAAGTGTTAATAACTTACAAAATACTGATTCAAAAATTGTTAAAAACCAGTCATTTTCTTATTTGTAGGCTGGTTAAACACATGTATCCATTTAAAAAACAAAAGATTATTAAAGATAAAAAATATAAAAATATTGTTGAATGGAATAGGTTAAATAATTAAAAGATTTAAAAATTATTCGTAATATAATAGTATATAATATAAAATATCAAAACATATAATATAAGAGATGTAACACGGCAACGGGTTGCTTAACTCGATAGATGGCAAAACTACGACTGAATCTTAAATATGAATATAATAGGCTGCATTGAGTAAAACAACATAACTGAGAAAGGAATTGACCTTGTATTATACTAACATAAGTGAAAATACATTTTAAACTGTTATCTTAAATAATATTACTATATCTAGTGTGTTGTTTAATTATATCAACTATTATAAAAAACAAAATTAATTATTTAGAAATAATTTTGAAATATTAGTCATTTATTATTTTCAATGCCTCACCATTAATTATAGATGAAAAAGGTTCAGCAAAATTATCTTCAATTATATGGTTCATTAGCCATTGAGTAGCTAACTCTAAACTTGAATTTTGTGTATAAAAAAGGGCTTTTTTAACAGCTTCTCTTGGAAATCCCATTTCTAGTAATAAATTCATCAAATAATCATCAAATATAAAATCCTCACTTTGCTCTATAAAAAGTAAACAAAATATTTATTTATTTTTGTATTATTCAGTTAATATATTAAATATAACATATTATTAAGCATTACAAAAAAGTATTTACAGTTTGAATTATTTTAAAAATATGAAATATATAATACCAAAGGTCAGATAATGACAAAAAGCTTTAATATAAAAAAAAGTTAACGAAAAGTAATAAATTATAATTTATAAAAGATAATTTTTAAAATTTGTTAGTATTTACAATATTTCCATAGGTATTTAAGCAAAATAAATATCATTAAAATGAATAACACAAAAACTATTAATTTACCAATTGAACATGATGCATATTTATTAGCATATAATGGACAATAAGAGAAGCACACACCCTTTCCATATCTGCTTCTACATGTTAACCGCCAATCTAAATTATTCTCCAGTATAGACTGCAAATTAGTGATAGCTGTGGCATGATATAAAAGCCATTCATTAACAGGAACTGTAGGGTTATTATATTCCATTTCATTTTTTCTTAATGTATACATACCGTACAGTAAAGGATTATTTATTTTTTCAACTCTTTGAACCTGAAATAAAGACTATTTAAGGTTTTGCTAAGTATATGTACTGAATTCATTAAAGTTTAACATAAAAGTATGGATGAAATAAAAAACTTTAAGATGTATGAACAAAGACAAAAATAGGAAATCATAAAATAACCTACAGTAACTAGTCTACATACATATTCCTTTATTAAATATTGTTTTTTTAAAAATTTGATACTAATTTAAATCTATTATAAAAATAGTTGAATCATAATAAAAGTCTGTACTATTTTTTTTTCTAATAAATACATACAATAGTAGATTAAGATAGAAAAACATGAAAAAATATGTATTTATTTCCCAAAATTTATAAAAATATCAATGTGTTGTATTTTTAATAAAGTGCCTTATTTATTTAAATAATTTTGCTTTCTAAAAATAAAATATGTCATATAAATTTCTTTTTTAGAAAACAAAATTTGATACAAATATGCATAAAAACAATTTTGGCACTTTACAGATAGAAATAAATAAGTACATAGAAAGAACAAAACTTACGTCAAATAAATCATACAACCTTCTTATTTCTTGTACTTCGTATAGTTCTGGTCCAATTACTGATGTTACAGTGCTCATATTAAATAAAGTATTTACAATACCTATAACACTATTTACTAGATTACAATGAAAATTTGTTTAAAGTAAAACTTGGTAACAGTATTTGTTGTTTGTTCTTGCTGATTTAACTAACACTTATTCGTATAAGTGGAAATTTTATATCTGTTTATCATAAATATTATTGATTTCACTGTTTATAATATAAAGATTAGATAGACTTTATAAAGATTAGATTTCAGAAATATATCGCTCATTCTATTTATGTATTCTACCTTTTTGTTCTACCATTATTTAGTTACTGACTCATTTGTTTCTATAACATTGATTATTCAGCATTTGATTTTTTTTTCGCTTCGAGATGTAATAAATTTAAAATGACAATTCTTTTTTCAATTGAGCTACTAATTCGAGTTTGCGGCACTATCAGTAGTGTAAAAACTGCAAAACACACATTAAGTAAATAAGACTGAAAGAATCGAAATATTTGAATCTTTATCTGAAAAATTAAATAAAATTTACTGTATTATTAGAAAAAATAGAAGAATTATCAGTTTATTGGCTTGTATATGTATAAAATCTCGAAATTCCTCAATCCGACTCTGTTTACGAATTATTATCATGATACTGTTTTAGAATAACAAAAATAGAAACATAATATTTTAGCAATTGAAAATATTTTTAATTCAATTGTTCAATTTGTATATTAGCGAAACAACTGTCAAACAGTATCTTGACAAAATTATACTATAGGTTATATATTATAAATAAATATTATTTATTTATCAGTTTTCCTTCAGTATTTAATATACAAGAAATTTCGCCTTTTAATATAGAAAACTATAGAAATTTGAATAGCATAACTTTATTTCTGTTTACCTTAAACCTATTTCTTAAAAGTAAATTTTTTTTAGAAAATAATTTTTTGAGAAGGGGAATTGTTCCTATGACAGGCAAGTATCATGGGATCTGGATTTCCATCCAAAGTAAAATTTTGAATATGTGTCTGTCTTATGATATTTAAATATTACTTAATAAATAATTCAATTAATTGTTGAGCTATATATTTCTTCAGTAAAAGCTTAAAAAAAAAAGGTATTTCAATTATTTAAAAATTATTTTAATTTGTTATTCATTACATTTTTATTATTAGAGTTCAGAAATTATAGCATTTGTATTACAAACGTTACAAATGTATACATACGTTTTAACATAGTTAATCCTATTACTAGCGTAATTAGGGGGTTTGGGTGTCATATTCTACCACAAAAAAAATAATTATATGCAAATCGACATGGCATGATAATNTATTCTACCACGAAAAAAATAATTATATGCAAATAATTATCATGCCATGTCGATGATAAAATTTTATTTTTGTTTAGAGGAGGAAGTGAAAAAAGTATTCATATATCTCCCTTCAAGACGAAACTCTAATTACACCATTAAATCCTATTGCCAAAAAAGATATAAACTTTTTTCATTTAATTATGGATTCATAAATTTTACTTATTATTGCAATCGGAGGGTCCAGTGCACTAACCTGTACGTCCATTATTTCAGAGGATTATTTTTCCTTAGATTTGCATAAATATTATTATTCTAAGTATTTCTAAATACAAATGGATATTATATTAAGATTATTTATGAAGTTATCTAAATAAGAAATAAACATTTTACCAATGCTTTTAATGGACTGAAAATATTAAAACTGAAAATATTTCAGTACATGCTCCTCCTGCTGTAAAATGTCTAAAAATGAATTTACCTAGTTTTAGTACTGGACCTCCAGTACAACAACAGTTTTCGATAATTATCATTTTTTAGATTGTGATTGAAAGAATGGCCAGGATGACTGTCAAACCCACTATTGGGAAAATAATAAATTCAATGTCATGATTTTAGTATTGTTTAATTATTCCTCTTTAATGATTTAAACAATTTTTTCTTCTTGAATAATAACAGTATCTTTTTTAAATGTATTAATTTCTGTCAAACAACTTTTTTCGCACGAATATATAAATGCAGTTCCATATTCTAAGTGTAATGAAGGAAGAATTTGAAGTTCAAATATTAATTTCCGTTGGCAGTTACAGCATTTGAGAGTCTCTTTTTGTTCATCTAAGAATAAGAGTTTACCTCCATCTCGTCAGATTAAATCTATATTGGACCCAACTATGCAACGTCCCCACTGTGCTGCTTTTTTTTTTATAATTTAGTTACTGGATTAATGAATAAACCTATCATATTTATTAATTTTAATTTTATTTATCTAGTTTAACATTTTAAGTACTTTTTTAATTATTTGTCGGGGTTTTGTTTTTAGGATTATATTATAATAATATTGTGTCATTATTAATCATTTTAAAACGATAAGTACTTTAATTTTAAAATCTACAAATATTTTTTTCATAATAATTTTCCTATGTTAGTTCTTAAATTTATAATTGGTGATTGTAAATTAAGTTATATTTTTTACATGTGAAATACAATTTTATTACTATAGAAATATTAAAGTACTAAATTCTATAAAAAGATATAAAATAAAAAAACGTTATTGATTTATCTATTAATATCTTATGAACTGATTATATGTAGATAATATTGTTTAAAATTAAAAATACATTTAAAATATTAAAAGTGGTTAATGGATTACACAAATAATGATTATAGCACCTTATGTGCTTTTGCATATGGATGCGATAGATGTAAGAAAAAAAATTGATGAATAAATTAATTTAATTTATTTAAACCTAACTCATCACAGTAAATTTTTATAAAATTTTTAGAAAATACAATAAGTTCGTTACAAGCAGATGAAAAATTGTCAATATTAATTAACTCAGGTATGTCAATGTTTAGCACTAAATTCACTGATGGACATTGTTTTTCATGTGTTTTATTTAAAGAACTTTTCAATTTGTTATATTTTAAAAATTCTGAGAAATTTTGTACGTATTTTTTTGCGTAAAATAGCTTTATTCTATGTTTACTGATATTTCTATTACTATTCAAAACATCCATTGAATAATTTCCAGAATTAATTTCCTCGAGTATTTTTGTTATTAAATTACACACACATTTTAAATACGAACTGCAGTTGTCATGAAAATTTTCTCCTATTAGTTCATTTAAAGAAACCAATGTTTTATACATTATATCAAACATTTTAGTTGTCTTATGAACTGCATCAAAAAGTAGTCTTACAAAATTTATATACATAACATAATTACTTTTTACTCTTATTTTTTCGCAAAAATTTAATATAAAAATGACATATTTGAAATATTTAAACAATATTTCTGTATAAATGCACTTGATCAATCTTAATATATGTTGTTTTTTACAATGAAAATTTAGTCTATCTGCTGGGTGTCTAAGAATACGGTCTACGCTTATAACTTGATCATTAAATACAATATTAATGTGTTTCAACGATTTCCATCCAATTTCTTTAGTAATTAAATTTAATTGTTCGATTTTCTCTTTTTGACTAATATTTTCATATAAATGAACTGGTGGATTTAAAGTACTAAAAAATATATAAATTTATTAAGTAAAGTAAAGTAAGTGATTATTAAGTATATAATTCCTCTAATATTTTCTTTAAAAAATGTTTTCAAATATATAAATTAAAATTAAATTAATTTTTATTAAATATCAAGTTTATAATACTATCAGAAAAAGTTATTCCTCAGGGTAGATTTTAGGAGTAACTTTTAAATAGGAGTACCTATTGTTACTTTGTTTGTTAGATAATGGGGAATGAATTAAATACAATTTTGACTGTTATAATCAGTTCGATAAAATTATTTTTTGATTTAATATAATTTTCAAGCATATGAGGGGTGTACAACGTTGAAGTCTCATTAGGTTAGGGAGCATAGACTCTCATATAGTGTATAAACATTATCAAGAACATTTTTTTTGTTTGTCAAAAATGAATAAAGGAAATTTAGAAAATGAATACTACGAGTAAAGGAAGTAATGTTAATATCGGAAACTTATTTTTCTTTTTTATTATTGATAAAAATATATTTTAAGTACATAAAAGTAATTATTCAGTTTATAGCTTTAAGGGACCCCAATTATTGGAAAACTCAGAAAATATGATATTTTCGTCTAGTTAGTGCGCCAAATAACACTTATAAGATACAAATAATAGATTTGGTTCTATTATATTCTCAACCATATAAGGGTCTCTTCAAATCCAGAAAAATTTTGTAAAGTAATTGGTAGTACAAGAAAAACAGGATAAATTTGACATGTTATAAGTTAATTTATAAAGTTTCCTCTATTACTCTACACAGTTTTCAAATAAATTTTCTTACCTTTCCTCATTTAAATCTAAAACTTGTTCAAAGCCAAGATTTTTATAGAAATTTGTAGAAATTTCAACATAATATATGTCAAGCCATTCACTTAAATAATGGCTCAATTCAATGTTTTTATATTGTTGTGCTTTATAATTTTTTAGATTATCTTCAAGTAAATACTTTGGTTTATGATTGTAAACAACTGAACTATTTTTCTTCTTAATATTTTGGTAGGTCTCATGACCTTCTCCTTTGATAAAACTGTTCACATCTAAAATAACCTCATAAGCATCTTTTTTTGTGTTTGGATCGTTTGGGTCGATAAATATCTGTGTATTTTGTTGACTTTTTAATATTGTATATTCTACAAAAGTATAAATTTCATCTACTATAGGCACAGAGAAAGTTTTTTTTGTATTCTCTAATAGTTTAAAATCTATGTTACTAAGATAGTTCATTACATTGTATAACTGTTCAAACATGGTTTTCGAATTTTCCACAACACTTTGAAGTAAAACTGTACAACGTAACAAATAATCTCCCTGGTTTAAGTCATAATATTCTTGACATTGGTTAGCTATAGTGCGAATATGATCAATGAATGTTTTGATGACTTCTGCGTACATGTAATTTAACGTATCAATTATAGCATCGAACTTTTTTGGTAGTATTATACGACTCTCTTTGCAAATAACGTCCTTAATAATAAAATTTATCTCTGTAGAGAAGTCGTATTTAATTTTCAAATGCTGCATAGAATCCCAACCAACTTGTTCACTTAAATGATCCATTACGCCTGACAAATATTTTTCATATGTTTTAGACTTTATTTTACAACTCACAAAGCATTTTGTAGTTAGAATCCAAAAAGTATAACAAATAGAATAAAATAATTTGGGTAACATTATTGACAGTTTAACATGCAAAAAACCTTATAGTTAGTAAAATTTTATTAGAACTTACTTATTTTTTATGTAAAATATAAATTCTAGTACCTTGTATTTTTATATCATTTTAATAATAATATATTAAGCAAATGCAGCAGTAGATTTATAGTTGTTTAAATAATATGTAAAAATAATTTTTTTTATGTATTTTACACTTAAAACTTGTATCAACTTCAGAATTCCAATTAGCAACCTTATTTTTTTACACTGTGGATTGATATACTAACCTTTTCGACAATAAAAACCAATTTTTTTAAATTAAAATCAGTTCTTTAAGCAATTTTAATATACCCAAGATCTACGACACTCTTATCAAGATTCTCACTCTTTGGAACTTTTTTTTTCATTTAATTTAGACATATGATATTTTAGCTTCGATGCAAAGCCGAGAAGGTATTAATTTTATCAGTATGTTTATTTTTTTTTTATGTCTGTCACTACTTTTTTTCAGCTCTCACTGGACCAATTTTTCTTAACGATACGTCAAAAGATCACAAATAGTTTCTAGTTGAAGACATAACCTTTAAAAATTAAAAAAAAATCCCTTAATCAAATAATACGTAGCTTAACCGTCTTTATTCATTCAAAAAATTTAAATCATTAATTTCTGATATTTTTAAAGTATTTATATTCGAATTAGATTTGATATGATAAAAGTATTCAACTACAAAAGTAAATAATTTTAATTTGTAATATATTAATTTTTTAACTCTCTTTATGTGTGCTACTACCAGTCTATAATATTTCAATTTTTTTGGTAACAAGTTGCTATATAAATCGTTTATAAATAAAAATGATTTTTATTTTCACTTGAATTGAACAATAGATTTTTACTATTGTAATCAAATTTTATAATAATACACTCAATCGAGTATATTTTAGCTTCGATGCGAAGCTGAGAAGGTATTGGTTTTACTAAGATGTGTTTTTTTTTTGTGTCTGTTACCACTTTTTCTCAGCTCTCACCGAACCGATTTCTTTCAATGATACGTCAAAAGATCACAAATCGTATCTAGTCGAAGACATTACCCTCAAAAATTGAAAAAATTTCCCTCGTTCCACATAAATGAGGGAAACCTCCAAAAAAATTACAAATTTAAAAATCGCTAATTTTCGAAATTTTTTTTACTTAAAATTGCCATAACTTTTTTAAAAATAACCGAATCAATATAATTTTTTTTTATATAGACGCATGATATCATTACTTTTCATTTAGTATATTTTTTTTATAAATTTAACTCTTTACCTGCCCACAGAGGATTTAAAATGACAACTTTTTCACAAAAAATTAATTTTTTCAACTTGACTTTTGAAAATGTTCCGAAAAGTCTGACACTTTTATATATATCTTAAATTAAAGCTAATTTATGTTCTTTATTATGCAAAAAAAAATTCGGACTTTATTTTATCTTCACGGTAAAAATGACTACCGAATGCTATTTTTGTGCGAAAATTTTCGATTTTGTATTTTACATTTTTAACTTTATTATGGTATAACTTTTTGAAAAATGTATGGATCAGTACAATTTTTTTATGAGGAGTAGTATTCATATACATCTTTCATTTGACATACTGTTTTCTTAAATCGGACCAATTCCCTATATACGAGGGGGGTTCAAATCTAAAAAATGCATGTAGAAAGTAGAACTTTTTAAACTTAAATTTTGAAAGTGTTCCGGAAGGTCTGACACTTTTATATATATCTTAAATTAAAGCTAATGTAATATACTTTATCATGAAAAAAAAAATTTCTTACTTTATATTATCTTCAAGGTGAAAATGGCTACCGAATGCTATTTTTGTGTGAACATTTTCAATTTTGTATTTTACATTTTTAACTTTATTATGCTATAACTTTTTGAAAAATGTATGGATCAGTACAATTTTTTTATGAGGAGTAGTATTCATATACATCTTTCATTTGACATACTGTTTTCTTAAATCGGACCATTTCCCTATATACGAGGGGGGTTCAAATCTAAAAAATGCATGTAGAAAGTAGAACTTTTTCAACTTAAATTTTGAAAGTGTTCCGGAAAGTCTGACACTTTTATATATATCTTAAATTAAAGCTAATGTAATATACTTTATTATGCAGAAAAAAAATTTCGGACTTTATTTTATCTTCATGGTGAAAACAGCAATCAAAGTTTATAAAAAAAATACGATTTTTGTAAAAAAATTCTTTTTTATATTTTTAACTTTATAATGCTATAACTTTTTGAAAGATGTATGGATCAATATAATTTTTTTTTTATAGATGCATGATGTCTTAACCTATCATTTGGTATATATTTTTTTTATATCTGACCCTTTACCTGCCCACAGGGGGGGATTTAAAATGACAACTTTTTCACAAAAAATTTACTTTTTCAACTTAAATTTTGAAAGTGTTCCGGAAAGTCTGACACTTTTATATATATCTTAAATTAAAGCTAATGTAATATACTTTATTATGCAAAAAAAAAATTTCGGACTTTATTTTATCTTCATGGTGAAAATGGCTACCGAATGCTATTTTTGTGTGAAAATTTTCGATTTTGTATTTTACATTTTTAACTTTATTATGCTATAACTTTTTGAAAAATGTATGGATCAGTACAATTTTTTCATGAGGAGTAGTATTTATATACATCTTTCATTTGACATACTGTTTTTTTAAATCCGACCATTTCCCTATATACGAGGGGGGTTCAAATCTAAAAAATGCATGTAGAAAGTAGAACTTTTTCAACTTAAATTTTGAAAGTGTTCCGGAAAGTCTGACACTTTTATATATATCTTAAATTAAAGCTAATGTAATATACTTTATTATGCAAAAAAAAAATTTCGGACTTTATTTTATCTTCATGGTGAAAATAGACATTAAAGTTTATAAAAAAAATACGATTTTTGTAAAAAAATTCTTTTTTATATTTTTAACTTTATAATGCTATAACTTTTTGAAAGATGTATGGATCAATATAATTTTTTTTTTATAGATGCATGATGTCTTTACCTATCATTTGGCATATATTTTTTTTATATCTGACCCTTTACCTGCCCACAGGGGGGGATTTAAAATGACAACTTTTCACAAAAAATTTACTCTTTCAACTTAAATTTTGAAAGTGTTCGTGAAAGTCTGACACTTTTATATATATCTTAAATTAAAGCTAATGTAATATACTTTATTATGGAAAAAAAAAATTTCGGACTTTATCTTATCTTCATGGTGAAAATGGCTACCGAATGCTATTTTTGTGTGAAAATTTTCGATTTTGTATTTTCCATTTTTAACTTTATTATGCTATAACTTTTTGAAAAATGTATGAATCATTACAATTTTTTTATGAGAAGTAGTATTTATATAGATCTTTCATTCGACATACTGTTTTTTTAAATCGGACCATTTCCCTAAATACAGGGGGGATTCAAAACATAAAAATGCATATAGAAAGTAGAACTTTTTCAACGTAACTTTTGAAAGTGTTCCGGAAGGTCTGACACTTTTATATATATCTTAAATTAAAGCTAATGTAATATACTTTATAATGGTAAAAAAAAATTTCGGACTTTATTTTATCTTCATGGTGAAAACAGACATTAAACTTAATAAAAAAAATACGATTTTTGTAAAAAAATTCTTTTTTATATTTTTAACTTTATAATGCTATAACTTCTCGAAAGATGTATGGATCAATATAATTCTTTTTTTTGTAGATGCATGATGTCTTTACCTATCATTTGGTATATTTTTTTTATAAATCTGACTTTTTACCTGCCTACAGGGGGGGATTCAAAATGACAACTTTTTCACAAAAAATTGACTTTTTCAACTTAAATTTTGAAAGTGTTCCGGAAAGTCTGACACTTTTATATATATCTTAAATTAAAGCTAATGTAATTTACTTTATTATCCGAAAAAAAATTTCGGACTTTATTTTATCTTCACTGTGAAAATGGCTACCGAACGCTATTATTGTGTGAAAATTCTCGATTTTATGTTTTACATTTTTAACTTTATAATGCTATGACATATTGAAAAGTGTATGGATCAACATTATTTTTTTATGAGAAATAATATTTTTTAATAATCCCTTTTTCATTCGACATACTTTATCTTAATTAGGATATTAATAATGAACTAGCAGATCATGTAGCTTTTGGAATAATCCACCAATTTTTTAAAATTAAACACTATCTAAAGATTTGCATCGAAGCGTTTTTTTTTTATAGTGATTTTAATCACTGTCAGATATCATTATACTTGATCCATCTATGCCACGTCACCACTGTGCCGCGACCCCCCTGTGCTGGGTTTTTTAATTTTAATTTTACAACAATTTAAAAAAAAGGTCAGTTTTCTAATCAGTTCTTTGAATTCTGCTAAAACTTTTTTTTTTTTTTTTAAATTAAACACTATACAGATTTGCATCGAAGCGCTTTTTATGATAGTGATTTTAATCACTGTCAGATATCATTATACTTGATCCATCTATACCACGTCACCACTGTGCCGCGACCCCCTTGTGCTGGGTTTTTTATATTTGACCCTGTGGGCAGGTGATTTAAAATGACAACTTTTTCACAAAAAATTAATTTTTTTAACTTGACTTTTGAAAATGTTCCGGAAAGTCTGACACTTTTAGATATATCTTAAATTAAAGCTAATGTAATATACTTTATCATGAAAAACAAAAATTTCGGACTTTATATTATCTTCATGGTGAAAACAGACATTAAACTTAATAAAAAAAATACGATTTTTGTAAAAAAATTCTTTTTTATATTTTTAACTTTATAATGCTATAACTTTTTGAAAGATGTATGGATCAATATAATTCTTTTTTTTGTAGATGCATGATGTCTTTACCTATCATTTGGTATATTTTTTTTATAAATCTGACTTTTTACCTGCCTACAGGGGGGGATTCAAAATGACAACTTTTTCACAAAAAATTGACTTTTTCAACTTAAATTTTGAAAGTGTTCCGGAAAGTCTGACACTTTTATATATATCTTAAATTAAAGCTAATGTAATATACTTTATCATGGAAAAAAAAAATTTCGGACTTTATTTTATCTTCACGGTGAAAATGGCTACCGAATGCTATTATTGTGTGAAAATTCTCGATTTTATTTTTTACATTTTTAACTTTATAATGCTATGACATATTGAAAAGTGTATGGATCAACATTATTTTTTTATGAGAAATAATATTTTTTAATAATCCCTTTTTCATTCGACATACTTTATCTTAATTAGGATATTAATAATGAACTAGCAGATCATGTAGCTTTTGGAATAATCCACCAATTTTTTAAAATTAAACACTATCTAAAGATTTGCATCGAAGCGTTTTTTTTTATAGTGATTTTAATCACTGTCAAATATCATTATACTTAATCAAACTATGCCACGTCACTACTGTGCCGCGACCCCCCTGTGATGGGTTTTTTTAAAAACTTTTTGATTGTTTCTTTTAGTTAAATTCAAGTCAAATTTAATTTCATTAAAATTAATTCTATTTTGCATATTTCAATTGTAGAATCTTTTTAAACACCAAAAGTAAATTAGAAATTATTACTATGATTTCTATTACGATAAAAATGCAAAAAAAATCTAGCTTTTCTGATAAATTTACTGTAAATAATAATTATACAATTTTTTGACTGTATATTAATCATAATAATACCATTTTATTCTATTTAATGATGTTAATTTCAATCTTGCAAGTTGAGCTATAAGTTATGACAATATATTTATTTTTTTTTATGATAAACTTTCACTTTAAAGGACAAAAAAAAGTAGGTTAAAAATTATATAATATTTAATTAAAAAATTATATATTATATTTTTCAATCTAAGAATTACTAATCAGCATATAATTAAGGAAATAGGAGTTGATGTTGCTTCTGTAATTATACACCAATTTCTTAGAATTAAACACTATCACTTATTTTCATCGAAGCGTTTCTTATGATAGTGATTTTAATCACTGTCAGATATTATCTATACTGTCCCAACTATGCCATGTACGTAGTGTGTCGCGACCCCACTGTGCTACCGTTTTCTTTATTAAGTTGTTTTCGGTCGTTATAAGAAGAACAAGAGATCATTTTACTGTTATCACGCTCTAGTGATAATTACATTATAATAATTAAATATGCTTAATTACTTCCAAGATTGCAAGACCATATTTTGTTTTCGATTATGTTAATTTAGTACAGACCAATTTTGCTTATAACTAGAATAAAAAATCAAAGCTCAAAAAAATAGTTGAATTCAGACTTTCGAATTTTTTGTTTGGATCAGAATGCAAACTATAAAATTATTTAACCATACATACAAAATAAAATCTAACTGTTAATTAAGGCACACGACAAAATAAAAATTACTATTGTTGTAATTTGAACTTTTTTTTTCTAAAATTGTCGAATGTTAATTATATTTCAAGGAACAATGTTTTAACGTAAGTTACTACACTTTTGAACTAAATGTGTAATTTATATCTAAGTTTGGCTTACAGCTTTTCCTCGTGTAAAATCAAAAAAAAAAAAAACAAACTTTAAATAATAAAAATGAATTTTGAATTATTATAAATTCTTGAAATAGGCGACATATTTTGGAAAATATTCATGGTCCATGAACTTAACATAAACCATGTTGTTATTTGAAATCGCAGTGTCATACATATTGGGCAGAACTTTTAGATGGTAATCTACATCAACATACTTTATTTTTTGAACCAGTACAGTACATATTAGCATAACTCGATCATGAGGCATATCTAAAACATTTAAAGATATTATCATAAATCAATTAACAATAACAATATTTAAATTTTAAAATATACATTAGAAAAAAAATTTACTATCACAGTCGATTAATATATTTTTTTCTAAAAATTGTATTAGTAGGATTTTAAGCAAAACTATAAGTTTATCAAAAATAATAATAATCATAAAACAGAGAAAATATTACTTCAACTCCCTCAAAACAATTTTAATAATGTGCCTGACGATAGACGACTTTTAGCTACAAAAACTCTAAAATATGTTTTTGTTATATTGTCTTGCAATTATTTTCTAATATTAATAAGTATCATTAAAATAATTAATCTCCAAAAAATAATTTCTCAAAATAGAACAAAAATGTTTTTATATATGCTCCAATAATTTGGGACCAAAACAATGCAGGGCATAATCAATTTGAAAAATTACAAAATAAAATTCTCAGATTTATATGACATAATTATAATATTCAAAGAATTCCTCACATTGATTACGAGAATATCTTGAAAATGTTAGAATTTAGAAACATTAAAGATTCGTAGAAATATATCATACAATATCTTTTTCACTAAATTACTAAATAACATGATTGAGTCATTTTATTATTTAGTCAATTAAACTTCAAAGTCATTAATCACTACACTGGCAACAATCATTTATTTTATATTTATAATTTTTCTAAAACGTATATGTTTAATGACCCAATTAATATTTTTATTTTATTTTAATAATCATTGTATAAAGATTGTATTATTCTTTTATTCTATTTACTTATTACTATGTTATATTCAATTATATCATATTATTGTTATTTATACTAATGTATTGTAAATTGAACATTGTCCGTATAAATTATTTAATAAATAAATATTAAAAAAAAAAAAAAAAAATTGACGACAAAATGGCTTGTAACCAATATTATCTAGATTTTATGAACATGATTTGTAATCTGCCTTTTCGCCTAACTTTACTTATTTCTCCGCTATTTGTACTTAAAAAACTGCCAAGCAAATAATCAGCGGATAGCAATGTAGTGACAAAAGTAAAAATGATGGAGAAATATTGATCTAAAATGTAAAATGGAACCATGTTCTTAAAAACTTAGATGATGTTGATATACAAATTTGTGGATAGTTTTTTTTTAAATATGACAACATTTTTATTCTATTTTTGAACTTGCTGATTTTTTAAAGTTCTTTTTGGGAATATCAGTACTTTTTTATAAAAACTGAAAAATTTATTATTTTTACGTTGCATAAAGTATGAAATTTGCACAAATTCGCTATAAATTCTATAAATTCATTAAATATTAATGCCATATTAATATTTTAAATTTAAATTCCTCATAATTTATATATATATTATCAAGATATAAAAAGAGAAAATTTGTATTTTTCTAATTATTTTTAATCTTCAAGTGACTTACTTGAGGTATTAACACTTAATCTTTCTTTAATTTATATTTAGTTCTATTTTTTCATCTCGACTGAAAATATATGAAAAGTTCTTATAGATCCAAATTACTTGATATTTGGCACACTTATATAAAATGAATTAGGATATTATTTTTTGTTCAAAAATTAACATCTTTAGTATTTTATAGGAAGTACGGAGCTATTTTAAAAATTTTCAAAATTGTGTTTACTATTCCCTAGAAGTAAATGTAAAACATTTTTATCCGAACTTAAATAATATGAAACTTCGAGAATTTGACTAGTTTGTCTGAAGAGCTTTAGAGTAGTGTATTGTAAAATATTTTTTTAATTAAATATTTTTTTATGTTATAAGCTAGCTCAATATGTATGTGTATATTAAAAAAGTTTATAAGTAATGAAATAAAAAAGTAATTAATTATTGTTAAGAAATATGCAAAACTCGAAACTATCAAAAATAATTATTTATATTATAATTATTATTTTAAGAGAAACTGAATGAATAATATTAATAAAATTTTTCTGTATTCGTCTAAATATAATACTTGTTGAAATTACACTTACTATTATTTTTCATTGAAAAAGGCTCAGGAATGTCGCTATTACATATGTTTTTTAATAGCCATTTTGTAGCCAACTCTAGACTTCTATTTTGGGTGTAATAAATAGCTTTTTTCGCGGCTTCTTTAGGAAACCCCATTCTAAGCAAAATAAACATTATATTGTCGTCAAAATTTTCGTTTTTGTCTAAAAAAAAAATAATAATAATAATAAAGAGTTTCTTTATGTGCAGGATCACATTAAGAGTTGCATTGAGTGTAATAATAATGTAGTGAGATAAACTATATTGTACAGGTCAGATTGTTAGGCGGTTGACAAGAAAGTTGAACAGAAAATGAGCGTAGCAGAGATGAGTATGCTTAGATGGATGAGTAGAGTGGCGAAAGAAAATAAAAGGAAGAATGAATATGTTAGCGTCGTTCGTGGATAAGATGAAAGAAAATCGGAGGTTGTAAAAACGGTTGGTCTTAAGAAAAAACGGAACAGTTATGGAAATGAACGTTAAAGGTAGAAAAGAAGGTTCTAATAAAATGTGAATGGATGTAATTGGGGTGTTATGAGAACTGCTGGTGAGTGTAATGATGATATGGGATACAGCGTCAAGTGGAGGTTTAGGATATGAATGGCTGACCCCAAGTAGTTGGGATAAAGGCGAAGAAAAAGAATAAATTGTCCTGAAATCGTCGATAAAATAAATTGGTACGTTCCAACTATTGATACCAGCTCTACGACTATTTTTTTATATATCATTCCACTCCCAGTTATAGAGCTATATAATTGTAAGTCGTATGTTAAGGGAGTGCAATAATGTTGAATTCGCTTTTAATTTTAAGAATTAAACTTCAAATTTTACGTCTGGATAACAGTTAATTTAATTGTAATTTAGGAATAATTTATATTATTACTTTTTATAATAGTTACTTATGTTAATTTAAAATATTTCATTTTTATTGTTAGTATTTACAATACTTATTGTTATTTATTAGTAATTTAATTACTGAATATATATATTCTACCGCCCCACTGAGCGTTTAAATAAATAAATAAATATTCTAAGAGGAATAATGAATTTACAATTACCCCATTCATGCCCCACTTGACTCTATTATTTCAAGATGTTCTTAAAAAATAATACACTTTTAGTACATTTAACCTAGAAACGACTCTACTGTACCTAACCTCAAAAAATCACTCTTAAAAATAAATAAATTTAATCATTAACATCAAAAAATCTTTTTTTAAGCAATGTTTTGTGAAGCTGAAATTTAATTAATTCATCACTCACCAATAGTACATGATGCATACTTATAAGCATACAAAGGACTTTCCGCAAAACATACACCCTTTCCATAGCGATTTCGGTATGAAAGTCGCCAATTTAAATTGTTATCAATAATAGATAACAAATTACTTTTAGACGTAACATGATAAAGCATGCATTCATTTACAGGAGTATCAGGATGATTATACTCCATCTCGCTCTTACGCAATGAATATATACCATACATCTGTGGATTTATTATTCTATCTACTCTTTTGATCTGAAATATACATTTAAGTATAAGTTTAGTAAGTTAAGTATACAACTAATATGTTTTGACAAAATTAACTAGAAAATTAAAATGTGAATGTTTTTTGGTTGAAACTTAGCTTTAGATAATAGATATTTTCATATTGTGTTTTTTAAATTTATGTTATAAACATTTTTATGAATATAATTTGTTTGTAAACAAGACAGAGACATGCTCCCCTTTCATTGGCAGCAATAAAAGATAGAATAATATGTCTAGAATGCTTTTGAATAAAGAGAACAACTAAAACTTTAATTTCTAGGGTGGAGTTGGATACAATCAAGTAAATATATTTGCACTGGGAGTAATCTGGTGTAGTTTATATATTTCTTATGGTAAAAAAGCATAATTCCTTTACAATGCAAAAACATATTATGCTGTATCTATAAACTTAAATGCGTAATACTAAATAATATTGTTTATCAATAACAGAAAATTACAAATTCGTTGCATGGATTAGTATAGTATATTTTTAACTAGAACACTTGGATAACTAGAGTACTCACAGTGCAAATATCAACATCTGCAAATAAAAATAAATCTAAATTTAAATTGATATCTAAAATTATTACTTACGTCGAATAAATCGTATAACCTTTTAATTTCTTTAACTTCATGAAGTTCTGATTCAAGTACAGGAGTAACAATACTCATTTTAAACTAATTATTGATTCCTAAATCAGAAAGATACTTATATATAAAAACAATTATTATTTCCATAGGTGCAACGAGGGTGGTGGCTATAGGAGACATATCCCCTCATTCGACGAATTATAGAGCTTCCTCCAAATTTATGAATATGTATATTTTTATATTAAAAAATTTGTATGTTGTTATGTCAAATATCTTTTAGGGCGGGGAGAAAATACAATTAGATAATAATTCTCTTCATTATACTATACTAAACAAATTATACATTGGTTAGGTGAGATACGAGTAAAAGTAAAAATATATTTATAATATAGACCAGTGGTCGGCAACCGGCGGCCCGTNATGAAGTTCTGATTCAAGTACAGGAGTAACAATACTCATTTTAAACTAATTATTGATTCCTAAATCAGAAAGATACTTATATATAAAAACAATTATTATTTCCATAGGTGCAACGAGGGTGGTGGCTATAGGAGACATATCCCCTCATTCGACGAATTATAGAGCTTCCTCCAAATTTATGAATATGTATATTTTTATATTAAAAAATTTGTATGTTGTTATGTCAAATATCTTTTAGGGCGGGGAGAAAATACAATTAGATAATAATTCTCTTCATTATACTATACTAAACAAATTATACATTGGTTAGGTGAGATACGAGTAAAAGTAAAAATATATTTATAATATAGACGATATTATTTTAGTGTTGCTTTATTCATTTCCTCCTCGTTTCCCTCAAAATAATTTGTAATCGAATTATTAAGTTTTTAATTCATTTTACTTAAATTTAAATTTAATAGTATTAAATAATAAAATAATTCAATTTTTTTCTAAAACAAGTTTGAAAATCTGGCTAAATCGTTTTTTATTAACAGTGTGCAGGGTTCTATCTTAAGATAACATTTACTAATATACAAAATACATATGTGTCAGAATAATGTGGCTAAAAAATACCATTAAAATAGTGTTTTTTCATCAAAATATTCAAATACTTTGTAACAACTATTATTCATAGATCAGTATTTAAGGGTTAGTAAATACAGGCGTATTTAAGTAATGGCAAAAAAAAAAGAAATCCTCTCTGTCAGCAAAGTTTAGAAAATATCAAAATAATGTAAACATTTGTTTCCCTAATTTATAATAAAGGTAAATCAGCATAAAAAATTTCTCACAGCAAAATATAGAAACGCCCTAAGAAAATGAATTTTTCAAAAATTTTATTAAAATAAAATCTTATGTAAAATACACGTATTATACAGTGATGAGAAAGAAGGCGTTCAAATGAACATATTTAAATATTACTAGATGAATTTTAACGTGAAAATTGTATGAATAAGTACATTTATTGTAAAGTTCATTTATCTGATTTCTTTTACTTGAGTTAGTACAAAAATAAATTTTTAGAATTTAAATCAATTATTTCATAACGCGGCAATGATAATTTATTAACATGGTAAATCTTAACAAAATCATGGTTAACTACAAAGTCATAAAAAAATATAAGCTTTATTTTATACAAAATTTTTTAATTTCTTGATTTTTTGCATCAAATTTAAAAGAAAATTTTTATATGATGAACTTGAACTAATTCACTTTTAAGAACTATTCATCCATCATTAATATTTTATGTTTATTAAATGTTATAAATTATATTTTTATTCAGTAAAATTAATATTTGTAAGTCATGTGTTATTGTAATTAAACATTAATAATTTAATAAATTTTTTTAATTCTCATATATAGAAATTTTGTTTAAAATTTGGAATTAGGAGTGAAAAATTGTATTATTTAACACAGTTTCGAAATGTTTTCTTGCTTTTTAAACTTACATGCACTTGAATTAGTTTTTAAAAAGGTATAAAATATTTTTTATATTAAATGTTCAGTCACGTAAAATGCTAAATTGTGTCACCATATCTTTTTATTATCATCTTATTATTTTTAAAATATAAGCTTTTAAATAACCAATAATAATAATTAAACTATTACTTTTATTGTTTAGTGTACTTCCCTTTAATGAGTCAAGTAGTTAAGGATAGCCTTAAAAATTTGTTAATAAAAAGAATATAATGTTTTCTACGGTGGTACCAGTTATATCTAGAATTGAATTTTCGATTATTCTAATAAAATATCTAAAACATAATTTCCTAAAAATCAATGATAGCAACAATGGTAGGGAGCTTGAGAGCCATAAAAAATTAAAAATATATGTATTGTTATATAAAAACATTTATAAGGAGGAATATTAAAATGCATCCCTAAAATTATTAATATTTAGACCCCTAAAATTTGTATTATTTCCATTTATGATAACAAGAAAATTTTTAAGTAAATAATATTTTAATTTAGTACATTCAGTGGCGTAACTAGGGGGGTAGGAATTTGTAATTCTCTCGAAATGATGTTTCAATTTATTAGTCACGATATATTTTTTTTCACTAATTCAAATTTTTATAAATGATAATATTGAATAAAAAAAATTTAATGAGCTTAAAAAGAAGGTAATATCTTATTATCTCTTGAAATTATTTTTTAGTTTCGCCACTGATGCTATCTATTCGTCATGGTACAAATAAATGATGTATAAATAAATTCAAAATTACTATAGTTAACAAGATGATAACACTACAATTTTTCTGATATAATGTTATATCATAACAATAACATTAATTTTTAAGACCACCGTCGTCTTTAAAAAAAACCAGTAATACTAAATTGTAATCGTAATATGTTTAAAACGTAAGTAATAAATTGTGTACAAGAAACTACTTAAGCTATGTGATAATAGTTATTCAATAATTTAAAAATTTAAAAATTTTCGTTTTTTTGATGTGTCATTTATAGGACATAATGATGGTTAAAAGTTGAACAAAAAGTGGAAAAATATTAAAAGCCGAGATCAGTATTATGACAGATTATCAGAATATGACAGAAATCAAAGCATAATAACTTCATGTTGGTGTTTTATCTGGAGGATAGCTGGCTTGAATACATATATTTTTACTTCAATAATTTTTGTTAGGTTATCAATTATGGAAATATAAAATATTTTCAATGATAAAAAAGTAAGTTGATTTAATATTTGTATCTCTTAATATTTAACCATCATTTTCCGTAAGAATTAAGGCATTAAAAGTTAACTAGGTATTCTACTTTCTTTAAATATTTAGAAAATGTTTAAATTAACGCTTATAGTTTATAAGAGGTCGCTCGTTATTATGGCACGTAACGTAAATAATGTTAATCTACTTACATTCAATATGAAAGAACAGTTATTTTGCGTCTAAATAGCTCTGATTCTAACGTCGGAGATATTAAATTTATTGATTTACCAGACTCAACTGATAAGGTATTTATTAGTTGATTTATATAATTTCATTTTTTCACACTTGTTACCTTAAGACGACAAATGTTATCTTATTATTGAATCCCATTCAACTTTTTCATTGCGCGCGTAAATATTATTAGAGAAAATTCATTTACTATTAATTATAAAAATAGCTAAATTTATTTTTAATGATAAGATAATATTAATATTTTATGATAACATTAATAATAAGTTAATTGTATGACTACGTTAGAATTTTACGGTCAGACCTACGTGAAATCTCACCTTTACCTAAGTGCAGTTTCACAGATATAATATTACAAGTCAGAATTTAACATTTAAAAAAAGTTAAACATGTTTGTTACTACTCACATATGACATACTTGGTAGTAGTAAATATAATATTTAATTCATTGTATCAAGATGTGTTAGAGCAATCGACTTTTGGGAGTAGAAGATTGAATAATTTTTTCATTTCTGAGATATGATATTTGTATGGAATGTTGCAAAAAAGAGATAAAAAAGTATTATTGACCTAATGTGGAAGAAACATACTATTGTTGATACTTATTGAAATTAAAATATTGAATATATTTTTTCAATGTTAAGTTTAAAACCTCTTTATTTTTAGGAGGTTAAGTCGTTTAAAAAACAAAACAGTCTATATTAGCATGTAGATAGAAGAGTTTTATGAGCGCTAGCTACACACGACAGCCATTCTAAACAAATCTATATATTGAAAACATCGTCATTATGACTAAAAAGCTTTACCAGTCAACTCTGACAGACCAGTCATTAAAATTTAATGATGAAGAAATATACAACTCTGTGGCTACTACTAGTTCTATTTTTTGAAACAAGTAAGTATAAAAGTGATTTTAATTATGTTTATGTAACTATCTTCATTTCCGTTGCAATACCATGAACCTATGATTTTTATTTTTAATACCCAACCCCATTAGTTAGAATATTGGTATATATATACAACGTATTTGAAATTAAAAATTGTTTTATTTAGAATATGAATCTAAAAATTGAACTATAAAATCAAGAAAAAATAAAAAATGTTAATATAAAGATTGTGTTGAAAACATTCTCTGATAAATAGAATTAAAAAAAAATTCTTTTTCAATTTTAGTTCTCATAATTGAAGGATTAAAAAAAATAATGCCAAAATTATTAATTAAACATTAACTAAATAGTATTAAATATTGCAAATATTATGAACAAATATTTACATCGCAATAATAATAAAAATGTCTTTCAAATAAATAAATAAATAAATACAGTTATTTCAGATCCCACGCTTGACAATTCAAAATAGTGTGCATAGCATATTCACCGGCATTATTCGGGTTTTTTTGATTCTTATAGAGATAAGTACTAAAACACCCGTACTCTGACATTCCCTATATCAGGTGGAGGTCCATATCATCGTGAGATCTTAGCACCCATTCTGGAGTTTAGAAGCTCTAGCCAGATCTATTCACTAATCTAGTCGCTTCGTTGAGCTGAAATTTTCAGCTATTTAGCGTCTGCTATCCTAGGGACATCCTCCAACTCGGATCCTTGTGATCCGGTTTATTAATATATCTTTCATGTTATAACTTTAATTAATAACATAATTTTATTATTATTTTTTTTATATAAAAGATATGTCTGCAAATGAGTATACGTCTATATAAAGAAATACTTGCGTGGAAAATAATAGGAGTCTTAAGAATAGATTATGGTCGTAATGATAAAATAATTACAAAATTGTAAAATATATGTTATTAGCTTTAATATATTAATGATTAATTTATTTGGGACTATCATAATCCTCCCTAAAATTTTACCAAATGTCCTCCCGTAATGTAGTTGTTGTTATATCTTGAATTTATGATAGCAAAGTAAAAAATAAGACAATTAATAATAAGCTATGAATTTATAAACTTCAATTTCCTACGTTTATATAATCAAATTCTCTGAAGTTATTCATTGAAAAATTTAAAATTATTATAAAGAATAAAGTATGTATTTTAGTTTCTTTTAAATTGCAATGTTTTTTATATATTATTAAAAATATTTGGTTTGATTTTGTTATTTTAAGTCTATTATATTATTATGATCGATATTAGCAACTATGGTTTCTAATCTATTTATTTTTAGTCAGCGGTCTGTTTTAACCTTTTTAGGCTTCATCCATTTTGAACTTTGTATAAATTATAATAATAAACTTACATATTTTTTATTTAGAATGGTTTTTAGCTATACCGGTGTTAAAATTAAAGAGTAATTTGAAAAAAAACTTATTCTTAGTGTATACGGTAGTTAATATTTTTATATTATGTTTATATTACAAACTTGATGAATAAATATCACATAAACTAGTGTTTTCCGTTGTATACAGTTCCTTTGAAGATACTAAAACTATCCAGAGTGCCGTGTTACAAGGGGATTGTCTCCAACCTCGTTTACAAAATTACACTTTTAAATTAAATTTCTAGAGAAAAAGACTGATAATGCATACTCATTTATTTTAAGTAATATAATTTGTTACTAAACTATCGAAAAAAGAACATTTAATTGATCTTTGACATTATGTTCCTGTTTTCTTGTGAGGAATATGATTGTCATTATATACGGATTTAGAGAAATCTTACATATATAGAAACTTAGTTACGATATTGATTCTGGGATTGAAGTTACAATGTGTTTAGTTTAATACTTTTTAAAAAATGGGGCATAGTATGCTCCCTTTTTGAAAATACTACATATTATGTGTTATTTCCTGGTTTACAAGGTAAACGAAATACGTTTCGAAACCACTGATAAACTGTAAATGTAATAACTATAAATCATATAACTAATAATTTAGAATAATATGATATAATTATGAATTTTAAGGTTATGCCTTGAAATGTTTTAATCGGTTGGAGAAAGACAGTGAAAAGCATTTAGAAGATTGTAGCGTAGCTACGGTCAACTCGTTCATCGCTACACTAAATAAGTATGGTGATCACAAATCAATTCCATTTTCTAAAGCCAGTTCGGATTCTTTTACTTGCTCTAAAATTGTTTTAACAGGTGCGTAAACTATATGTATAATGAAAACTTCAAAAAAGTCCATATAAATTTCTTTCTTATAATTCCCTTCCAACAAAACAATCTAATAATTACTTTCATCGTGGCAGATGTTTTAACTCCTATCATATTTTTTCTCAGTAATTTTATGAAAATAAGTAATTCGTGTTATAGGTCGTAATGAGGATGTAGTCTACCACGGATGTGGATATGTTAAATCAGATCCATGCAAATCAATGCAGAAATTCTTCGAAGGAACTGAAGTCATAAAGTTTTGCCAAACTTGTGAGGGTGATGGCTGCAATAGCGCCAGGACTACACATTCGTCTATAGTAGTTTTGATTCTTACCACTGCTGCTACATACTTGTTTTTTGGTCTACGTTGAAATTATTTTGTCCAGACTTTTACTCTATTCATTTTTATAATACGTCTAGTTGATTGTAATTTGCGTATTAAGTTTGTTTTTGTACAATATATGCAATATTAATAAAAACATATTAATATATTTTCTAAACCCGTTTTAAGCACGTTTTATATTATTTGTCATAGATTTTATTTCAGTAGAACTATACATTAAAAAAATGAGGCAATTGTTAAAATTATTAAATTGTTGTTTTATAACTATTGGAAAGTAATAAATAAATTGTATCATTTGGTTTAATTTTCTGATTCTTATAAAAATATGACAAAATTTGTTTAAAATATATTTAATAGTAGATACTTCATTATTTTTGTGAATTTATAGGTTATGAGAATACGTTATCAATCAGATGTCTATTTAGAATAATTTTTACTTAATTTGAAAATGTTTACAATTGTCTACTGTAAAAGAGTTTAGTATCTTTGTATCGTGTCGGGAGGAGAAGAACGGTTTAAAAATACTAAAAGATAAAAATAAATAGATTTGCACTTCATCTCAGTTTTTTATTCTTAAAAGTCTATTACTTTCAAAATACTGGTTCTTATATTTTTTAAAAGAATTATTCAAAAGTTGTTATCGACCAGTAATTTTCCTGGTTAGATCATAATCTTAATAGCAAGCCTGTTAAACTTTATGTTTGTATACTTTAATATTTTTGAAGATATTTCGTACGAAACAGTTTTCGGATCACTCTATAAAAACATAATATTTTGAGTTTAAAATATTGATCATATTTTCATCTAATTAATCAAAATAACTATTTGTTATCTTGAAATAAGAGAAGAAATAAGCTTATTGTATTCAAAATGAGCTGCTTACTGCTTGGGTTGCTCAATAGCATAGGAGAAAAAATTACAAATAATTAATATTATATTAATAGCCATATTTATACGAACAGCCGCCTTAAATGATGTAGATCACTAAAAAAATAATTGAGTTAAAAATAATTAGTACTCAAAATTTATAAGTCGAGTCCAAATTATTTGAAATGTTATAGTGGTCATTAATCCCATTTTAAAGAAAATTCTATGGTTCTGTATTCGACGACCTTGATAAAAATGACTAACGAGGTTAAATGAGGAACTATTTGTATACAATGATATAGGTATAATATAATAACACTTCTGTGGGTAAACCGAATCAAGACATTTCGGTATGAGGTGCGCACAATGGACCAACAGGTCAGATTGCATGGGCATTATGTCCACCTCGATAATAACTAAATCTTAAGTATTTGTACACAAAAGAGGATATAGTGCAGTTTGACAGGAGTGTAAGACTTGCCTGGCCTAGTAATTCGTGAAAGTCAGATGATTGTCTTATTATAATGGAAATAGTAAACTAAATAGCACGAAAAAGACTGAGGGAACGTCCAAGGTAATGATGGCTGATGTCGTTAGAAATATCTGAAGGAGTGAACTGCTTTGAAACGGAAACTTGGAAATAGCTTATACACAAGAATTATGTGGTGGATTGGTTTTAGAAGTAGACCCTAAATGGGTCGTTATAACTTTTTTTTTAGCGGTAAATTATTACAAGATAATAATGGTATTAGTAATAATACTATTTTTAATTATTATGATTTCGTTATTAGTAATTTTATCAAATTAATACACATATATGATTTCGAAACAAACGATGTATGTCTGAAATGATTAATTTTTATAATATGTCAATTAAAATTTTAATCATGTTGATAGCACGTAAATGAAATTACAATATTTTAGTGATATATAATATTAATGTAACATTGTTGCATTTATATTATTGAAATTTCTATCTTTTCAACTTAAATTTTATCTTATATTTGATACATATAGAGATAATAGTTATTTATTTTTCTGTAAGTTATTTTAAGTATTAAAAAAAAAAAAAACAATACGTTTCATTTTCATTGAACAAAACAAAAATGAATAATTTATTGTTGACTTACATTAGTGTAATTATCTTAAACTATTCCAAGTATATCTAAACGATAAAAAAATAATTAAGAGATATGAGTGACAAGTAGGTTATTTTATATATTAATTATTTTAGTTCTATGCTTCATTTATTACGTTAAGGAATACTTGAAATGTTTAATACAAAAATGAGTTTAATTAAATTATTAGTTTGTTTGGTTTCAATAATAAATTTAAGTGAGTCTATAAATGAGTCAATAACATGGTAGTGTTTAAAAAAATTAATTTTTCGCTTATTCATAAAAAACAAAATATGCAAATTTTAATAATCTGTTAAAAAAATGAAATCAAACTTCTGTATAAAATATGTTAAAAACAAAACAATGCTCATCTTAAGTCTACACATTTTCCATAAATAGCTTTTTCCTTCTCCTGAAAAAATTTGTTTTGTGACTTGTTATCTCTTACATATTAACTGCTCAATTGTTTATTTATAATTTTAAGTTAGTTTTTTAAAAATTTTTTTGTTTCTTTAAAATATTTTATCTGTTACTGTTATATAATTACTGATATAACTTGAACTTTAAGTTTAAAGAATTTTATATTTTTTAGGTTCGTGTTTAAAATGTTACATCTGTGAGATTGAAAATTGCGGTGATCCTTTTGAAAAAGAATCTGGAAAATTAATGGAGTGTAGAATTTTTAATAATATTATATCTAAAAATAATCAAACAGAAAATACTGCAAATGAAACAATGACAAATCTATTACTACAAAATAATACTAATCAAACTCCAATTGATGGAATAACTCTAGATTGGTCCTGCATAAAATCTGTTCATATGGGTAGGTTTTTAATTTACTATCTAATTCAACTATGATACACAAGTCTTAAACTTAAAATATTTTTCGCTATCAAAATGTATTATGTATGTTAAATTAAGGTATCTGTTTCATGATCTCTAGCTATTGCTTAGAAATATATTAGAAACGGGTTTGAATTGAGATAGATAAATAAAATTGTCTTTAATCATATATTTGCTTAGTAAAAATGGGTTTAAAATAATCAACGTGTTATGACTAAAAAAAGATAGTTGATTTATTTTTCTGAACTTTTTTTTATCAAAGGTTAATATTTTAGGTCCATAACCGCGTCAATATTAAGACAAGTAATATTTTTAGTAAAAAGGAGATTTCTTTTTCTATAATTTAACTATGCAGGTGTAAAAATATTTTTGTGCGAGCCTAGCAAACAAATCTAATGATTTTATCTAATGATGAAGAACCTTTTTAAAAATTAAAGATTAAAAATAAATGAACAGAAGCATTAAGTTATACAATCTAGTAATCAAAAGCCTAGATTAAGAGTTTTTGAGGCTCATTGGCCAGATAAAGTGTTACGAGTTAATCATAGCTATTAATTTTTTTTTATTCTTTATTTTATAAATATATTTTGATAGTTTTTAAGTTTATTGAAGAAGTCCTTCAAAACACTTAGTCCTCGACTGGAAGTATTATATTCCTACTATCATAATATAGTCACATAAGTGATGTTATTAAAACATGAAAAATTAAAGGACACTGAAAAAAATCCTCTAGTAAAGTTAACAAATACGTCTTATAAACGCTTGGTTAATTGTATCACAGTATTTTGTTAATTAAATCATTAATTTTGTTAAAATTGATCAAATTAACAAATATTTTGTTGTTACAAAAATCAATATCAACAAAAATATTGATTTAACTTAAAAAAAGTACTATTTGTTTAATTAAAATATTATTGGACTTATATTGATAAAAAATTAGTTTATTTTACCAAGGAGTTTTATGTTGAATTATATAACTTTTTACAGATAATGATCAAGAAGTTGTGACTCGTGGGTGTATTATTCGTGATATGCAATACTGCAAAATTCTCGAGGAACTCGATAAATTACTAAAGACTTGCACCACTTGTTATGATGATGGATGCAATGCAGCTCAATATTTAGGATTATCCAGATTCGTTTTAATAATTTCGATATCCGCTGTCAGCCTATTTTATTGGTTTCATTAGATATTATTAAAATATTATTGTATTGTATTGTATGAAACAAAAATTTCCTTTGTATAATTATTACATTTTTTACTTGTTCCAATTAATTATATTTTTATTGTTTGTATTATGCATCTTAACATTTAAAATTTTTTTTAAACATTGGAGTATAGACTCCACAGAACATACAATAAAACTTTTTTAAAGATTTTTATTCAAATATAAAGTTATTTTTCATGGCATTTAAATTTTCATGAAAAATTGCATTTTATTATAAATATAATATATTTCATTATATTTATTTATGTATCATATGTTAGTTTTTTGTTACTTATTAATTCTTAGTTAAAATTAATGATTATTAGTCAAAAATTTAGTTTTTGTATTAAAAATTATGTTTAATAATTAATTTGTTTATATATTTTTTGTTTTAACAATAACTTGTAGCATAATAAGAAAGGATTATTCAATAAACTCTTTTACTTTATATGAAATCATTAAAAAGTAGATAAGGAAAAATAGTTTCTATTACTCTTTGCTAGAAATGTTATTTAAAGTAAACAAACATAAGAGTTATTTTTAAATAGAATATTTAATTAAATTATTCAATAAAAAAAGAAATATCACTTTTTTTTAGAAATTTAAATTTTAAAACAACTAAAATATAATTAAAAATTAATAAAACTTAGTAAAATACAAATGCCTAAATGAATGGAACTAAGATAAATTAATACATGATCGTTAAAAAAAAATCGTTTATAATATTCATTTATAGTAGTTCCCAAGGAAATTAAAAAATTGATTTTAACGTATTTTGTTTAAAATTATATATACAAAAAAAGTAAAATAATTGTTATTATTTCTGGAAAAGTCAACGTTAATGACTTAAACTCCTTCACTAACCAATTATAATTGCAAAAAAAATTATTTGATAGAATTTTATTTTTAGGCGATCTAAATTTTAATGTCTTAGAATATATACTTAATACTATCATTTTTTATTATTCAACTTTCTGTTATAATATCTTATCTAGACAGTAATATAATTTATTTCAATTCATATTAAGATTTTGTAAATATTTTACCTTTAGAGTAGAACGGCTAAAGACGTTCATCCGTTCAGTTGTAATCTGCTACTGTTAAATAGTTTATATTAACTTATCAAGTATTAATTATAATTTATTGTTTTATATTAATTGTTGATTGATGAAAAAAATAAATTATATGAACATTATATATAATGAATGTGAAGTAAGGGTAAATCCATATCAAATCATCCAAAGTCGTTGCGCGACCACTTTATTTTTTTTTGAAATTTTACACACAAGTTGTCTAGTATATAAGAAGAAAATATTAAAAAAAAAAAATTAAAAAAGTTTTACGAAAATGTATTTATGACTTATCAAAAGTTTTAAATTATGAAATACTTGTAATTCGTAAAAATATCCTTATGATAACAGTATTTATATTTAAGACTTGAAACTTTCATTGTTTTTTTTTTATGTGATACTCTAACATATTCCATAATTACCAACACGTTTTTTAACTTTTAAGTTGGAAAATTTTGTTTTCTAAATTGAGCTTTTTTTACAAAATAATGTAATTTTCAAAGATCAAATTGACTATGAAAAAACATTTTTTTTTAATTAATTTTTTTTTCTAAATATTAACGTACACTCATAGTAATATGTAATTGTGTTTTTATAAACTTTTTGTCATTGTTATAATGATCATTTATTAACTTCATGGCTAAAACAAAATGATTATTTGGAAAATTTAACACAGTTTACTATAAATAATGAAATAAACATAGTACAAGTAAATGGCACAGCAGTATATAATGAAGAGCACACTAGAGCAGTTTTACTGCCTTTAAGGTTTCAATTTAAAACATTTTTTGAACATGGTAATAATTATAAAAAAATGTTGAATAATATGAATGATTTAAAAACAAATAATACAGATAAAATATCAAATTTTATACAAGGTAAACTTTGGAAACAAAAAATTGTACCATATGAAGGAAAAATTGTTTTTCCTTTTTTTTTATATGTTGATGATCTGGAAATTAATAATCCTCTGGGCTCTCATTCTAAATTTCAATCAATTGCTGCAATTTATTATAATTTTCCGCTTCATAATAATAATTCTATGCTGTCTAACATATTTTTAGCATCTTTAGTTAAATCAGTTGATTTTAAAATGTTTGGCAATGATAAATGTTTAACTAATTTAGTTAATGAAATTAATTATCTTGAAAAAGATGGAATAACTATAACAACAGACGATGGACAGTTGAAAATATATTTCATTCTTGGTTTAGTTTTAGGAGATAATCTTGGTGTCAACAGCATTTTAGAATTTAGTAAATCTTTTTCAGCCAAATTTTTTTGTCGTTTGTGTAAAGCACATAAAGAACTTACTAAAGTTATGTCTATTGAAAACTCATCATTACTTAGAACTGTTGATAATTATGAAATAGACACAGCCAGTTTAAATTTTAAAGAATCTGGTATTTACAAAGAGTCCATTCTTAACAAAATTAATAGTTTTCATGTAATTAATAACCTCTGTGTAGATATTATGCATGATATTTTTGAAGGGGTGTGTCATTATAATATGTGTCATATACTCAAATATCTAACCATTACAGTTCAATTATTTACTTTGGATAAACTAAACAATAGGAAAGATATATTCAATTATGGTAGTTTAGAAGCTGGTAATATTTCACCACCTATTCTTTCAACACATATAGATTCTTTTCGATTAAAAATGTCAGCAAGAGAAATGTGGACATTTGTTCATTTTTTTTCATTGATGGTAGGAGATCTAGTACCAGAGGATGATGAGGTTTGGTTGTTTTATTTAAACTTTTTAAAAATAATAGATATTTTATTGAGTTATTCTTTTTCTGAAAGTAAAATTTCATTGCTTACTGACTTGATAAAACAGCACCATGAAAATTATATTTATTTATTTAATGATACCTTAAAACCAAAGCACCACTTGATGGTGCATTATCCAAAAATAATTAAAGAGTCAGGGCCACTGAGACATTTTTGGTGCTTTAGGTTTGAAGGTAAACATAAAGAATTTAAAACGTATGCACGGGTTACTTCATCTAGACGAAATGTTACATTAACGTTAGCTAAAAAATTTCAAATTAGATTTGCAGGTTATATAATGAATTTAAATAAACCTGACATTATAGCATGTGAAAAACATATATTATTTAATTCACTATCATTTGAAAAAGAAATTTTAATTAAAACTGGTATGAATCCAGCAGATTATAAAATCTACAGAGAAGTACAATTTAATGGAATTTCTTATAAGTATAATTTATACTTGAGCAAACACCTAAATGGTTATCTTTTTAAAATAGAAGCTATAGTTGTTGTAAAAAATATCAATGTATTAATTTTAGCCAGAGAAATTTTACTAAATAATTATAATCCACACTATGCAGCTTATGAAGTACCTAAAAACATTAATATCCAAGAATTCTCTATACATAATATCAATGACTTTAGAGGACCACCAGTAAATACAACAAACATATCATCAGGAAAAGTGTTTATTCGGTTAAAAGAATATTTTTAGACATATTATTCAAAATAATTAAAATATTTTAATAATTTACTATTTTTTCAAGTCAAACAAGGTTAAATTCAAATTATTTTCTAAGGATTGAATATATTTCTGATATATATATTTATTATACAGAATTAACTTTTCCTAAAATTTATAAATACTTGAACCAGAAAAATGTTTATCTTAGTTAAATTATTTATAAATGTAGAAATTAAATATCAAGTATTAATTATAAATAATTAAGCTCCAATAGCTTACCTTAATTTTACAGTTTTTTATTTCAAAAGTTAAAAAAATTTAAATTGAATGAAGAATGCAAGTATAATATATTTTTTTAATTTGCAGAAAATAATATAAATGCAATTATATTGTTATTACTTTTTGTCATAGATAACTAATACATAGCTGTTTTGAGTTAAACTTCAATTTAAATCACAATACGAGTTAGTATTAAGTTTTTTTTAAACAAAAAAAATTGTTCTAAATTTTTAATTATTTTGGAGAACATTATTAAATTGAATAAATTTTCAAAATTATTTGAATCAAAATGATGACTCAGATCCAGTAAGAAATTTTCCATAACTAGTATTAAAATGGGGTTAAAATATTTTTAGAGCCCATACATACAAAAATTTATTTATTTTTATTATTACAATATTATATGGAAATATGTTTTATGTATAAAAATAATATAATAGTAATTATGCAAAATTACCTACTGATACACATTTAATGATGATCCTAATTCTACATATCATGTAGATATTAAATTGAAAAATGACATTTGAAAATAAAAATGTAAGTAATAGTTTTGTTGGAGACTCTGATGNTAAGTAATAGTTTTGTTGGAAACTCTGATGACCAATTTATACTTCATGAATTATCTAATATGGAACATGAATGTAATACAAATGAAAAGCTGTTTGAAAGACAAGTATGTATTATTACTATACAAAATATAACAGATTATTTTTAATGAATCATTAATTTAATTTTAATTTTTGAGGAACATGAGTCTATTAATAATGAAATAACATCTTTGAAATCTAATGAAGTAGAAAATTTTAAATTAGACGAAGAAAATATTAATAAAGTAAAATTAATATTAGAAGGATGGAATTTAGGACACCTGCTAAATGCTTTAATAAGTAAGTGATTGTTTTAAAGTAAAAATGTTATAACTAATTACTAACTATATTACTTATATAATATTAGTTGATAATGTAATTTTATAAAACTGGCATTATATCTGTACATTTAAAAAATATTAAAATATTTTCTAATTAAAAAATATCTAAGATTTACATAAAGGAAAATTCCTATTGTAATGGGATAACTTAATAATTAAAATGATTCAAAATTTAGCATAACATTTAAATAAATTACTGTTAAATTATTTAATAATTATCTAATTATAATATTTGACAGGTGAATNTACTGTTAAATTATTTAATAATTACCTAATTATAATATTTGACAGGTGAATGTATTGATGTAGATGCATTAAGCCACATGAAATCCAAGCACATTGATAAACTTCTCTCAAATTATTCATTAGGGACACAAATAAAATTAGAAAATCATTTAATTACTCGGCAAAACACATTAAATGTGACCAAGAATAAGCACAATGTTTCAAAACAATTGATTACTACAGCTAATAAAAATGACCTAATCAAATTTGTAGATATTCATTCTATTTTAACAAAATCTACAGAGGGATTATTAGTGCTAGACTATTATAAAGAACATAATGAACTAAATGATTCAATAAGAGGAAAACTAGTAGACATAATTATCCACTATTTATTCTCAAATGACTTTACCATGTCAGTGAAGCTTGCTGAGAGTATTGCTGATCAAATTAACTTTTTATTTCCTTCAGAGATTAAAGCAAGTTTGAATTATTTATTTTTAATTATAATTTAAAAATAGCTTTAAAAAAAATTATACATTTTGTCTTTGATTTTGTATAAAATTGATATAATTGTTCAACTAACTTTTGGTTATTCCAGTTTAAATGCCACTAAAAATACTACAAATTTACCGAAAAAAATTTGTAAACAATTTTTAAGTGTACACAACACTTTGAAAATGAAACTTTACGTAAATTTTAAATTATTGAAAGTAAACATTTATGTTTAAATATGAACGGTTTAATTTTTACAAACATAAAACAATCAATACTCAGTATTAAACCACGACGAATTAGATAGATTTTGTGGTGGTTTAAATAAATATTGTTATCATAATATTTGTTTTAAAACCGTTGATATCAGCTGTTTGTAACATTAATGTCAATTTTATCTAACACTACTAAAACCTTGATTAATGTGTTGGACATATATGCTAAGAACTATGAAAGAAGTTTAAAACATTAAAGCGGGTTATTTAAAATGATTTACTACACTAGTGTACTTTATGTATAACTACTACTACCCATTTACTATTCAATTATGTATTATTGTTAAATAATAATTTATTTTACAGGATATATATTTTATGCGAAGTTTTAAAAATAGCACTCCTAGGGGTAAATTATACACAAAATTTTACAATAATATGCGATCGCTGAAGACAAGCGGATTAATCGAAAAAAATAATAAAAATATTAATCTAAATAATTTTTCAACAGATAACTTTATTATAGGTAAAATATTTATTGTTAAATTTAACCGTTGGTGCAACTATAATTAAATTATTTTTAATTCACCTTAAAAAATAAAAAAATAATTTTATTATAAATTTATTTGCCTTAAAAAATTTACAGAGCAATTAAAAAAAATTTGGTAGGTAAAGACTCTATATTCCCACTTAGTTGCATCAGTGAATTTAATTGAAATATTTTTTTAATTAATAATCATTAATTTATTTAGAACCAGAAGAAGAGGACATCAGAGATATTATCGACATAATAAAATATGATCATTTAAATATTCCATTTACGAAGTTACAAGAGTATTGGGGTGCTACTGTCAATTTTAGACTTAAAAAGATTAGAGAGGCTAAAGAAACAAACGAAATAATAAATGAATGGGCTAGTTATAGATTACCCCTTGGATATAAACTCGTATGTAAAATGTATTGCTTATACATAAAATAATTAAATTTAAGGATTACATTTTTGTAGGTGGATATTGACTTTAAACAACTTATCAAATATAATAGTATGATGGTCGATTCATTTGATGATTCTTACCAAGATATTATGAATATTATAGAAAAACACAATAAAGACCGAGATAGCAAAATACTTGTAGAACAGCTTTCTCAAAGATCAGACATTTGTCAAAGTAATAATACTTTATTATAAATATAAATCAAAATATTTTAGCAGTTTAATAAAAGGATATTTTAGCATTAAATTAATTATTTTCTTGGTCAGGTGGAAAAAATACAGCATTCTTCTATCTATTAAGCTCGCTTTTCGTGCCAACGTCGAGAAAAGTGACGAGAGATGAAAATGGAAAAAAAAATATCATTAAATATTCTATAAAGGACTCTCAAAATTCATTAATTAGTTTCCACGAGACAGTTGACCAAGCTGAAGCTTATATCGCATTACTACAAAGTAGAAATCAGCCAATACAACCATTCATTTTAATTATTGGCACGATTTTAAAACCACGAGATATATTATTATATTTTGATGCCATCAAGTATAAAATTTTTTCAATAATAAGAGCAGTGGATGTCTGCTTTAAGATATTCCATGTTTTTAATTTAGAATACCCACTTCCATCATGCGCTGTCTGGACATTTATTCAACAATATTACTACAAATTATTTTTAAAGAACGACTACTCCCATCAAACAGTAAAACAAGTGCTACATGATCTCAACAAAATAGTAAAATAATATTATTATATTAATATTATATTGAAAAATCCTTTTATTTTTTCACTTTATATTTTTCTTCTTTTCATTTGTATTAATTATTTGTAAATTATTAATTTTTATTTGATTATTTAAAATTAATTTTACATCCAATGTATAAAGTTTATACTATAAACAGATTGTAAGCTTTCTTAAAATTCGTTAAAAATAAAAGGTGATAAATACGCCGTTTCAGTTTATATTCCATATGTCTATTTAAATACACATGTGTAAAGGTTTTATTTATAATTTACTATTGAAAAATTAAAAGTTGTTCATTAAATTATTTTTAATATTATAAATACTACACAATATATATATTAAATAACGTGTTTATTTAAGTAAATTATTACCATAATTAAGATTAAATTTATAATTTAATATGGGATTTTATTTGTACACTGGTATGTTAATTTAATAAAAATTCATTATCATATTGAAAAAAATTTACTTAATTCTTTAAAAATTATTTCATCACCATGAAAAATTATTTATCAAAGTGATTTAGATATACAATAATAATTCATCATAAGTACGATGAATTTATTAATATGACAAAGTTATACTTATTATATTGATAGAGTATTTTATTATTTCAATAATATCATCATTGTTATAATGATAAACAAACCACTACAATTTTTCTCTATCATATTGATAAATATATCATAGGTTCAATAGTAATGATATATTTATCAAATTGAACGATGAATTTATTATATAGATCGAGGTTTTTCTCTGGGTGTACGTTAAAGACGGAAGTAAATATTATCCTTTTATATTATTTACTGGTAACAGTACACAAATTCTTTTTATGAAAATTGTATAGTTTGAACTCGCTTTTTACAAAAATGATTATTTCAAAACTTTATTAAAAAATTTTAGAAATATTTTCATATGATTACTACAAGTGTCCGATGGTTGACCAAGTTTAAAGTGATAACAATTAGTAATTTGCGTAATTCTATTATTGATATCATATCATTATAGAATATTCCTTGTTAGGAGATTTGATAATAAATGCAGAAAAAATCATAAATGAATCAATTCACTATTATTCACATTTAAAAATTTGAAACATGAATTTATTTAATTAAAAACTAATAATTATAAATTATATGAGTTAACAGTTAGATCTGTTCCATCTATATATTTAATTATACATTGTAAAATATATAATTATATGTAAATTGTTACAATTACATTTTATTCATTATAAACATTTTAAATGCTTCAGCCGTTCCATTATCTACTTGATAAACGGTTTGATACTCTGAAGTTTTCAAATATTTATGGTCAAAAAACTTGTATACTCCTACTTTCTCTCCTTTCATATTTATTGCTTTAAAAATACAGTGATTGTTTTCACAACCTCCTTCTTGTTTATATATACCTTCCACGAACAATAAGTTCAAAATTCCTGCCAGTATGCATTTTTTATTATTTTTTACACACAGTTCTTCTTTAGCTAAAATACATTTATTTGAATAAAATTCATTATTTCGATGAGTACCAATTTTTAATACCTTCAGTTTAGCGAATATTTTATCAGTTAAAAAAAAATTGAAACCAAATATTTGCTCGACCAAAAGTAATTAAAAAGTTAAAACATATATTCTGTATATTTATTATACATTTATTATTACCATATTCGTTAAATAACAATCGTATTGCTGCATGCATTATAAAATACTTTCTATAGTTAACCATTAGTTGATAGTTCAGGACCTCTTCATTGTTTTCTAGAATTCGAGTATTATTATCATTATACAATTTATTTTTAAATTTTAAATTTGAATAAAGACGCTTAAGTCAAAATATAATATTATCAAAACAATTATTATTATTTTTTTATTTATAAAAAAAATTATTTATTTTTATATTTCATAAAGGCAATTTCAAAAAAAAAATTATTTAAAATGTCAGTACATGGACTGGGAATTTTAAGGATGAATTCATGAATACGAAATTTAATCAAAAAAATATTTACTAGTTTGTATACAACTGTTTATCAAATTTTCATCTGAAAATAAAAAATTAATTATATAAACATTTTATTTGATTTACATACACTATTGTTATTTTTTTTATATAATAAATGTTGTACTCATTTATTTATCTTAAAATGTTTATTTGAATTATTTATACAAAAAATCTATTTGTTTATTAAATTGATTGGTTGGGTTGGGTTTGTATAACTATTTTATTAACACACATAATTCAAAATTACAATAGCCAGTGAGCAGTGGGAGGAAGTAATTTGGAAAAACTCAGGAATTTGAAAAATTATTGAATTTAACCGGATTAAAAATACGATTATTTAAAACATAAATGAGTTTTTATTTACAATCGTTGTTAGTAGCATACATAAAAGTGTAGTTTGAAAAATTCATTCTTACTGATATATTTGCCAAGGAATCGCCAAAGTATCACCTTTTCCTTAAATACGCGACTTATATTTTCTTTTACTAGAAAATTTAGAATATTATTTAATAATATTGGATTAGTTATTAAAAAGTTAAAATACACAGTAAGTAAGTCTTATTAAGATTTTTTTAGGATTGGTCTTAGTTAACATCAAAAAATAATTACTAAAGGAATACTTTAATTTTTCAATTATTTGCTTTTACAAAAGTATGTATAGACATAAAATAGCTATAAATTCAATTAAGTAACAGTATTTTAAATATTATTTTCATTTTTTTGTATTAAAATTAAAAAACGTATTAATTTTTTTTTATGCTGAATATTTTTGATCTATACATTTTGCTTAGTTTAACGAAACTGGTATTATTTAAAAACCCATCACAGTAGGATTGCAGCATAGTCGGTTTCCGGCATAGTTGGGACGAATATTAATGATATCCAAGAGTGATTATTTCACTATCATAAGAAACGCTTCGATTCAAATCTGTAGATAGTGTTTAATTTTAAGAAATTGATAGATTATTTCAAAAGCAACAATAACTCTTATTCCCTTAATTTTTTCCCGATTAGTTATTTGATTTTTAATTATAATATATAAATAAATAATAATTATGATATTTAAATTTAGTATTAAATTGATATTCATTAATATAATATTGTAATTTTTACGGAGATATTATAAAAATAATAAAGTAGTTGTATATTTCTTTACCTATAACGCGTATAAAAATTTAAAGGGCTTGATGCAATACTTTTCAATAAAAAATGTTTGTTACTTATAACAAAGTTATAAGTTTTATACACTGGACTACAAGGAACTTTCATCAGAAACAAAAATATAATTTTCTGAATCAACTTTTTGCGATGTTTTCAAATGTGCAATTAGACTTTTTCTATCACTTCTAAGTTTTAATATCAACCCAAGTTATTATTAAAAAATAAATATTTTCACTATAAAAAAAAAACAGTAGCACAGTGGGGTCGCGGCATAGTGGAGACATTGCATAGTTGGGTCCAGTATAGATTTAATCTGACAGTGATTAAAATCACTATCATAAGAAACGCTTCGATGCAAATCTGTAGATAGTGTTTAATTAAAAAAAAAAAATTTGTTAAAATAGCATATTTTTGAATACAGTTTTAAGTACAAAAAATATCCCGATAAAAGATAATTTTTATCGCAAACATTACATTTTTTTTTAATTTTCGACAGCCATTTGCACATAGAAGATAAGATGTCGTGACAAATTTTTTTTTTTCATTTGATAGTATATAACATAACCTTTGATTTGATATATGTTTAAAGGACGCAGTATTTCCGGAACATTTTCAAAAATTAAGTTGAAAAAATTAATTTTTGTAAAAAAGTTGCCATTTTAAATCCCCCCCAATGAGCAGGTTAAGTGATAGATTTTCAAAAAAATGATATCAAATGAAAGGTAAATATCTAAGGTTTTAGTATAAAAAAAAATTATGTTGATTTGTTGATTTTTCAAAAAGTTATGGAAGTTTTAAGAAAAAAAAGTGAAAAAATTTCGAAAATTAGCGATTTCTAAATTTGTAATTTTTTTGGATATTTCCCCCATTTGCGGGGAACGAGGGAATTTTTTTCAATTTTTAAGGGTAATGTCTTCAACTAGATACGATTTGTGATCTTTTGACGTATTTTTGAAAGAAATCGGTCCAGTAAGAGCTGAGAAAAAGTTTCAACAGACATAAAAAAAAAAAAAAAAAAAAACACATTATAGTAAAATTAATACCTTCTCAGCTTCGCATCGAAGCTAAAAAAACGATTCGATGCAAATCTTTAGATAGTGTTTAATTTTAAAAAATTGATGGATTATTCCAAAAGCTACATGATCTGCTAGTTCCTTATTAATATCCTGATTAAGATAAAGTATGTCGAATGAAAAAGAAAATATTAAAAAATATTATTTCTCATAAAAAAATTGTGTTGATCCATACATTTTTCAAAAATTTATAGTATAATAAAATTAAAAATGTAAAATACAAAATCAAGAATTTTCACACAAAAATAGCATTCGGTAGCCATTTTCACCGTGAAGATAAAATAAAGTTCGAGATTTTTTTTTCCATGATAAAGTATATTACATTAGCTTTAATTTAAAATATATATAAAAGTGTCAGACTTTGCGGAACATTTTCAAAAGTCAAGTTGAAAAAATTAAGTTCCTGTGGGTAGGTAAAGGGTTAAATTTATAAAAAAAATATATCAAATGATAGGTAAATACATTATACATCTATAAAAAAAAATTAAATTGATTTGGTTATTTTTTAAAAAGTTATTGCAGTTTTAAATAAAAAAAATTGAAATAATTTCGAAAATTAGCGATTTTTAGATTTGTACAAATTGGGAGATTTTCTCCATTTATAGGGAACGAAGGAAATTTTTTTAATTTTTAAGGGAAATGTTATCGAATAAATATGATTTGTGATATTTCGACATAACTTATGTAAGCAAACTATTATTTTAAAAATTATATAAAAACTTACGGTAGTGAGTTGTTGTTTTTGGACAAATTACATCTAAAAAATATGTGTTACACAATTTTAATGTTGAATTTTATATTTCGAAGTTGGATTATATACAAAATGATTAACTTAATATGAAGCCTTTAATTAATCGAAAAATAAAAATAATATTCATAAAATTATTAAATACTAATTTTAATTTTAATTATATAGTCTA